TATGTCGCTATTTAAAATTGCGTAGCGTGACGTAAAAAATATGATATCATTCAAGAAAGTTAGTAATAATAAAAGTTAAATAACAAAAAATTATAATTGTTAAATATTTTTTACATAAAATTTTTTTTACTCAAATGATTTTAATAGCTATATATTTAAAAGATTGAAGAGAAATATTTAAGAGAGTGAAGTTGCGAATATAGTTTCATGAGCAAATTAATTTGTTTTGAAGATAATTTAGGTTATAGAATTAAACACAAAAATGTACTTTCATTGAATAAACATAGCTTTTTTACAATAGATTTTGAATCTTGACTTTTAAATTATGGCGATAGACGCTATCTTAAAAATATGGCCCCAATAGTTAAATCAGAAGAGCGGCCAAAATTTTGAACCCTTTAATGTTAATTTCGATTTTCGCTATTTCAGCTTATCTGTAAATATTTAAGCGAATCAAACAATTTTTACTCATGATTATAAAATACATTTATTCGAAAAAATTTCAACGTAAAAATTAAATCTTCAGTTATATTTAATTTAATGATAGTCAGAAAATTTTAAACGCTACAATGCAAAATTGAAATGAAATCACCTAAAGAGATACTGAGTGTCAAAGAAATTAAAATTTTGGATTTTTATATTAAAATTTGGATATCTCTGAATCTCCGTTTAAGTTTTAAACCTGTCATTCATCAATATTGTATTAGCAAAAATTATGTATAAATGTGTGTATGCCTTATAATACAATTTCCCCCCCCCCCATTCTTAATTTTATTAATAAAAAATAATAATTATAAAAATGATTTTTTTTTAGCTTGAAAATATCTTCGGGTGAAGGAAATTTATAATTATGTTTAAAAAAAATTATTTTTCCTTAAATAGATATAGATTCAGGGGGAAATGCAAAATTACTATTTTTTAGGAAAGTGACGCTCACTTTGAAATCTGAAACAAGTTTCAAAGGAATTACTCATTGCGAAAAATTATAACAAAAATTCACGAAATGTCCTCCATTACTTTAACCATATATGTGCTCTTAAGGTGGCGTGGTTTAGATGGTGGCCTGGTCAAGAAAGGGTCTAATGCTTAAAAATTACCCCCATTAGATATGAAAAAATAAATACCTAAAATTTTTAAGAATGATTTGTTTAGTCCTACGTAAAGTACATATTTATAGTTAAAAAAATGGATGACATTTTGCGAATTCTTTATAATTTTTTCAATGAGGAATTTTTTTAAAACTTTTTTCAGATTAAAAAGTGAGCGTCAACGTTTTCAAAATTAATCATTGATGTGAAGATTATGATGTGATATTACCAAATTTTTTAAGAAGCAATTTTCAGTTCAGACAATGCTACGTTAATAATATGTATATAATTAACGTTACGTTAATAATGGAGAACATTTTGTGACATTTTTGAACTTTTTCCAATGTAAAATTCATTTGAAACTTATTTCAGAATTCAAAGTGAGCGTCACTTTTTTCAAAAATACCAATACGTTTCAAGAAATAAGTACTAAAAATTTTGCAAATTTTTCATAGTTTTTTGCAAAAAGAAATATTCATTTGCAACTTTGTTTCAAATAAAAAGTAAGAGTCATTTTTTTCAAAAAATACCCATAGTCATTTGAAACTTTTTTCAGACTACAAAGGGCGCGTCAAGTCTTTTAAAAATACTCTTGTGTATCAAGAAATAAGTATTTAAAAATTTTAAGAAGCAATTTTTAGTCCAAACAATGCTACGTTGTGGGCACACGTATTAAAAGGCAGGACATTTTGCGTTTTTCTTCTTAATAATTTTTTGTAATAAGGATTTCGTTTTAAACTTGCTTCTGATTACAAAGTAGGCGTCAAATTTTTCAAAAATGCACATAAAGAAATAAGCTCAAAATTTTTAAGAATCAAATATTTAGTCCAAATCATGCTACGTTAAGAGCATTAGTAGTTAACGTAATGAAGGATATATTACGCATTTTGTATAATGTTTTGCAATGAGAAAATCATTTGAAACTTGTTTGAAATTACAATGTGAGTGCCAATTTTCCCAAAAATATCTGTGCGTCAAGAAAAAAGTAATTAAAATTTTTAAGAAAGATTTATTTCTTCTTCTTCAGCACGACAGCTCTTTACAGGTCTTGGCTGCCTCAACTACGCGTAGCCTCCAACGCCTCCTATCCTTGGTGACTTTTTTCCAGTTATTAATTTTTATTACTTTGAGATCTTTAGTAGTGTCATCCAGCCATCTAGTTGGAGGTCTTCCTCTGGCCCGAGAAGGATTTGTTTACTCCAAACATTTATGTGTTAAAAGCATATGAATAATCGACGGAAAAAGCAGAATTTGTGAATTTTTTTATAACTTTTTGCTATAAGGTACTCATTTGAAACTTGATTTAAGATTTTAAAAAAAATAACTTAAAAAATCGATAGATTTAAAAAAAAATAATCATTAATTCCTTCAAAAATACCATGTAATCATGATTACATGTAATCACATATTTTGATTACTCGTAATCATAATAGCCCTTAATCATTTTTGCTGTGATAAAAAGTTTTTTAAAAATTCGTATTTATGTGCAAAAAACGCAATGCTTATGAATGGTGCTTTCTACACTAGGGAACGCTGCAAGATCCATACCGCCTATACTTCCGGGTTACTGTTTCCGGTGTATTTTAAAGCCATTTGGCTCGCAACGTGATCATTGTGTTTTGAGATTCTTGCAAACGTGGTATTTGATCAGTTATTACTTGTGTTTGCAATGCTAACAATACTTGTATTTACAATGCTAAAGCTGCTAACACTAACGTAAGATAGTGCACAGCTTGCAACAGGAACAAACAATAATAAACAAATGAAATTAGGTCCAATCAGGACTGCTAAAAAAGCGAGTTATTCAAAATCTGACAACCATGTCACCTTTTTCAACAACATATCTCTAAAAAACTAAAACAAATTTTCACTTCAAACTCACCAGAATTACATATTAACATTAATATCTCATGAAATATGGCAGATTTGAGCTCAGAAATTATCTAATTTATTTCTTTTATTGAAAACAAAATTATCCGTTTGAAAACATCGCCTATCAGAATAACATGTAGTAAACAGCTGCAAACTTTTTAACCGGAACTAGAGTAGGTGCCGAGTTCGAGATTGCTATGGATGGGTGGTCTAATGTAACAATAACAAGCGTTCTAAAAACCGGAAGAAATTTAGGAAATTTCCGGTGTATATCTCCGCTTATGTTATGATTACGAGGCGATGTGTGAACAAGCCTAATATTCTATGCAGTTTTGTTATTGTAATTTGGGTTCAAATCTAAACATAATTATACCATTCATAAGAGCCTTCAGAAATGTATTGATTCTCAGAGATCGTAAGGCCAAAAAAATTTCTGGAAAGTTAATATCTCATTATGAATAATTCTTAAGGTTTGCCATGTTTTATATTTTATCCCTTATTTGGCTACATTTGAATAAAATGTCGCCAAAAATATCTGTAAAAATATCTTTTTAAGTTAGCCTAATTAGAAAATATTCTAATGATTATAATATTAATATGATAATGCTGAAAGGAAGAACTCGGTACATGTGAAATACTGCAAAAGATATGATGCAATAATATGATGGCGCGTTTTTTCAATCTGCGGCGTAAAAATATATCGGAAGCAGTAACCCGGAAGTCTTGAAAGAGCAATTTTACCACTAGCTCAATACCTGCTCTAGTTCCGGTTGGAAAGTTTGCAACTGCTTATTCTGCGAGGTGATATTTTCAAACGGATAATTTTGTTTTCAATAAAAGAAATAAATTACATAATTTCTGAGCTCAAATCTGCCGTATTTCATAAGATAGTATGCTATCAAATAATTCTGGTGAGTTTGAAGTGAAAATTTGCTTTAGTTATTCATAGATATATTGTTAAAAAGGGTGACATGGTTGCTAAATTTTGAATAACTCGCCTTTTTGGCTGTCTTGATATGGCCTCTTTCCATAAGTCTATTACTGTTTGTTCTTGTTGCAAGCTGTGCACCATCTTACGTTAGTGTTAACACTTTTAGCATTGTAAACACCAGTATTGTTAGCATTGTAAAAACAAGTAATAAGTAATCAAATACATTGTTTGCAAGAATCTCAAAACACAATGATGCCAAATGGCTTCAAAATACAACGGAAACAGTAACTCGGAAATTTAGGTGGTACCGAGCTTGCAGCGTTCCCTAGTGTAGAAAACACAATCCATATTGAAAACACCATCCATAAGCGCTGAAGTAGAATTTATTATTACAATTCTTTTCAACCTGGAATGCATTTAAATATTTGTTTCACATCAAAGCATGGTCCTTTATTTTCCAAAAACGCGTATATATATGATTCGAAATAATTTTATGAAATTTAAAGAGAATTCTCACATCGTCTAAAACATACAACATTCAGAACATACATTGCACTATTATGACGGTGAATATTTCAGGAATTTTTAATAATTTTTCCCTCGAAGGATACGTGATACATTTGAAAATTGTCTTATATTAAAATGTGAGCATCATATTTCCCTAAAATACCTTTAGATTTTTGGATATATATAATCAAATTTTTTAGTTCATAAAAGTGCTTTTGGACGCATTTTTCGTTTTCCACGTCAAATTTCAGAAACAGGAAATATTCAATTGTGATGGCATGTCTTCGGATCATCCTCAGGGATGTTTCCCAGACAGTCGCCAATAGCTTATTGTGCAGCTCTAGTGCGACGGCGACGTAAATGAACAACAACAACGAAACAGGAAATAAATTTCGTCTACTGGGACTGTCTTGTTCATTTACGTCGCACTAGAGCTGCGCAATGGGCTATCTACTGGGACTGTCTAACAACATTGCAGTTCTAATACGCACTAAACTAGAGCGCACCGGCTGGAAACTGTCCAATGACAGGGCTTGCTGATGGTGAGTCTCCCGAAGCACTTTGTAAATGAAGTAAAAATAAATATGGGTATTATTTTCTATATTCGTAATGGCAACTAACTAACGTAGCTTTTGTTTGTAAGGTTTGTTGATAGCGCCGTAGTTTTTTTTTTCAATAATATATTTATATATTTTAATCGAAAGTTGAAATTGTTTTATTAATTTTTTCTAACTAGTATGAATTCTGATGTAAATCGGAAAGGTTTGTACTTCATTTTTTGACAAACTGCTTTACTTTTTTTTTGCTTACTTAGATCTTTATTACAAGAATCATTGTAACTTTTTTTTATTTGATTTTATTTAGTCATGGCCATTCAGGCTAAGAAAAAGCGATCTAAAGGACCAAAATCTAAGTTGAAAAGTCGACCAGAAGTCACTGAGTCACGAAAAGCGTAAGTTACAGTTGAAAGTAAAAATTAATAAAAATGTGTATGTTATCGATTATGCATTTGCGTAACGGATGATCATTTTTAAATATAAGTTGGTTTTTATATCGGTCACTGAGTATCTTAGTTTTATGGTGTTATTCGTCTACAGTGACTTCTTAGTTTCTCATATTAACATCTGACATTGAATGTTAAGATGTTTTATTAATAAAAAATATTATCGTAACGTGACATAGGCGTCACAATATCTCTGATTGTTATGTAAGTGGTGTGTATTTTAAATGTCACTTCAGCTGCACCTTATTAAATGGATATATTTCAAAGCTATTTATTCTGATATATTTATTTATATCTGCAATCGGAGTTAATAAATCTGTGTAACGTGGTTGGTTGATAATTTGAAGGAATTCTTATGAAGTTATCGCTTTTTTAAAGCAGTAAATTACTACTATCAAAATCTTAATGTTCTAAAAAAATATTTTTGGTTCAACATTATTTGCTTATTAAATATTTACATTTAATCTGACGAAAAGTCTTCATGTGCTAAAAGTTATTCTAGAGTTAGTTCAATCCTTTACATAGTTCTGCTCATGCATAGTTCAGTTTGAATTCTAGTAGTTCCATTTTTTCACAGTATTAGCTTTTATTGCTGGGTAAAATTAAGAAGATTCTATTTGTTTTCCATTGTATTATTTTAAATATGAGTTTGAAAATAATTTTATGACCCATTGTTGTAAACCATTTTGTAGAAATGCTGAATGAGAAGAACCTTTTTGCATTACATTGAAAAAAATTTGGCTTTAAAAATGTTTAAATGTTAGTTTGGCGTAACACATATGTTCTATTCTATAATTGTTGGTGAACGTCTGTGGGTGGAGAAGAAACTTAATGAAAATTTAAAAATTAATTTAAATTGAGGAGAGCTCAGGGACAAAATAACATCGCAATTATTATTAAGTTTGCTTCACCAATTACAAAAATAATGGCATTTCATTCTTTTTGCATTGTTTTTTTAAGTAGGTATATTTTCTGTAAGTAATATTTTCTGTAAGTTTTTCCCCAATAAAGATTTTAAAAATGAAGTCATTAATGGTGCAAAACAAAATGTGTTTAACATGTTACATTTAAAATAAAGATTTGACATTTCGATTTTGATAAGAAAATATACTCTGAAAAGTTTAATTTTGTTTAGTTAAAATTTCATTTGCAAGAATTTTATTTTTAAAATAGCATTTTTTTTATTTGTATATCTTTAAGCTTTTAGAGTAGGTAATTTTTTTCTTGTTTAGTAGCACATTATACTTTTCTCCAATATATTAAAAGCATTCTTCAAAGGAATTCTTATATCTCTTCTGCATTATTCATTAAAATGTATTCTGTTGATTTGTTATAAGAAATAAAATGCTGATACATATTTAATTGTCGTATAGAATTAAAAGATGTACCAAAAATATTGGTTTTATATTTTATTTGGTAATAAACTAAGTTCTCATTAATATTTATAAAAAATCTTGATGCTTATTGCATACTTAATTGAAAATAAAAATTGATTCTTTCATTTTTCTACTTTACAAAAGAAAGGACTTATTATATATCATATTTAGAAAATGTGGCATAAGTCTAAGACCATTTCATCAAACCAACTGGGCATAAAAAAATATGGCAGATGGATGCTGATAGCTTGCCAAAATGTTATTTAAAATTAAAACGTTACCCCCCCCGATATGATGCAANCCCCCCCCCCCTCCCGGCTATAAAATTTCCGAGTGGAGTTGTAGTACAGGGCTATATGAAAGGTTGGATAGGTGAGGACAGCACCTTGGAGTTTAGAAAGAACATGGGACCAAAGAAAAGGCACAATGTTAAATAAAAAAAGACCCAGCTATATTGGTTTGGAACTCAATTCTTAACTCACAAAACTGACAAAGTGAAAGATAAGTGTGGTGAATGTAAAACAGAAGTGGCTCTTATCCCAGGAGGCCTCAACCAGTTATGTGTTCTTAAGCTCTTAAAGCACAGAAAAACTGGTAAAAAATGATGGTATTTTTTTCTATATATATACAGAAAAGGAATATATAGGTTTAGTGTAAGTTATTTTTTGAAATTTCAGCTGTAGGAAGTTGGGGTTAGTGTAAGAAATTATATATAGAAAAAATTACTGTACAAACAAAGTTTAAACAATTTGATTACAATGTTTATTTTGAATTTCAAAATATTAAAATCAAATTAAATCAACTCAAGAGTTCATCGCTAAAACTTTTTGATAAATTTGCTTATTCAAAATCGTCAGTCACTCGTTATCAGATAACTTTTTCCAAACAAGTTGCAAAAACACTTGCCCATGTGAGAAACGGGCATGTGCAGATTTTCAGGTAACTTAAAAAAAGTGAAAATTTTAGAAAAGTATATCTAGTAACAGTTGCACAGTGTGTAAAAAAAAGCTTGGATGGATAATTCTTTCAATGTCGTAATCGGATTTTTTTTTAAATATTGCATCAGTAACAAAATAGATGGGAGTGAAGATCATTCAGCCTAGTGGTTCCTAAAGGGAGTTCTGTAGAACCCTGGAGTTCTATAGAACAGTTAAAGGAGTTTCACGAGTTAATCAGTGATGAGTTTTGTAACCTATGTTTGTATTTAGATTGAGCCTATAATTCATAATCTATTTAGTCTTACGGTTGCCTTTATGAAGTTATTTCAAGTAATATACCAATGACATAAAAAAAAGGAAACTATAATATTTCTAATAACAATATATTTGACAAATTCTGAAAAAAACAAGCATTTATAAAATGTTCCATTAGTATTTCCTATCACGCTTTTGAAATCAAAATAACTAAAATCTTTAATGAAGAAATATGTGTAGCATTTTTTTTTTTTTTGAAGTTTTCATTTTGAAATAAACTATAATTTAACTTATTTTAATCATTTTCAGCTTACGTATATATACACTAGAAACAAATTCAGAACTAGTCTAGATATATAACTAGGACTGCAAATTTAACTCTTGGACATAAAATCTAATTTAAGATTATTAATGATAATCAATGGAAAATCCTTGTTTCTCTAATACTTTAAATAAAATCTTTTATAAGTTATAACGTTCAAAATTACCTTAAATTTTGTTAAAAAGTCGGGGTTCAAACGAAATACGGTTGATTATTTAGGGTTCCATAACCGGAAAAAATTGGGAACTGCCGATTAAGTCTATGTAGCCACAAGTGAAGATGAAGACATTGGAAGTGAGGGTGATTAGATAGAAGATTAAAACATAATAGTATTCCTTTCAAATTCTCCTTATTAAGTGTTTCCTTTTAAATTTTTATATTTCAGCATTCTCAACTGTTATCTTATTTATTTTTATTTATGTACGTTTTGTGGTATTAACCAATTATCGCTAATTCTCTAATGGTTGACAAAAGGAAAAGTATTTCTGTTGACGACTTCCTTCAATTTTTAAAAGTTAATGGATCCAATTATAAACTGCTTTGAAAAATTTTCTGGGAATTCTTGGTTTATATTCAGAAATATAGATGTATAAATTGTTACTAAATAGTGTCTGTGCTAGTTAAATGCCATTTTTAAGGTGAGTGTCTCTAGTTAGGTCATCAAGCCCATTCAGATTGAATACTGCTTCATGAAAATTTTATTTTAAAAATTATTCAATGGCTTTTCTGTTAGGCACTGTGGGTACAATAATTTTATTTTTTATTTCTTATAACAGGTTAGTTTTAAATCTAAGCTTAATTTTACTTTTGATTTATTATAAGTGATTGTTAAAAGAATAACATTTACCATGCATTTTTTTTTTTTAAAATTAGATCTAATGTTCGACTAAGTGATTCAGAATTGCATTTTGAAGATGAAGAGGATGAAGAAATTTTAGGTTCAGATGATGATGAGCAGGAAGATCCTCGTGACTATTGTAAAGGTAGTAATAGATATATTTTAACATTATGCATTTTTTTTAAAATATACTTGTAACTTTTTTTTCAATTTAAACTCATTCATTTGAATTATTTATAATCATGTGGATTTTCTTATTTTTCAGGTGGTTATCACCCAGTGAAAATTGGGGATTTGTTTCATAGTCGCTATCATGTGATTCGCAAACTTGGATGGGGTCATTTTTCTACAGTTTGGCTTTGTTGGGATTTAGTGTAAGAATATATTTTTATGCATTCATTTGTAATTTTTTCTTATCTCAGAAAGATGTGAATAAATTTTTTTCTTTCTTGTCTTGAAAATTAGCAACGTGAGATAAAGGGGGAAAAACTGTAATCTTTTTAAAGTAACAATTTAATCTACATCTTGTGTAGCAATTTTAAGCATATTGGTCATACAAATTAAATATTCAAACAAGAAACTGTTTTTACAATTCTTTTAGAGCAGTCTAAAGAAAAATGATAAAATTTTGGACAAGGCAAAGAAATTTGCAAATTTTTTTATTCACAATTTTGCATGCACAAAAATATAGTTATTGCACATATTCAGTTTTATATTTCTCCATCTAAAAACTGTTTAATTATTTTCTAAACAATATACTTTTTTTATTCAAAAATATTAAAATTTAAGGTCTAACAGTGTTTCAATGTATGTACATTCAATTACCGGTCATTTAAATGCTGTTGTGCATTTTCAGTGCTGAATGATACTGAGTATAGTACATTTTTGTTATGAACTTCCGAAAATATGTTTTTCTTAATTTAGCAACATTAAAACTCTAGTTAGGACAGAAAATATAAATTTAAGAAAATTAAAACTATTTAAACAATTTAAATTGTCCTGTTATCATTCAATATTGTGCATATTATTAGTTTGAAATTAGTTTTATGCATAATCATTTATGATTTTTTTTTTTTACTCTGTACAAAGAACAGTACTTAACTAATATAGAAAGAAATATCAAGAATTTCATAAATTATGTTTTTTAATTTAATTACTTCACAAACTTTAATAGTCAATGCCATTTATTATAGAAATTTAATGTAATTTGGTATTCTTTTAACCTACTACCTTTTAACCTACTATTCCTTTAACTAACTACTTTTTACCTTCAGTAGGTTAAAGAAATGTCTTCTTTGGTATTTCTTTAACCTACTTAATTTCGTTTAATAAATTTATATATAAACCAAATATAAAAATACTAATTTTATATATCTTAGGGGCAAGCGATTTGTTGCTTTAAAAGTTGTAAAAAGTGCATCACATTATACTGAAACAGCTCTTGATGAAATTAAACTTCTCCGATCTGTAAGTGCAATTTTTTGCTTTTAAAAAAACTTAATTTCTTAATTGAACACTTTTTAACATGTGTTTTTATATTTTGCAGGTTAGAGATACAGATCCGAATAATTGCTACAGAGAAAAAGTTGTACAATTACTTGATGATTTTAAAATATCGGGTGTGAATGGAACACGTATCCTTTTCTTTTGTTATTAATAATCACAATTTTACTTACTTCTTTTTTAAATTTTTTTTTTTGCAAGCTGTATTTATATTGTAAGATTTACTGTAACTATCATAATATTGAGAGGTATGCTTTTTATTAATATCCAGGCTTTATTGCTAATTAATGGCCGGTATAGTAGGGCGCTGGGCCCATGTCCGAGAGCTCGTGGGTTCAAACCAATAACTCTGGGGGTACTGAATTGGAGATTGATCGTTCTGTGATTCATGTCAAAATTACGATCTGTGGAGTGGGTGTAGCAAAAGTTGAATTCTTGGCCATAGAAGATACCACTGGAAAACAAGAACAGTCGCACCCTTCTGCCTTAACAGGCATACGAAAGCAAGCATTGCTAATTAATAAAAATATTTTCACCTATTAGTCTATTTGTAACATAGGAAATAGTTTATGTTTAAAATGTAATAACAAATGTAATTATTTTTTATTTAAAATTAATTATTACATGTTCTTTGGTTATCATATGTAAAAGAATAAGGTATTCTCAAAAAAATTATTTTCTTTAAATGCACAAAACTAAAAATGATTAATACAATTATTTAAATTTATACTTAAAAAGTAATTTAAATTTTAACAAATAAAATTGAATGTAAGGCAAGAAATTTAAAAGCTTTTCACATTTACTTTTTTGAAATATTAATTACTAGCTGTATGCATGCATTGCAAAGCTTTCAGTTTGAATTGTAATTTTGTATTTAAGTGAGTAAATGAGATTTGTGATTGTGATTTAAAATGAGTATTTTATTTGATGGTGAAAAAACCTGTGATTGTCTCAGCAGTTAATTCTCTGGGATATCGTTTGTGCATGTGAAACATATTTTGGATGATGATCTGAAATAAGTCTGGATAAGTGGTGACATCAGGTATTTCTGCCAATATGAGCTGGCCAATTTGGCATGGTGTGATTTTTTCACTAAGCCAAATCATGTGGCAATCCTCTTTTTTATCATTCAATAGAATATATCAAACACCGTGTCTCTCCAAAATTATGACGCTTCACAATGAAATCAAGTATAGAGCTTAATATTTCAGTGAGGACTATAGTTGGTTGTCTGATCATAGTGAAATGCACTAAGATTCAATTCAGAGTATTGGCAACGTCTTCTGTCTTAATAGCAAAGTGCGTTCTCGATTGGTTTTCATTCTTGCTTCCTGTAGTTCTGATGTTTCAGACGAGCGGGCTTGAGTAGTGCGTTTTTGATCGGTTTTCATTCTTGCTCCCCGTTGCTCTGATGTGTCCGACAAACGGGCTTCAGTAGTGTGTAGTGATTTGTTAAGTCATTTTTCCCTTTGCTCCAATGTTTCTGAAACACGGGTAGTTCTCTTTTTGCACGCTTGAGATGTTGTTTGACTAAAAGCGATTCATTTAGGCGGCATATTTTTGCAAATATTCTCTCACACAAACAAAAAGAAATGTAAAAGTTAACAGTAGTCGTAAATTTGCTATACTGAAAATTAGCATATTTATTTTAAATAGTAAAAAAAGCAATAAAAATGAAATAAATTAAATAAGAAATATAAAAATGATAAAATTTAAAACAAAAATCTATTTTTTAAATGAAAGAAATAAAATGAATGAATTCGAAAACTTTGTGATAATAAACAATCTAATGGTTTTCAAATGACAACTGTCAGCAATGAAATCTTCGAAAACTGTATTTAATTGTGCTAACCTAATATTGCATACTAAATATAAATAATTATTGAAAACGTGCAATTTGAAGGAAATTTGTTTTTACCTTGATTTTTATTAAACAGTTTTCAAAATTCTAAATCTGTGATACTACCAATATGGATGGAACAGGATTAATTTCTTAACTTTCTAAGAAACAATCTGCTATTTATATTGGATTTATTTTTCTATTCTAAAATGACAAGAAATTAGAGTATTATAAATATTTGTGGTGTTAAAGTTACTTTAATTAAAAAAATATTGAGTTACACAAATTTTAAAAAGTTAATACTTAATAAAGAATCTATTTTAATTGAATTAAAAATAATTCATTTTCCTTGTAATATCAAAAGAGTTTCTCTTAACATTTTATTAGATGTTTGCATGGTATTTGAGGTGTTGGGTCATAATTTATTAAAGCTTATCATTCGATCTAACTACCAAGGAATACCATTATCAAATGTGAAGTTAATCATTAGACAGGTGAGTCTTTATTATTTTATAGGCACTTAAAATTCTTTTGCTCTATCAACTTTCACTTGTTTGCTAATTTCTAGAATTTGTGCGAACAACATTTGTACTTTTCTTGAAAATACAATGCTTAAATGTTTAGCTCTAAAATGTTCTTTCAAAGCTTAAGATTGATTTTTATTTTTTCTGTTCTGCTCGTTTATATGATCTGTTTATGGGCTTTTTATGACAATGCAGCATTTTTAAAAGCATTTCTGATAGACTATCTCCTTTAATGTTTTGTGGATACTTTTTTTTCTTTCCTGAAAATGTTATTTTTTGTATAAAGTTTTAAGAATAAGTGGATATTTTTTCTATATCTCTACTTTTTTTCAACTTCAATTTTTTTTTTTTTTTTTTTTTAAATAGCTGTTAGTCAGTTTTTTTTATTTATCTTAAATAATATTTCTATTATAGTTTTTTCCCATTCCCCACACTAATAATATTGCTCAGTTTTGATTATTTTTCAATAATAACTAAACTTATTTGCGCATAAAAAAATAATTATAAATGATTTTTTTTTTTTAAATGTTGCTATTCAGCCAAATCACTATTTGTTAGATCCTTACTGTGAAGTAGATAAATTTTTATGAAGTAAGCTGTTTAATTTTAGTAATTATAAAAATAATATAGTAGTTTTGTTTGATGTGAAGGTTATCATTTCAAATTAATTTAAAACTTTATACTAAATTATTTTATTTTTATTTTAATCAATTTTTTTCACAATAATTTCTCTTTTAAAACTCATTTAAACTCATGCAATCCAAAATTTAATTTCAGGTGCTTGAAGGTTTAGATTACTTGCATCGATATTGTAAGATAATCCATACAGATATTAAACCTGAAAATATCCTAATAGCTGTAGATGAAACATATGTGAGAAAACTAGCATATGAAGCAACTCAGTGGCAAAAATTGGGTCTCAGGCTTCCTGGTTCTTTAGGTAAGTCATCATTTCTAAATCGTTTTCAGCCTCTTCCTTTTTTGATATACATAAATACTTATGCATATAATTTTTTTCTATCTATGTTTTACTAGTTATTTTAGCAAAATTGAATCATAAATTATTATTTACAGTAGACTGTAGAAAAATAACAATTTCGTAAATATATTGCAACCATTTAAAAAGAAAATTTTAAAAACTATACAAACAAACTCGAACTGAGCATTTTTAAAGGCAGGTTTGGTTTCCTAGCTCTCCTTCTATTTATTACTACTTATATATTTATATGACATTACATATTTCTTATCTTTTTAATTTTTTATATTTCTTAAATTTATATTCATATTTATTTATTTGTAATCTCTTTCTTAAATATAAGAGTCTATAAATAATTTCTATTCAATTTTATAAAATGCAACTGTAAATCTTTCCATTTTTTTTCCTTCCTTTTTTAATAAATGTAACCCTTAACTTTATATTCCAGTGCAGGTACAACTAATAATAATTTATTCAATGTCTTGACAACAGGATGTCAAAAATCTATTTTTAATCCTTCTATCTTCAATCTGCTTGAAATATCAGTTTAAAAATGTATTTCGTAACGTAATTGCTATAATCTTTTAAAAACATTTTGGAGTTAATTTGTTTGCTAATATACACATTAAACATTGTTGGGTTGTAGCAACTTGTTACTTATTTGGCAGTGTTCATTTTTGATAAAGCGCCAATGATGAATTTTTATCTATATTTCAAAATGTCAGTTAATACTTTAATTTATTAACTTTTGATTCTTCATCTGAGAAGTTGGGATTTTGCCTCCCCTTTAGTCTCACCCCTAAAAGGGCTAAATATCTTAAAAGCATCTGATTGAATGTGAAGTATCACAACAATTCATTAATAAGATGTTAACTAAAGTGATATAGTGCATGGGTGCCCTGTTACTTTTGAGTCCCTGCCTTGGGACTCGAAACTAATGAAACATTTTATTTACTCATTCCTACTAATGAAGTGAAACAGATTTTTTTTATTTTATTGTAATGACTGAAAAGAGATAAACATGTTTCATGAAAACTGTGCTATGTAATTTTGAGTTACAAATTCAACAATAAAATTTTATGATGTAGAAGGAATCTTATTAGAATACTTTAAAAAAAATTCTGGCATTTGTTTTAATTTATATTTTCAATGCCAATTAATTGGTAGTAAGTGATAGATTAATTAACTGATAGATTTAATACTGTACTGAAAATATGTAATTTAAAATTGCACTGAAAATATAAAGAATAGTGATATGTTATGTTGTTTCAAAATTTTGTTCATATAATGCATAATTTGCTTATACTTATAAATATAATAAAATTGATAAAATTATTTCATAGTGAGTACAGCTCCTAAAGAGTTTAGAGGTCCTAACCCAAATATTAAAATGTCTAAAAATAAAAAGAAGAAAATGCGCAAAAAAGCTAAGCGGCAACAAGAGCTATTGGAAATGCAAATGCAACAACTTGAAGAATTAGAAATGGAGGAAAATTTAAACCAGGTAATTTGTCAAAATTAAGTATATTGATATATAGTACTGTACAACATCCCATATCTAGACATTTGTATTCTGGAAATGTCTATTTTCTGGACAATTTTGAACAATTAAAACAAACAAACAGATCTTATTTCCTTTTTCCAGGTTTTGATTTAAAAAAAAAAAATTTATGATCACAATCTATAAGAACATTATGTATCATAAATATATTTTTCTGGATACTAGGTCAGGTTAGAGACTTATTATCTGGAAAAATCTATTTTGCAGACCTGAAGAACTCCTTATGTTTCTAGATATGAGACTTCCAACAGTAATAGCTTTGATTAATGTTAGAAAGTATTTAAAACATCCTTTTAATTTTTGTTTAATATATTGCTTGTTTTAAATTTCTCTTAAATATTTTTTCTTTACTGGTTGAATGTATCAGTTTAATTCTTTTTTCATGTCTGCACTTTAAACACATAATTTAAGCACTAATTTTGCACATAGTGAAGTGCCAATTTAAGGAGTTTCTAGAATATTAAAATGCATGAAACTGCAAGTTTTATTTCGAAATTACATTGACTTGCTTCTCTTCTGTTGTCATACATTTTGTTTTGTAACAAAAAATGAAATTAGTGCTGTGTTAGTAAAAGTAAAATGTTTAGATTTGTTTTTATTTCAATTTTGTCTCATTAGTTTAGTTGATTGCTTCTTTAGTGATAAAATTTATTGTTACTCCAACTAGAAAAATAATTTTACTGTGGATGTTTTCTTGCTTGCCTGGTAAATCATTTTGAATTACATTTTGGTTTTTAGTCACATAGTCTTCTTTTTAAAATGTATTATTCTTAGAACATTAATTTGTTTGAGGATGCAAATTTAAAGTTGAATTCTGATCATTTAAGTAAGATATGGGTGTCCATATTCTTAATGTTGTGTAAACTTAGCTATTTATATATACATCAAAATTAATTTATAGAGCCTGGATTTTAATGCCCTTAAATAGCAACAAAAAAAAAATGCCATTAAAAACATTAAAACATACTCTACGAAGAAATAAAATATTATCAGAATTAAATTTAATGTATTTTGATATTTTCAAATGTGAAAGAACGTCTTTTGTCTGAAATTAAATTTTTATACTTGAAAAAGCTTCTTTTAACATTTACAGTGCATATTGGGGGGTGGGACTCTTTTATCTTAATAGGTTAGTTGTCACTTCACCTATTAAGTTAAGGGAGATCATGAGTCAATCCGGAGAGGCTCCCTCACGAAAAACGCTAATAAAACAGCCCTTTCACAAAATTTAAATTTTTTTATAAAAAACATCCTCTTTGCAAAATTCTAATTCCTAAAGGCAGCCCCTTCGGCAAGTTTTACTTAATAAAAATTGTGTATATTGTGTGTTGTTTATATCATGAATGGATACAGTGTGTTTATAGTTTTGATATAAAAACAATTAAATGCTTGTAACTGATCAGATTTGCTGTTAATTAATTTCTGATTCTCTGCATTTAGGAAAGACCAGGTGATTGTGATAATGCAGAAGATGATTCCGAAACAATCGACAATGAGAGATGCAATGGCAGCTCAGATGACAATTGTGGTGGTATGCATTTTTGTTTTCTCTTTATTATTATATAATAAAACCTCAAATTAAAACAAGTCTCAAACATTTGAGTTTGAAATTGTTTATTTCAAATAACTGCTGTGAAATATTTTTTTGTTTCACATAAGTTTTAGTTTAGACTCTTATTAAATCATTATTTTTGCTTCATTTCATAAAATCAGGGATGTTAGTGTTTCAGTTTTTTTTATTTTCTGTAACTGAAAATGTGTTAATTTTTGCCTTGATTACTTTTTGATTCTTACGAAAAATATAATATTATTATTTTTTAAATAAAAATCCTTTTTTTAGTACATAATTTTTAGTACATTATTATTTATTTTTTGCCCACAGTAAATAAAGGAAAACAAAGTATATGTTATAGGGAGGGAAAGTGAATTTTTCTTTTTAGGGTTGCCACAATGCAACTGAATTCTTAGAAATGCATGTTATGAATAACATTTGTCACGTTCCTGATTCAACTTTTCTGAACATATTTCTGGATAAGTCATTACAAGTGTAGTTGATTGAGCCTACTAAAACAAACTGTTATTATGAAATATTTTAAGCGAATCTATATAGAGGTTATTCATATAAGTGTGCATTTAAATTGTGTGTTTAGGAATTTCCAATTTAAAATTAAATTTATCATAAATAAAACTAAAATTGAAGATCTTAAGATATGTTTTTATTTTTATTAGTGCTCTTTTTAAGTTTTAATTTTTCTTCCCTTCAAGTTCAAATTAAAAGAGTATTTTCAGCAAATACAATAACAAATCTTAAAGGATTGAGTTCTGCTGTTCCATAGTCATTGATCCATCTTTATCATCTGATTTTAAAATCAATACTACAGTAGAATATCATATCATATAACTTTTTTTAAATTGTGATATCATCCATAAATTACTATGTACAAAATATTAATGATATATTCCTTGTGCTTTCATTTCAAGGTTATTGAAGTCCTACTTTAAAATTATTTGAAATCTGGAACTGGATTACAAATTTTAATTAAATATTGGTATCGGGGGAATATTAATTAATTGATGCTAGTTTTTTTTTAATGCTACAGGTGTATGAAAGTTTTCTATCTATTGATCTCGAAACTGTTATGAGTTCAGTGCTCTGTTGATAATTTTTATTTTGTTGTAAAACTTGTTCTAAAAAAAGTAATTCTGAAATTAAAAATATGTAGCTTATTTTATCATTCTTTTGCAATAATTTTTCTTTATTAAACTTGAGTAAAGCAAATTATACTTTTTTTAGTTTGTTATTTGTCTTTTCAAAAGTAGCTGATATTATGTGTGCCATTTTTAAATAAAATGTCATAATTTTTTTTTTTTTTAACAATTTGACCGATTTGCACAAATTTTGTATTTTGTCTTGTAAAATTGCATATTTTAAGTGATATAAAAAGTTTTATGCCTGAAAAAAATTTTGACGATTATAAAATAAAATAATAGATATTTGTTAAAAATCTGTTTTTTTTTTTTTTTTTTTTTTTTTTTTTNTACGGTTTTTTTTTTTTTTTTTTTTTTGGGGGGGGGGTATAGATTTTAGCATGCAAAAAAATTTTGAACAAAAGGATTTTTAGGTCAAAAGTTATTCTGGGTGATCCTTTTTATAATTTAGATAAAAATTATGCTCAAAAAAATTAAATAATTTAAGTTAAAAAATTCATGAATGGAATAATTACAATTTTAAAAATGGAATAAGTCCTTCTGTCTATAAGCAAGTAATTCAAGTTTTGGGGAATTAAAAATTTATTTTTTAAATTTTTTTTATTTTTCAAAATTATAGTTAATTAAAGAACATTATTTGGAATTTTTAAAAAGCATCAATTTTCTTTTTCTTATATATCTGTAGATTGGCAAATAAATTTTGTTAAAACCTAAAACAAATTGAATTAAAAATAATTTTTCTGTTTCTCTTTTCACTAATATTTTAGGCAGATGCTCTAATATTTTTTGAGGTGAGAAATATCCGCAGATTCTCTGTGCCAATTATATCTGTTAAAAACTTGGTAGTTCTTTGTAGATATATATGTTCTTTGTAGTTAGATCAAAGTATCTTTGTTTATACATTTCTTATTTATACATCTTTTTCATTTATACATCATTTTATTACAATCCCAGTTCATTATTAATCTTTGCAGCATTAAAATATTTCATTTATATGGCAGGGAAAAAAAGTATCGGTTATTCAGTTACACTATGTCATTTTTTTTTTTTTAATGTATCCATATTTGTTCTGGATTCAAGAAACTCTTAAGTGAGGTTCTAAAAAAAATAAAAATCCTTTCTTAACTTCATATTTTTAAAAAGTGAAAAATGTCTTCAAAATTCATAGCAATTTCATTAAAAGATATTTGTAACATGTTTTGTTTTTAATTTTTATTACTACCTCTATTGTTTTCTATCTCAATAATATTGAGTGCAAAATTATTATGGTTAATTTCTATTATTTATTTGATTTATATGTACTATATACCTCAAACTATTAATTTAAATTATATGTACTATACGTCTTTACATTTACATCTCAATTGACATCAATCCTTTAAAAGGCACATTAACAATGTTTTACTGTGCTTTGAATTTGGTGGGGAAAAATTGGCTTCTTTAGCAAACTATGTATTTCTATTTTCATTTTTCTTTCATTGATTTTTCAAACTGTTGGGAACCACTTTATTTTTATTGTCAAAATCACTTACTAATTTTGAAATGATGCTTTGAAATTTTTGAAGGACAAAGCATCTGCATCACTAAATCATCATATGGGCATTCACCTAGTACATCTGTTTCCCCTTCAAAAGAAGAATATTGTGAAAATGTGCCTAGAATTGGGAGTGTGGAAAGACCAAGACTATCAGTTTCTGCCGAAGGTCTGTGCAATGGTCATGAAGATAATGTAGATGATTCTTATTTATCATCAAGGGGCAGGCTTGAAAGGTCTGAAAGTACACTTGCTCCTTCTTCTCATCAAAAATCTAAAGAGCCGGAAATAAGAAGAGTTGCTTCTTGTCCTGGTAAGTGAAAAATTTTTTTTACATATATCTTTAGTACATCTTCATTCGTAATTTATCTGTTAAGCTCTCTATTATTTCAAATCAGGGTTGGCAAGTTTTTGACACATGACGGTTTATACCATGGTTTTTACCGTCATGTCAAAAAAACCTCTGTCAAAAACCCATAGCTTTGGTAAAGCTGTATTTTTATTTGAGTTTAACTGCTTGTAATTTAAAATTAATTCATTTTAGGCAATAAAATTAGAAAAAAAGTTGTTAAAAGATATTTAAGAACAGATTCTTGCATTTTCCCAACATGATTATATTAAAGCATACTATTTGAAGTAAAATATTAGGATACTAAACAAAATTTTCAACATTTCCGAGCATCATTTTGTTTGGCATATTACATTACTGAAGAATGTCAAGTCATTCTTGACTTAGAGTTTGTTAGTAGTTACAAGTTTTGAAAGTTTTGTTTAGCTTATTTCTAATATTTAAGAAATGCCAAATTTTAAATTCTTCTTTTTAGTTCTTGAATTTATTAATAGTTCCAAGCTTTTTTGTTTGTTTGTTTATTTCTAACAATTAAGAAGTGCAAAATTTTGAATCCTTTGCAAATCAAGCTATAATGATAAAAGTAAGTATCACTATTTTCAATAAGTATATTACAATATTTCTGTATGAATGTATATCCTTCCATAAGAATACGTGTATGTAGTTGCAAAATCAATAGCAATCATTTACAACATTAATTTATAAAGGCAATTATGTGAAAATAATATATTGTCCACCATATGCCATAAATAAAAGAAAACAGTAGGTTTTTGACTGTTTTTACCGGTAAAAACACGGTTTTTACCACTGTCATGTCAAAAACCAGTTTTTGACGGCAAAAACCCAACTCTGTTTCAAATTAGTGGTATGTTTATATGAATGGGTAAGCTAAGTGAAAAAAGGCTCTAAGCACAGTTGGCTTTTCATTTGAAGGAAGCCTATTTCTTCTATAAAAAAAAAAAACTGGAAGTATTTGGACAAATGTAAGAAATTGAAGGAAATGAAAAAACAAAAGAGTAATTTAAATATTTAGAAGTCTCATAAAAATAGCTTAAATTTAAATAAATTTAGTTTAATATAATACCAGAAAGTTATAAGTTTTCCACTCTTACTGTTAAAAAACAATAAGTGTAAATAAAAACAGAATTTTAAAAATTAATATACCATATTAGTGAAGAATCTGTTGTTATATGTTAAAAAATATGTTAATTTGTTAATATTAATAAATTTATAGCAGCTCTTTATATAATTATGAAATTCAGTTTTACTATACTCATTTGCCTAAAGAATATTAAACTTATAATTCTTTTATTTTTTAGGAAATTCATGAAACATTTTCTTTTCAATTTTCACTTATTCAAAAATATCTTAAAAATTAATACTATTATTTAAAATAGATTGCATTAAAAGTTTGTATTAATTTTTGATATTTCTTTTTGTAAAAAGAATTTCTACCACTTGGTTGAAAGTAACCTATTTCTAATGGAACCTTTTTTCCCCACTGTTGAAAAAACTTGCCATCCATTGAAATGTGTCGATATACGTATCATCAACTTTGGAAGATCTTCAGCCATGCAAAACCGAAAAGCTAGCTTTATTAAACTCAATTGTAATACATTTTAGTAGACACTGTCGAATGCCATAGAAATCTAATTGGAAGCTTTCAGAACATTTATTTTTGCTTTAGAAGCATCTTGCAGATCCATGGAATCAAGAAAACAAAATGAATTCCTAACCAGTTGTTTAGTGTAACATCCTTTAAATCAGTGTTTCTTAACCTTTTTGATACAATGGACCCCTTTTAATTTTTTTTAAGAAGTCACGGACTACCCCCCTGAGAAAAAAATTGCAAAAAACATCAATTTTTAGTATTTAATTTATTTCAGATTTTAATTTTATGATTTCAATAGTATACAAAATATTTAAAATTAAATTTTTTAGTCTGAAGGTTGTTGCTGNAGCTTCCATATTTCCTTTACTACCTGTCCTTTTGCTTTTGCTCATCCCACCACACTTTTGATTCTAGGAGAAAATCCCCTCTCACTGAAAAAAAGACCATAAAATCCAAAGAATGTCAGAACTGCTCAAGCTCTCTTTTTTTTAAAAAATAAGAGAAATGAAAAGAAAGAAAGAACTTAGAAAAAATTTGTGCAAACTTTGTAGAGAAAAAATAATAACTTTGACTTGATTTCTTAGAAAACATATAAAGTGGGTTTTTCTTGGAAAAAGGTAACATAAAATCTGGGATAATTTAACATTATTGGTATAGGCAATTTTTCTACAACAGTTCATAATTTTTTTTTTTTTTTTGGTTATTGAGTACCTTTGAAATCTTTACTTGAAGTAAGAATTGTTATTTTTAACTATAAATGCTTTTTACACATTTAATAAAGCTATGCTGTGAAAATGTTTTTTGAATTTTTGTATATTCAAATAAAATTGTAATTTCATATAGTTTCTTTATAATACTTATTCAAATATACTAAGCAAGAAAATAATGATGATTTCTTATGTTTGTGTAACTTTGCTTATGGCCAAATATTGTATGGCTGAATTTTATTCTAAAATATCTGCTAATATTGTAACTATTCTGTTATTTCAAGATGTGTAATGCATTAAATATGCTTTTTTGTTTTGTTCATTGTTAGAAAACGACAAACCGATGGACCATAAGCCTGATCCAGTTCATGAAGTTTGTGATATATCTGTAAAAATAGCTGATTTGGGCAATGCGTGTTGGGTTGTAAGTATATGTTATTTCAAATACCTAAAAAATTTTGATAATAAATATTATGGTTTACAATGTATTAAAAATAAATGAAAATCTCATGTTAATGCCACCATCATATCATCCATCATTTAACTCAGAAAAAGTGTATTTCAGTGTTGGTGGAAAAAATATTTTCTTCTAATTATTAGGCAACATTTATTGTGCACATTATAACTTAGTTTTTTTATATTGACATTAGAAGGCTTTTCTCCCTGTTCACTGTTTTTCGTCTGATCCCATGATTGCTCCTTGGTCAGTTTTATTTCTTTGCTATTAAAAGATTTAAAAATCAAAATTAAGAACTAAGCAATTGAAAGATCTTAAAATGCTTTATTCTATTCATAGAGATTGGGATCTACAAATTTATTTTTTAAATATTAACTCAAGTTTCACTTACTTCAAAAACTTATTAAGTGTTTTTTGCCGGAATCAAATTCATCAGTAATGTGAAAAGTTAATTTCTAGTATTCCTTTGCAATTTTAAATAATTATTTAAAAAGTATATGTTGTCTGTTCACGATTTTACATAAAATATTTAATAAAAATAAATTAAGATTTTTACTTGATTGTGGAATGGTAATTCAATATGTTTACTATAAAGTATTGCATTTTTGGGTATTATTATGGAATTACTTTAAAAAAACACAATTTTTAGTTTTAAGCTCTCAATTTTCAATGAGAAGTTAAGAAAGGAAGATAACTTCATGAAACGTCTTTTAAATACGACTTTTATGAAATTAAAACTGATGAAAATACCATTAAATTAGGTATGAATAAATAATATACACCGCCATAACATTTATTAACTTTATTTGATGGTAGCCAAAAATTTCTCAGTTTGTTTATTAACAGTGTCATTTGAAATTCTTTTGCTAAGGAAAGTTAAAAAGCCACGGTTTAACTTACGGCAAATCTATAATTTTGAACTGTATAATGCAACCGTCTAATCCTTCTACTACCTTTAGCCATTCAATTCATTTAAGTACTACAGATTGAGTTTCTTTTTTATTTTTAATTTGGCTCTACATTTTATGAATCCTTTTGTAAATTGATATCATTTTCATTTCCTTTATATTTAGTTAACTACTATGATATAGTAACTCAATAAAGCAGAAATTAGAAACAATGCTTTAATGTATTATAAGAAATTTTAGTGCCATTTTGTATATTAGTTATTAAAAAGTATATAAATAAGGATTACATGTAAAAAAGAAAAGTATTTTATTACACATAATTACGGTTAGCTGCATTGCTTAGATGGTAAGAGGAAGAGATATTTTCAGGAATTTAAAATATTATATAATAAAAGAAAGCAGAAAAAGGATTACTTATTTTCTTTAACCTATGCTATACATCAAAATATACTTAATTTAGCTGGAATATTTAAATGTTTTTTCCCCCTTCAATAAAATCATTTATAGTAATTGGTCTTGCTGCATATTTTTTAATGTGTTTACGTGAAAAAGGAAAATTTGGTGATCACTTTTTTCAAAATTTTGTATTAAAATTACGTAAAAGTGTTAACTGTTTGTGTATTTTATTTTACTTTTTTGTCTATTAATTATTTTTTTCAATTTAGCATCACCATTTCACAGAAGATATTCAAACTAGACAATATAGGTGCTTAGAAGTTTTGTTAGGTGCCGGGTATGGACCACCTGCAGATATTTGGAGTACCGCTTGTATGGTAATAAAATTGTATTTGTTTTTAATTTTTGCTTGCTCACATTTGCAAATCTGACTTGCTTTCTGAAAATAAAGATTATTGTTGTATACTATATATTGTGACCTGTAGTTGCTGCCCTTATAGTATATTTGTGGAATTCTTGTCAAGAATACATTTTTATGCCATTCAAACCAGCACATATTTAAGTGCGAAAAAAGTAAAATGCTATCAAATCTGAAATAAGTATTTATTAAACTGAAATATAAAAATAGAAGTATTCTTCAAAACTCTTTATCTTTCAGATAACACTTAAACATATTTTTTTCTAATTTCTCTTGGCAAGAATAATTCAGTGGGGAATACATGGAAAGCTGCAGAGCATTAAATTGATTTAATTTATTCCAGTGTTCTCCCTAAGCGTTTTTAGAAGGGCTACCTGCCCTTTGACCTACCTAAATGCATCCTTGTAAAAATAAGCCCTCCTCCCTTAAAGCTCTTCCTTTTTTCTTTTTCTTTTTTTCAGGAAAGATTGTTTTCGTAACTGCCTGTTTTAGTGAAAAGTCTTAAGAAAAAAATCCTCCCCCTTCATACCATGTAACCTGATATGCCAGCTATCTTATTTACTCTCCATCAACAGATTCTCCACAAAAAAATAAATATCGTTCCAGAGTTAAGCAACCCTATCTTTTTCAAGGTTTTTGAACTTGTAATAGAAGTTTCTGTGTTTTTACTGTTCTAAATTTGAATACTGTTTCAGACATATTGATTCGTTAGATTTGCGTCTTTCTGTTTTTAAAGATCAATAAATAAAAGAAAATGAAACACAAAAAAGATTTTACAAAAAGCAGCTTAAACTGTTAATAGTTGAGTACTTTGATAAATAAAAACAAGGTAAGTGTTCAATATAAGAACATTATAATTTTAATTACCATTTTATTAAATATCACTTTAAAAAACAAAGAACATTTTTCATTTGTACTAAACATTTGGTGAGTGTGTGCATCTCTCCATGCATGACCACTTGCATCTTATATTTGCAAATAAGAATAGGCAGCCCTTTGAAACTAAATAAATCAGGCTATATCTGTATAACCTACCACATTTTGATGTATTTCAACAGTGTTAAATGAGTGTCCTTTTGAAACTCTTTAAGTGCCCCTTTCTGTGTGGAAGCACTCTGCCCTTTTATTCCTAAGGAGAATTCTGGAATTATTTCTTTGCTTGTTTTTTTCATAAATTCTGTACGTATTTAATGATAAGTTAATATTCTTCAGGGTGTAAGTTATTTTTTCAAGTTCAACAGAGATGTTAAAAATGCGTGGGAAAGACAGTGTTTAAAGAATGTCATTAATTTATTTATTAAATTTACATTGCTATTAAATGAAAAAGTAATAGTTTTGTTGTTACTTAATCATTATATATTTTATTTATTCAAGGCATTTGAGCTAGCAACTGGTGATTACCTGTTTGAACCTCATTCTGGTGAAGATTACTCCAGAGATGAAGATCACTTAGCACATATAATTGAACTTTTAGGTGATATACCAAAGTATATTTCATTTTCTGGGAAATATTCTCGTGACTNCAAAGATCCTATATATTTCAAAATTATATCTTTTCCTCCAGTTGTCTTTATCGAGTATAGGGCCAAAGATGGTTCGTAGGACCTTCCTTTATAACTCTTATCATATATATATATATATATTTACAATTCATTGAGAACTATATACTTTTCAAATTTAATTAGCACTTGTTGAGAACAAATTGTTTTGATGAAATGAAATATACCTAAGCCTATTTTTACGTACCATTTCTGAAAAGGAAAGTATTTTCCTGACTTTTTTTTTTTTAAATGTTTGGTGAGTACATTTATTTTCAATACCCTATTTCAGTGTTATTTTCACTTTTTTCTTCTTGTAATTAACTCATTGAATACTGAATATTTTAATAATTTATATATAGTTACGTATATAAGTTTTAATTCATACTCATTAAGTACTAATTGTTATAAATTGTGTGTTATTTTTATAATAGAATTATAATTATGATTTATGGTTAATATTCTTAACTTTACCAATGAGTTTTAATTGAAGCTGTAAATAAACTTTCATAATTGTGGATAGTTAATATTTTCATTTTTTAGGTTTTCATAATTGAATTGTAGTGATTGTGAATGTTTTTTTTTTATCACAATATTAGTTTCAAAAGTTTCTAAGAACTGCTGTTTGTTTTTTATCTATTATTTTTTCATAAATGTACTAATAACATGAAACATTTTTTTTAGACAAACAAATCATGAAAACACAAATCACATTGTATAAATTATTTTCTGAAATATACTTGTAATTTATTATATTAATATAAATCCACAGTCACAATTATTTTAAATTTCGTTTTACTATTCATGAACAGGAGTTATTGCTGAACTGATCTTTCATTATTATATAAAATTTCCAAGCTAACAAGACCTATCTCTGAAGTGATAACAATCAGAAAACAAAATTATTTTATGTTGCATTTTTTGATTAATATAAATATTTTATGGGGAGGGTATTAAAAATTAACGTAAAAAGGTTGCAGATTGAATGGCTGAAAAGATAAAATGGAACAATTAAATTTAAATTATAGCGTAGAAACAAAGCGTGTTCCACGAGGTCCAGCCGAACACATCCATTAAAAAACGAAACGTAAATACTTAAGTTAACCTATTTTTGNTCAGAAAACATTATTTTATGTTGCATTTTTTGATTAATATAAATATTTTATGGGGAGGGTATAAAAAATTAATGTAAAAAGGTTGCAGATTGAATGGCTGAAAAGATAAAATGGAAAACTTTAAAATTCAGAACAATTAAATTTAAATTATAGCGTAGAAACAAAGCGTGTTCCACGAGGTCCAGCCGAACACATCCATTAAAAAACGAAACGTAAATACTTAAGTTAACCTATTTTTGGCCAAAGATGCGCAAACACCTCATTTCAATAAATATTTTTACATAAACACTGTGACGTATTTTTTTCACTTATTTTATTTTTCTGCTGTTGTCAAGGGTTTTGAAGCCATCCATAAATTATTATTTATTCAATTGGAACTTTCTGTTGAGAAATTTTTAAACTATTCAAATTTTTTAATTTAAAACGGTTATTGACAAATAAAATTTTTTGAAAATGTATAATTATTCCTTTTGCGATTTATCATATGTTTTTATGATGGATTAAAGTTGCAAGTCAGTAAATTAAAAAAACAAAACAAAAAAAAAACAATCGTTCAACTAAATGGCTTGCTCATTAATTTGGTAAATAGTTCCTATATGCAGCATTTTGTCTTGATGAATGTAATGTAAGCATATTTCAATGAAAATAATACCACATTTTTGGAGAATGTTTTACAGAAATAAAAACATTTATTTAGTAGACTTTATCACTCACAACACAAATCAACATAAATATAACAAAAAAATTTAAAAGCAACATTAGTTGCCAGCATATTCCCAGAGAGGGAATGAAATTTATCGAGAAATGAATTTTATTCTTGATGACATCACATATCCTCACTTTTTATGTTATCTTTCGTAAAAACGGTTGGTTTGTGGAACAAATATGCACCCAATGAGAGTTTAAGTTTTAAGTTAATTAAGCAATATTTGGCAAGGAAAGGGGTAAAAACTAATGACAAAATTGGGTCGGCTAAAGAGATGCAAAACGAAAAAGAATGTTCTAGAAACTTCAGTTTCTACCGACAAAGGATTTGAGTTACCTAAAGGTCAGAGATGGACTGCAGGTGTTAACATTTTAGGGGGATCTGTTGACAGCTAAATTATAGTTAGTCTTAAACAGGTGATGAGAGGATTCTCATACACAAAAGAACATACAGTTATTCCCACGAAAAAAGGAAACTTGGTTTAAGATGGTAACAATACAAAAGCAAAATCTAAGAAAACCATTAACAAATAGAAAATTGCCAGGGGAAAAAATTTTGAAATAAAATATGAATATTGTTACATTTTTTTAATCAAAATTAAACTAAGAATTATTCCAAATAGATATTACCCATTCAAAGTAAAATTGATATTCTAATGTACAATTATTTAAGTAATAAACTATTCTTTAAAATATTTAAACCTAATATTGTGGAAGTAATATATAAAACAAAACAACTTAGTTTACACAATATAAATTACATTAAATAGGTAGTAATTAAATCATAACCATTAGCTTGGTGAAGTGGGAAATGTTTTAAATACAATAAAGTCTTGATAATTTATTTTACAGTCTATCTGTGTTTGTGACAAATAATTAAAAGACAATTTGCTAAGATAAATAATGTTTTTAAATTGCTCTAACATTCTGTTCAAAATAGTTTATTTTTTATTCATTTGAGATTCCAATTGGCAATGTTTTTTTCCAGATAACGTCCTATCCCACAATATTTTGTCCTAATGTCGTGTTATCCTATGATATTTTGACAGCAGGAGATTCTATCTCACAACAATATTTTTTCATCTAGAAAGTCAGAAATACAATTCCCTGTGTGTTGGGAGGCAGTGTGTCCCCTGATGAAGTGCTGTCTTGCTAACACACTATATCTTAAAATCTTCTTCATTTTCTGCTAGAATTGTGTTTCTGACTTTCTAAATTCAAATTAAGACAGATTTGGTTTTAGCTGCTTTTAGTACTTTTCCATTTTGATTTAATATTTTAAATGTTATTTACCTATTTTGTCTTTTTCTGAATTTGTATAAATCAGTTTCGTTTTTTGATTAAATATTTTCCAATTTTAACGTATGATTCCACAGTATTCTGTCTGAATGGGATTTTAATACATAGTATTTTGTTGCAATGAGATTCTATACCACCCTGTTTTTTTTATGCGTGATTCAATTGATATGTTTTCTGAGTTGGATTCTGACCCATTTAATCTTTTCTTTAGTACTACCATTTAAATGTGATGCATATTTTATTTAATTTTATGGTGATTTTAATATCAAATGGCTCTCTATACATAAGCATAAAGTTCTCTTTCTACTTTTGATTTTTTATAAAACTTGAAATGAAGTGTATTTGTATTAATATTTTTTATTTCTTTTTCCACCTTGATTTTGTTTTGTTATAATAATTCTTTTATTTCCAGGTGAACTGCGACATATTACAAAACTGAAGCCTTGGGGTCTGTATGCAGTGCTAGTTGAAAAATATGAATGGGATGCCGGTGAAGCGCAGGCGTTCACTGACTTTTTACTTCCTATGTTAGCTTTTGATCCAGCTGACCGTGCTAAAGCTTCAGACTGCTTAAAGCATCCGTGGTTAGTTTCATGACTGAAAATAAATTTAATTTAGCTCCTTTTACCTCTTAAGAAACACCAAGAACTCATGACAGTCATGCATTTTCTTGGAAATAAATCCAGCTAAATCATTTGTACATGTTTTGTCATAGCTCTTCTTAATTTTTGAAGCAATAAAAGAAAAAAAAATCTAGATCTGGATGCATTAATCTGTCATCTTAGGTGGTCACAGTTAAATAAAATTAACCAACTGTGAAATGAGCTGCTTGATCTCTACTATCAAAGAACTTATAAGTAGGAGTGAAAAAAAATGACATTTACAAGAATATTATCTGCCTTTGCAGTAATGTTAACTTTTTTACGATTCTATTCCCTTTTTTTTTTGTCGTTTGTAAATGTTATATGTTTATTTATTCGTTATTGAATGATAATGTGATCTTTGTAACATATGCATACTCATCAAAGTGGGTGTTTACCTTAGCTGAAAATATTCTTTTAATGGAAAATTTTTTTAATGTCTTTATTTATCATTATATATTTAACTAAAAATATTGCATTTACATCCTGACTGCATGAATTAAATTTTTGCTTACTTATATTTTAACGTAATCCTCTAATATTATAGCAATTAGTGCATTTGTCTATGTCATTTGGATGAACTAAAAAGTATTTACAATATGAATTAATGACGCGAGGCTATTTAATCATAGTGCAATAGTCAGCATTGTCTTACAGTAAGGTAAAGTTCAGTTTTTCAAATCAAGTTTCAACTTATAAAATTCATTAAAATAAATGTTTGTGAAAATAAATTAATCAGATTTTTTGAAATCGTAAACAAATCGCTAGTGTGCCTAAAATCGTTGTGATAGACAGAATTTGTTTGTTTGCACTTGTAAGTTTTACAAAATTCAAGACATTGATGAAAATAGACCAACCACTTCATAGGTCTCAGTTTCACTAATGATTTAACATCTAGCATATGTTATTGTGCTGGTGTCTGTCTTGAGTAAAAATGTGCAGATATATTTGTACTATATACTGGCATAACATTTGATTTTAATTTTGTACAAAATAAAGTTCATGTAAATGGATTTTTCTTTCTGTCATTAGTTAAATTTTCCTCCTTTATATGTCTTGTCTAAAATAATGACATCTTTGTTAATTTAAAAGTTGAAAATTCTCTTTTCTGATTCCCCGTGACCTGTTGTAAAAAAAAATAAATTAAGAGAGTTCTATTTGTACTCAAGGTTTGTTTAATAAAGTAATGTAGCTTTAAAGTATGATGTAACATTGATTTAGAATTATGGATTCAATAAAAAGGGGAATTCAACACTATTTTAGCAATTTGGTTTTATTTTCTTACAAAAGGTTGCTCTAAGTTAGGAGTATACTTCCTTTTTCAGAAAGCAGTCTAAAAAAACTTAATTATTCTTTAGTATAATAATGAAATTGTCTTAATTAAAAGACAAAGTACAGCAAGTTGTATATGTCGTTAGCTAATTTGAAAATCTGGGTCTTTGCTATCAACCTCATTTTGCATTTGTTAGGTTAATTGGAACTTTCTAATATTTTTCTAATCAGTCTTAACTCTTTTTAGGGATATTGTAAAAAAAGCTAATAAGAAAAAAATATCATTTGTTGCTAAATCTGCTTGATCTATTTCAGTCAGTTTGCTGTGAGCTTCTGCAAATACTTTTGGGCTATTTAAAAAATAAATATCATTAATTGCTCAGACTGGTTTACCATACAAAGTGCCGCCACAGTACAAGACTCATTGCAATAAACCTAAGCAAATTCAGCTTCAATGTTTACATTTGCATGAAATTATATGGGCTGATCGCAATAAATCTGAAAATCAGATTGACTAGCTGATATCAGATCATATTGGCTGATAGAAAGTAGTAGAAACTTTTACAATTAGCCTGGTGCATTGTGAAATAATGGTAACATTTACAAAAGATTGGCAACCTTTGCAAACAGTCTGATTTTTCAATAAGCAAATAACATGTCATAATTACAGGGTAGCACACATGTAATATTTTAAAATTAAAGAACATATAAAGTCTTGCATGCTTTATCATCTTTAAAAAAATTGAATTGTAACAGGTTTTTAACATTATTTGTTAAAAGATTTATAATTTTTTAACATGTTTTGGTTAAAAAAAAAAGTTTTTTAAGAAGAAATAATTGTAAGAAAAATTAAAAAGACAGTTTTTTTTAATGCTTTAAATAACGACTTCTAATGCAAAGGCCACATTTATCATACAGGCTGTTGATTGTGCATTCATAATCTATATATATATTATTTGTTATTAACTTTGCAATATTTTTTTAAATTTAATATTTAAGTTCTAGGTTTCTATATAATACACTTACAAACATGTGTTAAATTTTAACAAGCATGTCTAGTGAAGATTGAATAATCTTTGATATGAAGATGTGATATTCATGGTATGATAAATTTATCAAAGAGAGTCTAAGTTACACAAAATCAGGTGCTCAAAGATAAAGTTTTACTGAATATGTGTTTTATTTATTGTTGTTATTTTGATGCATTCAAATAAACGTGTGATTGTAAATACTTGGATGGATTCAAATAACCGTTTAAAAAATTTCTTACTTGAGGGCATAAATCTTTCTCTGGGAAATCAAAAATTTATTCCTTTTTGTTTTTATCCTCTATATATTCTAAGGCAAACTGCACAAATCAAAAATCCTTGCACCTATCCTTGTTTATCCGAACTATTTTTTATGCAAAAAAAAAAAGGGAAGGAAGGGAGAAATAATAATAATTTAGTAATTCTAGAAACAATTTTAAATTGAAATGCATAATATTTTTAAATCCTCTTGATGTAGGTAATTTTAAATAACAAAATTGGTTAATGGGTCTCATTTTTAAATTTTATTTATTGGAAACTATTTAAATAGTTATCTTCAAATTTTAGATTTGTCATTTAATATTGCACATTGTTTCTAATATCTAATAGTCTTTCTAAAACTAATTTAATGTGTTTGAATAAAAAATTAAAAAATTTTTTTTAGTTAATATTAATTAGTTTTTGTTTTGCTTGAAGTTATCTTCTGGTATTAGATGTATGGTAAAAACTGTAAAAAGTATAAATAACATTAAGACACCATAATGACATTTTTCTTAGCTAAACTACTATTAAGACTAAATCTTTCAGATTGCTTATTTTTTAAATGCAAAAATTCTAGTCTTCAAATTAAAAGTTTGTGGAAATTAATGATATGCATATAAGGAACAAACTTGCTGATCTGCAGAGCAGTGTCCTATGATCCTGAGATTACTCGAACTCTATTGACAGGCTGTGAGTTATGTCACTAAGAAGTCCCCAATATTGCATTAAAGACAACTCATTAGCTTAGTAGGTCATATAAAGAAAAACAAGTGTGCTGATGCAATCTAGCTAAGTGAGAATCTGAATTTAAAGCTAATTAGCAACATAATGAAGTTTGTACAATCATTGGACTGGGTCACATAAGAAAAGGTCTAATATATATATGGCAAAAACAAATGATGACCACTGAATTCGTAGGTCTGCTCAGCAGTGTATTGTTTTTTAACTAAAATGATCAGCCTCAAAAGATATATTACATTAAGTATTACCATTCGTTTTTGTGACCTATTATGTAACTTACGAAATAATTAGCATATTACTTTGAAATAATTAATCCTTTGAGCATTATTTCCGAATTTTTCAAGTCTTTTTAATTGTTTTCACAATATTATTCAATGGGAAAGTAGAGTGTAGCAGGAAATTTTAGTACAATTCAAGTCTCAATGCTTTAAAAGATAATGAGCTTTTCAACCTATAATGATTGCACACGCCACCCTAACATGATCAAGCATCAAGCCTCCTTTTTCACAGCTCTAACCTTAATGGACATGGAATTAATGCCATATAATTTTAATGCTAGCCAGACAACATGGATAGCATCTGGGCTGATACCTCTATTTCCAAACTTCCCCATCAACAAGAGTCAGAACATTACAATCACTACTAATTTAAAGTGCCCCACACTGCATTTACATGTTGGTTGTTAGCCATCTTCCACGGTCGAACTCTGGATCAATAGTGTGAATGACGCCCTAACGGACTGCGTCATCAGAGACAGGGTGCTCCATGTACATTGAATTTGTATTTGCATAAAAATCTTATTTGGTCAAAGGTTATTCAAGTTCTAATATTTTTATAGTTTGTGCATATTACATAAAGCGAAAATTTTTAAATTAATCCATGAAAATCTAAATACCATCTGTACCTTATTTTACCAGATATGTTAAATAATGTATTAGTAATGGCGATGCTCAATATGATGACCATTGTGGCCCATACAAAACAAAACTTTAGAACATGAGGTCGCTTTACCATGAGTACTCAAAACTATTGCAGATAATTACTCATAAATTACTGGACTTATTTTAGCAGAAACATTCTTCTATCCATTTTCTTTAAAATTTTTAATTTCTGTTCAAAGCATGTCATTACACTGGTTACGAGCAATAACATATTTTGATAAATAATATACATCCAGACAACTGCGCAGTCCAAGCAAATATAAAATCAAGAAGAGTGTGAATACCTTGTATTTTATGTCTAAAATAAACCACCTATTACTAAACTTCACTGAAAGAGTGAATAAAATTATCAAACAAGGAAGTTATGATCAAGCAGATAACAATAACCACTCAAAAATTTTGTTGCGGCAGAAATACCTTATTTGGTTCATGATGTTTGTTATGGTAGTGCCATTACCAGGGCCGGATTAACCTATAGGCACACTAAGCACGTGCCTAGGGCCTACGAAAAACTTGGGAGAAAAAAATTTAGCTTTATAAACAACAAGTGTATTTTGCACAAAATTATGAAGCTACAAATAAAAATATAATATTTTTCGGTAATAAATTATTTTGCAAGTTCGATAAACAAATTTGTAAATTAAAATCCATATTAATAAAAATTTTAAAAAAAATATGCAATTAAATTTTAGCACATATTTTGAAAAGAGGGGAGGGCCCAAAAACGGCTATGCCTAGAGCCTACGAAAGGTATAATCCGGCTCTGGCCGTTTCTGTTGCTAGGTTCAAAGGAAACTGTACTCATAATTTTCTCACCAATTTGGCTCTGTCTAATATGATCTATAAAAATCTAGAGAATAGGTGCATTTATTTGAATCTCTTATTAGTAGGTTATAAATATTTTAAGGGTTATTAATTATAGTGCCTTTTCTTAAGGGCATAGTTTAAATAAAATATAAAAAAAGCATTGTTTCAAGATAAAATTTTGTGCACGCATTTCAAAAAATTTTAATGAAAGATTTATCTTTTTAATTTTGTAAAAAGCTGTCAAAATCTAGAAATTAGAGTTACTGGTGTGATATGAAATCATTAACATTGACATGACTTTAAATTGAAAATTTCTAACAATTTTGAACTTGGAACAATGAACTTAATATAGTAGATAAGCCAGTCACCATGTAAATGATAAAGATATAAAAAATAAACACAACTATATAAAAAATAAATACAAAATCATAAAAAAAAATAATTTTTTATTTTACTGGAGAATGTATATATACATAATTAATATCAGTTGCTACCTTCTGGCTGATATTTATTTCTAAGAAAAATTAGTAATTTTAAATACAAATATTTAGCTTTTCTATAAATTTACAATGGAAAGTTACTCGCAGAAAAGATATTAGTAATTTATACCAATCTAATTATAATTCATGCCATGTAATGTAATTAAACTTACGATAAAAACTATACAAAGGAAAAAAGGATTGTGATAAACTAGCATATTTATTTTTGGAAAAATTAAATATGATGTATATCTGAAATAAATGGTTTGAAATCAAAAGTTCAAAGTAAGTAAAATTTTTATATGCATTTAAAACACTTGCAGGAATAACAAGCCAATCTGCTATAAAATAACCTTTTTAATCATGTAATAATATCAAAAAAAGCTGAAGATGGAATTATCATGCGAAATAAATTTCCCCCCTCTCAGTTACTCAATAGTCTGAAAGGACCATAATTTATTGCAGGCCATATTTTATTTTTATATTATAACCGTCGTTGAACAGCCAACCCAATTTTATGGGTTTACGACTAATAATGTTCAACTCTGTAGCCTTGTAATTTTGAAACCAATCCAGAAGACAAGGGAACTCCTGGATCAAGTATTGGGAGAAATTTGCCTTCGTGGAGGACTTTTTGATGGAACTAACCAGTAATTGCGTTACAAGGAAAGGTAGACCATGAGAACCTCCCACAGTTAGCCTGATGGCAAGGGAACTCTGACCCATGACCCATACCACTGAGGATATTTCACATCAGCACTGCTGTAGGTGCAAGCCGGATGCGAAATTCGTATCGACTGGGATTCGAACCCGGTTCGCCTCATTGGAAGGCGAATGCTCTATCCCCTGAGCCATCGCGGTTCTGCAGGCCATATTTAAAAAAAAAAATTGAAAAATTGTTTCACTAAGGACAAATCAAAAATATGGTTCCCAATAGATCACAGAAATCAAGCATCAGTAGCAACGCTCTGTGAGCAGGCAGGTGACCACTTTGATCTACCAGTGAAGGACCAATCAAAGAGCACAGTATCATTCTTTGTTAAACTGTTCTATCTCAAAGTGCTAAACCTCATGTGGAGATCGTCAGGTTACTGAAAAGAAAAGTCTTCTCCTTCACAGAGGATCAAGATAGTGGTGGTATGTCTGCTGATTAATAAGTCGCCAATAATTCATTGTGCAGTTCTAATGAGAAGTAAATAAAGTACTACTACTCAAAAAATCTATAACTACCAATTATCCTCTTGAGTATATAAAGTGAGTGTTGTGAAATGAAGATTATCATGTTTTCAGCCTGGAACCAATAATTTTACAGCAATGACAATATGAATTATAGCAAAGAGTAATAATTACTGCAATGCAAATGTTATTATAAGTAATTTTCGCTTGTATTTTTAAAATAGCAATTGTTAATTAAAAAATTTAGTTATTCTTATTAACTAGTTTTTAAAAAATGTATAATAACATTAAGCCTGACTCATTTTGATTTCAGAGAAATTTAGGGTTTTTAAATCAGGGGGAAAACCTGGAACACTCAGAAGATTTAAAATTAGCTTAAAAAGTTGGCAAAAAAATCTGTTAAAAATTGAATTTTTTTTTATAAGAATTTCTTTTTAAAATCAATATATAATTATTTTTAAATCCCCATGAAATGTATTAGTTTTCCAAATCAAATGTGCCGTGAGGCCATTTTTATGGATGCAACAATTTGATTTCAGCGTAGAAGTTTGATTGAAATTTAGTAAATGTCCTTTCTGTAGAATTTGAATAATTCTATTAAGGTGTAATAATTACTTTAAGGAAGATTTTGATTTATGCTTTAAACTGAAGCTAAGAGAATATAAATTTTCCAAGTATTTTGGGTAATTAATAATTTGATTTTTTTTAAGACATTGGGAAATATTTAAACTCAAGATCTCAATATGTAGGTGCATGCAACCAGATATTATACAAGCTTACATATTAACTAGTGGTAGTGAGTGCCTAGAACCCATTGAGCTATGTTGGCAGTAGCTTGGCTACTGGTAGGGCTTTTCAAGCTGCGGAGATCACTAGTGTGGCATCAGATAAAAAAATAACACCCTGGTACACCAGGCCAAAAATTGGGCATGGAGTTGACTAATCCATTCTCTAATAAACTAACTGTTGTGAAATCAAATGAATTTTCTGAACTGTTAAAGCGGAGGTGACCTGAAAAAGATATAAAGTATTTGAGATTTGGAACATTGTACTTATGATCTATTTATTGAGGTATTCAGCTAATTAAATAGGCTGGTTATCAGGCAATAATGTACGAAGATCGATGCTCCAAGTAAGTCTTTATGGTAAAGCTCGTGATGAGGATATCACCCATCTAAGATGAGTGACTGTTACAAATGACCTAAAAACCTTTAAGATAAAAAAATTAGTGTAGTCGCAAATGTAAAAGTGCTGGCAGAAAGTTAAGGCCCACCCAGGGCTGGCAAGTCATTGAAGAAAAACATAGTAACTTATAGTTTTTCTTAATTTTAAGATTTTGTTGCTATTTCTTATTTACCTATATAAATCTCACATGTCCTTAACTGATATATTGTGTTACTACATGTTTTAGTGTACTATGCATGCCATAGGAATTTTTTCTAGAAATTGAGTTTGAACCCTGCTTCATAATTTGAAAAAAATTTTAATTATTATAAATGTCAAAAAAGAGGATAGGGTATACTTTATACTACACGTAAACTAAAACAAAATGTGAATAAAGCTCAAAAAAGAAATGGAAAAATGAACTTTGGTAATAAAGTACAAGTATTTTTTAATATAGAACATTAAAAGTAAAAACTACATTTCAATTTTTTCAAATGACATCTTTTAATCTAGTGTGCAACTTTTAGCCAGTCATTCAGTGCCTTTCTAGATTTTGAAAACAATATTTTATTGAAAATTACCTTTAAAATTACATCACAATTTTTTATTGTTGCAAACAAAGCGGTTTTGGGGATTTTGAATAATTTAACAATTTGTTATTTTTTTAAAATGTTTAACTTCCGTTCTAAGCATATAGCATTACACTGGTTAGATAGGTAGATATTTTATTTAATTTGAACTAAAGCTTCACAAGGGCTATTGGCCTTTTGCCACGATCTGGGATACATCCCTGAGGATGATCTGAAGACCTGCCATCACAATTTTGATCATCTGAAGAGGGAATGACTCCCCCACTAGGTAGCCCAACAAACTGCACTCGAAATAGAGCACTTTACAATAGAACAGTTTAACGAGGGCCGATACCTCACACCCGCGATCCCTACACAAGCTGATCAAAGTGATTACCCACCCGCTTACCGACTGCAGCCAGTGATGCTTGACTTCTAAGTTCTACTGGGAACTGTGGGACTGCACTGGTTTGAAGAAGCCGTTTTTGTTAAATAATATATGAACAAAGAACTGAGCAAAACTAAAATCAAGAAGAATGTGAGTAATACCACATGTATTAACTCCAAAATAAACTATTTCTAACAACATTTTGCAAAAAGAGTAAATGGAATTTTCAAACAAGAAAAATATGATTGGTGGATATATTAAACCCTTTTAAAAGAAATTTTGAAAAGTTATGATTACACAGAAAACTTGTATTTCTTGAAGGTGCAATATACATTTCAAATTCTCAGTAATTTACTGTATGTAATATTCACAATTCTTTTGACTCTCAGGATCTTCTAGGTCGAGAATAGACAGTCCTTTCATTATTTCTTCACTGATAGAGAATTTCAGATGTTTCTTGTTTATTAAGCGGTAACACCAAAAGAAATAATTGTGCAATAGTTTTCTCAAGACTTTTGTTACCTAATGACTTGTTGTCAACAGTAAATTCTGAAAGAGCAAAAATGTCTAACACCTGTATTTTGGATAATTTTCTAGCAATAAAAAAAAAAAAAAATTTGGTCGCTAGATTGAAATGAACAGTTAACGTTCACTTTCGACGTTCTAATGGGCATTAAAATAACATTGCATCAAGCAGCAAACTTCAAATATTGGTCATTATAATGGGAAAGTCATATTAAAAAGCATAGACTGTATATGCATATAATATCTCAATTTAAGTAAGAGGGCTAAATTTTTATTCAATAGTGGAAAATATTTACAACTAGAATTTTTTTTATCATATAAAATAGTATAAAACTCACAACAAACATAAATTCAAAATAAATAGTTATATTACAAAATCTTATTAATTCCACAAAAGGACTAGAGCTTCATCAAGAAATGTTTTGAAAATTCTGAGGAAATGTTGTTGCATTAGTAAGTATATTAATTGCAGTTAATACTCCTATTCCATTTGGAACCAAGTTATTTTCTTCTAGTCCAGAATTCAAGAATGACACAGCTTGGTTTAGTTCATCTCCCAATTCATTTGGATGTTTAGCATTTAGAACCACAGCAATATAAGAAGGAGGTTCAGTCACGTCTGGTGTCTTATTTTCTACAACATTTTGATCGGTAGATATACTGGAGTCTTGAGCACAGGAATTTACTGTGATTTGCTGTAATTCAGTTGGTTCAACCTCCGGTTCATTGTCTTGCTCCTTGATGCTGTCTTCCATTTCTTTAGCTTTCTCGTGGACTTTCATGTGCTGAAATAATGTATTTAATATTAATAATTGTGACAACTTTAATAATTTTACAACATAATCAGTTTATATATCTGTGATGCCAGAATTGGCATACACATATTTATTTTCTNTTAATAATTTTACAATGTAATCAGTTTATATATCACCAAAACTACAATAGTAAATTGAATGAAATATATGACCCACAAAGTAAATTTTTTAAGCAAAAATGTTAAATATGTATGCTATAGATGCAATCATATGTTCTTAAATGAAATAAAATTGTATTTTCTTAAAATATGTCCCACTTTCCCCACCCCCAATATTTTTGACCCCAGTCCAGTCTTTAACACTAAGAGCCATGATCAGAAATAGCACACTACAAGCAGTGAAACTACTGTAATCGCTACTGTTTTCTTTTTAGTTTGTGGTGTAGTGCCCTACTTTTTAAAAGAAGTAGTGTAGCGGGTAGCAGGATACAAAAAAAAAAAAAACAGTAGTTTGTAGCAATTCCTGGCAACTACTTTAAAGGATAATTTAGAAATGAAATAATTCTCAAACATAACTACTTTTTTGAATTAGATTAAGTACAAATCTTCGCAGTCAATGGAAACAATGAGAATGCCCCAGTTTCGGAACGTTAATAAAAGTGGCACCTGATGCTGCGAAGCAGCATGTTTTTCTCTTTAATATAGCCATGATATATGATGACTAAACTACCCGTTAAGAAAAATAGCTAATTGCACTTTAGTCATACTTTAAATGTAAATATCAACTCGTGGAACTCTAAAAGCATACTTGATGTTATTTTATTGGAAGAAAGCACATTTTCTCTGTACTTCTATTTCTTAGAGGAAATAAAAGACCAGTAACCACCTAACAAAATCAGAAATATTTAATAGACTCCTAGCATTTCCTAAATTAAATATTCGTTGTCAAGAAAGTCATGAAAAGTTAGAGAAGGGCTAAAAAAAAAATTTCTTAAAAAATAATTTGCATAACAAACTGGCTCATGCAAATATGAATAAATTTGCTAAATAATTCCTTCTGTTTAGGCAAATTTTTTATTCAAAACCATTTAGAAATTGAGTGTAAATTAAGTTTTCCAACAAAGTTTTTCTCTTACAGACAAAACAAAGAGAGATTAAACGTGATTGTGAGAAATGCATCTCAGTTTTATTAAGTAATTCAAACTTATTATTAATCAAACTTATTGATTATTATCACTTACAATTCATCAAATTCTCTACCTTTTCTTTATTACTTAAATATTACTTTGTTACTCCTGAAGTGTACATGTTTAGCAATGATTGTAAAATATATATCAAGGGTAGTGATTTTTGATATATTAAGGGTGATTCTTTTTTTAGGGGCATCTTCTAATTGAAAAGATTGCCCTGAACATCCACAAACAACATTAATTAAAACTAAATTTCATAAAGCTGAACAATTTATGGTAGATGACTATATTTTCTCTTCTTAATTTATGTTTCAATCATTTGTACTAGTTAAATTTAGTTGGATTTAGCAAGTGTCTGGATTTAACAAGCATTCTTCGGTTTCAAAAACTCCAATTCAAATATACTACTGTATAGTTAATAAGAATAAGTTTAAAAATAAATTATTCTTATTACTAACAAGCTCTTTGGATTATTTATTAAATCACATAGTTAGGCAGAAGTTTGTTTTGAAGGAGAGCAACTTACTGCAAAATAAACAGGTTTTTAATGTAGCCCCAAACAGAATAAGCATTAACACTTAATTACAAAAAGGCAGTGATACTCCTAGATTTAATTAAAAAAATATAGTTTTAAATCTCTAAATAATTTCAAATCTTACTTTGTAGCAGCCGGACATTTCTGGAAAGGCCTTGCCACAATGTTTACATTTGTAAGGTTTGATACCATAATGGCGATTTTTATGCTCATTCAAAGACTGTTGTCGAGTAAATCCCTTCGGACAAACATCACATTTATAAGGCTTTTCCGTAGTGTGAGTTTTTTCATGCCTTAATAAATCTCCTACAAAATATAACATAATTTTAATCAGTCACTGCTAAAACATGGCACAAAAATAATATTGATAAATCTTATAAGATAAGAAATGTATAAATTTTTTACAATATAATTAAAAAATCGTTAGATTCTAGTTAATATTTAGTCTAACCAAAATGTGACAAATATTTTATTGTAGTGATTACTTTTAGTGGTCCCATCTAAACTGCTGTTTAATTAATGCTATTTCATACGCTCATTGATAAATTGGCTGTTCGTTTAGCGTGGATAAAAAATTTCTTTTTGTAGGTATTTAAATAATTGCTACAGAATGTTAAGCCTCTGTGATACGTTCAAAGGTATATAATTATGACTTACAATTAAAAATGAAGTAATGCACATCTCAAAGGGGGGTTTAAAGGAATTATTTTGCTGAAATGAATTATGAGAGTCGTTCCGAAAAACAGGCATGAAGAGGAATTAAGCAGTTGAACAGAGAGTCAAACAATTTTGCAATTTTTGGAAATAAAAAAGACAAACATCTAAAAAATTCTAAAAATAATGAAAATTAAATGATAAACATCTTAAAAATATTTTATAGAGACAATCACTTCATTATATGGAGAGAATTTTAGATATTTTTAACATTTATATAAAGAATTTCGTTATAGTCACTCACTAAAAGGAAACTATATTATGAAGAGACTCTATATATTTAGTTTAGTTAATAATTCATAAAGCAAATCAGGTGCATTGCAACCATTATGTCTAACAATACAACCACAATACGCTAAAAAGTAATTTTTCAAATATTTTGGATATAGTGAACCATAATTTATAATTAGATGGAGTGAACCATCGTTTATAGTGAAATTATTCCTGGGTGAGCTAACGGTTCTCAATAGCTAGATAGTTTGTTTTTTTCCCCACATTTGTTTAATCAAGAACAAATGTAATACAGAACAAAGTACAGTAGTACTAAACTTGATTTAAGTTCACTTTCAGTTTATCAAAAAATGAATAATATGCTTAAAAAGAACTGATATTTAAAAAGTTTAACATAAATAGAATATACTTACAGAATTATATTAGTACATTACAAATAATTTAGATGTGAATTAGTGCGTCATTAATAAGTTCTTTTTTCTTCATCTAAAAGTTTTCTTTATCTAAAAATCACTATTTTTCAATCTAATAATTTAAATTCATTGTTTTTATTTACCAACTGATCTACGTACAAATGAAATGAGTAAAAATATATGGTTCCTTTTAACTACTTTATTACAGCAAAAGCTAAAAATTATTACAAATTAATAACATGTTTCTCCTAGATAACTAAACATTCGTGTATTAAGCGTCTACAGAAGATATTTCCACAGCTAACTTATGTAGTCCAAAATTAAGACAATTCAGGCAACATTATACAAAAAATCGAGGACATTTTTTGGTACAATACACACACTATATGATTTTTAAGAAACATTACAAAGAATTGAAACTTTTATTTCAATAGAAATTAGAATTTTTAGAAATATGCGGTACGACCGCATATTTCTAAAAATGGGCAAAAGGAAACATTTAACATTTTCAAACAAACAACAAAGCTAGAAACAAGTTGATCAGACATGAATTAAAAAAACAGTGCGATTTTGCGCATGCGTAGATAAAGAGAGAAATATCGCAACCTAAAATTTTTACTTCGGATATATAATTCTTAATATCAAAATAGTGCTTTAAAGAAAATTAATAATTATAGTTATGTTCATGCAATAATTACTTCAAAAATAAATTGTTTATAATCTACATGCTAATAAATGGCAACAAAGGGTAACACAACGTAACATGGAATCAAAAATAATTTTAAAAAAATAAGAAATTGAACCATCACTTAAAGTTAATGGACATTAAAAAGTAATTGTGATTTGAGATTTTATGGAGATTCATATTTAAAAATTGACGATGGCTGAAACCAAGATAAAAAAAACTAATTAAAATAACTAATTTAAAAAAATAAAGTTAGTTTGAGTTTAAAAAAATTATAAATATCTGTTTAAAATATATCAGAGGAAAAAAACCCAAAATAAGCATAAGAAAAAATGCTGAAATTGAAACTTCATATTTAAAAAAAATATAGCACAAAACCCTTTTATTTTTTAAATATAGGACACTTCATGGTATTTTTTATTTTCAAAAATGTAGGACAACTGTGATTACTGGTAAAACACAAATGTAATAAAAAAAAGCTCTTAATAATTTTAGTAATAATTTTTTTTTTTGTAATTTAAGTCATTATCTAATGTTTATACAATTAAAAATTGATTTGAAAAAATTCTTCAGCTATCGTTTTATTTCGATTTTCTGATATAATCCTAGTCTAGCGGGTATCGTATAATTGGGGTAAGGAACAAAATCAAACCGTACTACAACGAATGTAGAAAATGACTATTTTTATTATCTCTAACTTAAGTTACTAGTTAATGCACAGTATTTAGAGAAATCAATAAGACAGTTATAACATATTGCAGCAAATGTAGAAAAGAACTTTTTTATTATTACCTCTAGTTATGTATGCTAAGGAACAAATTGAACAGTTGAATGGTCGAATGTTATCATGCCTTAATCTGTGAACCCTCAGTTGGGATTTCTGCCTAAAAGACTTTCCGCATACCTCACAAAGATGCATTTTTGTTTCAGAATGCATTGACATGTGTGTCTGCAATATGCTAGTTTGAGAAAAACGTTTCCCACATTCTTTACACCTGAAATGAGTTTCTTTTTTAATGTATGGAATCAGATAATCAAGAGTAAAAACAAATTTTTAGAATTTTTAATCTAAATAGAAATAATTCATACAAAACAAGGATCATAATTTTTTTTAAAAGTAAAAACGAAAAAAAATCCAAATGAATAAGATTAAATCATAAAAAATTTCTTTAGAGATACTTCAATACTTCAGTTTATAATTAGTTAAATAGTTTAAATAAATTTATAATTAAAATGTTATTAAAAATAAATCATAACAATACATTTCAAAGTATAAAACAGCACTACACATTGTTTAATACTTACAAATGCTTCATTCACATTTATTGAAAATGGCATAAAAATATATCATTAACTACTGAAAAACAATCTAAAAAATAAAAAATTATTTTACAGATTGCTTTTTAAGTTAAAAAATCCATATTCAAAAACAGCATTTAATTTTCATTTTGTTTTTAGTTTGCAGTATGAAAAATTCACAAGAATTTTTAAAATTCTATTTGAAGAGATTTTTACACTAAGTACTTCTGTTATTTTGCTAATAAAAACTTACTAGCATAACTATAGTTTTCCAATAAATATGCAAGCTATGTAAATTAATAAAAGCTGGAACTATCTAACATTAAAAGGCTTTTTAAATGGATGATTTCTAAGCAAAAAATCATCTGATTTAAATCAATGTGATGTTTTAAAAAAACAATTAGTTTAAATTGCAAATCATATCATGATTGAAATCAACAAACACTGATTCAAAGCAAATCATGAGACATGATTCTTCATAAATAGAAAATGTCTTGAGCTGTCAATAGAATGAAATTATAGTCCATGGGTCTCAAATGCAGTTCTTAACTAATTTCCGTTCCAACAACTGAAATTCAATTTTATTCTATCAAAGTAGAACACAATCTTGACTGAGAAACATAAATTCATAAAGTGCTCCAAAATATGACTGTCAATTACTTGATAGCTATCAAAACATTGAGGAACAATTTTGTTTTCACAAATTCGGAATTTAATTCATGAATATACGAAGGGAAACGTAATGTGACGTGACTTGAAAATAAATTGACCAAGCAGAACAAAAGCAGCTTTCTGTTTGCTTCAATTGCTTTCATTCCCGTTTCTTTTGCAACTAAAATGCTTTGCAATTTTTATATTAACTCGATGAAATTTTTAAACAATTTTATTATATGTAACTATATACTCTTATTATTTCATAGAATTAAAACAATTTCCTTCTGAAATTAACATATTTCATACACATATATAAATTATTTGATAAGCTTACTGATATGGTCTTTCACCAGTATGTCGCCGCATATGTATAGTCAAACTTTTCTTTTCAGTAAAACAAGTTCCACACTTATTGCACTGCCATGGTTTTGCACCGCTATGCGTTCTTATGTGTCTTTGTAAATTTCCATTAGTTGTGAAGTGGGCAGAACATTTGTGGCAGCAAAATGGTTTTTCACCAGTATGTCTTCTCATGTGAACTTCAGGAAAAAAAAATCTGCTTAGTTACATAAATTTTGATAAAATTTTTACAAGCATCAGAATGAAAATGAATAAAATATTTTAAATAAATTTAATTTTATTATGTCAAACTCTACTTTTATACATAACACATTTTCCATTTAACACATGCTTCAGGAGTAGCAAAAATTATGATTATTAAGAAATATTTTTTATTTTATTTATTTCTTCACAATTACCAATTACAGCTCTAAAAAATATATAAATAATGTTAAAGAATATACATACAAAATTAAAAACAATGTAAAAATATATATATACAGCTCTAGAAAATATATAAACATTATATTGTTAAAAAAAACTATATACAGTAGACGCCGCTTAATGTGATCACATCGGGACGAACATGATTTGATAACAATAACCGATTGATTACAATAAACAAAAAAAAAATTAAGCTAAAAAATGATTTTTTTACATACGTATTAAAATAAAAATTATTTTAAATTCGGAGTTGTTGCTGTGAAACTCTAAAGTATTTAATAGAAATTAATTTTCACTAAAGAAAAAGAATTAGTTAGTATAGTTACATATTTAATGATGAACTGCAGAAAACGATACAAAATACAAAAGGTTAATTATTAACTGAAAAAGAAATCATCAATTGTCGATTGTTTAGCATTCTTTCGAAGCAAGTCATTTACGAATCGCTCATAATCATAATGTTTATGAAAGTGTTCCGCGTCGGCTTTGTTTTGCACACCTAGCCGTAAGACTCGAAGTGCCTCCCTCATCTGAGCAGGCGTCGGAATTTTGTCCTCGATAGCACTTTCGGGTTCATCATCGGCATCAGAATCTTGTGACGAAGCTGGATCTTTGACACATACGGCTTCGCAAATGTCCTCATCAGTTAACGAAGTAGAAGTCTCAACCTTCTCGTCGATCTCCATCCATGCTTCAAAATCCTCAGCATTCATATCGGGCGGGGGATTGAAAACGTCTTCCATTTCTTTCATTACAGCAGCATTGTTGTCCTCTGGTTGACAAAATCCTCCATGACTAAAACAATTTCGAATTGTTTTTTCCGAGACATTATTCCATGACATTGTTAACAAATGTATGGCATCCAAAACATTTGTTTTTTTGGCTAGAGCGTTCGCATTAAGATCTTCAGCGTCTTGGTCTTCCATATTTTCTAAGATCCTTGAACGCATTTCCTTTCTGTAATATGCCTTCAAGGTGCGGATAATTCCCTGGTCACACGGTTGAATTAAAGAAGTGGTGTTTGGTGGTAAGAACACGACATTTATCTTCTCCTAATAACACGTGTTTAAAAGATAATATACGAGCCCCGTTTGGACTTTTGGTAAGTTTCAGGAAACACTTCACAAAACACAAAAAAAAGTTTTCCTTCTTGTTTTTATTGATTTCAATTTACCTCTAAACTGATAACAATAAACGAACATTTGATTACAATAAACGAGGATTTTTCAATGTATTTTGATCTAAGCGGACGGGACTAAGCGATTTTGATAACGTTAAACGTTTGATAACATTAACCGTGATCACATTAAGCGGCGTCTACTGTAATTAAAATTAGTAATATTTCTATAACTTACAATGGTTAATTATTAATATATTATTAAAACTACTGAATAAAAAAAATATGGTTATTTTTATTCAAGCTCTATACTTTCATGAATTCCGAAGACAAATATTCAATTTGTCAGTTGAAATCAAATAAAAAATAAATAAATTAAAATCGGGAAACATAGAAATAATTCTATATTACTCTTGTAGAAAAATTTCACTATTTATGTACACAAACTACAAATTTAATAAGTTTTAAAAATACTTGAATTTAAGTCTAAAACTAAATGGATGTAATTAAATATGTTTATGAAACAGCAAATTATTTTAGACTCAGTTATGCGAAATTATAATTTTAAAGTTTAATACCACTTTTATCAACATCTAGTTTCTTTTTTATTTATTAATCTGCTTTGAACTTCTAATAATTTATAAAATTCTCGGTCAAGGTTGAGCTTCTGATGACAAAAACTGTTTTTTTAACGTAGCAAGAATCAAAACTAGTTAAAATTGCAAAGAAAATATGATGATATTCAGGAAATCATAATTCTTGGGGAGACTTCTGTAGTATATTTGAAACATTAAACTTACAAATAAATATATTTTAATTTTCATAAATACTAATAAATAAATATATATTTAACAATAATTACACTAAAACAGAAATTGTAATTCAAAATATAAGTAAGTCATAAATCATAGTTGATAATTTTAGAAATATAGAGCTCTTAGAGAATTTTTTGTTAGCATTAAGAGATCCATGCTTGAAGTACAAATTTAAAATATCAGTCCATTTATATTAAAAGTAAAACGTTTCCTCGTCACTTAAAATAACGTATCAAACTAAAAGTCGAATTAGTAGAAATAGATAGCTATATATTGGGAATTTCAAAAAGTCTACACTTAATATGTATTTTTTAGAATTGTTTTAAAGAATAAAAACAAAAAAGTACGCATATTGGAAATCACAAATGAATATTTAATGGACGAAAAAACTAAACCATTCTTTAAATCTAGCAGATGACTGTATAGGAAGGTGGCTGTATAGGAACTGTATAGGAATGACTGTATAGGCTGTATAGGATGACTGTATAGGAATAAACTACAGGTCTGTTTGTAAGAGGAAACCAAGAGGAATTTTAATTATTATTAAAAACATTTTAAAGTATTAGCCTTCAGTTAAACATGTTTTAATATTAATTACATGCATTTGTTATATTGTTATTCAGTTGTCTGACTTTGATAGCATTTTTATTTCCTTGTTTAAAAGTAGATTTTTAACACCCTATGAGTACTCTTTTTCGCTTACATTTTTGATAAGAATTCTTAAAATACTCTTTAAGGGTGGTCTTTATCAAACACCCTATATTTGAATTAGACAGCAGAAACTCTTACCCAGCAGATTTGATTTGGTTGAAAACTTTGCTTTACATTCTGAACAGCTATAGTGTCGTTCATGAGCTCTTAGATGGTGCCCTAAAAATTAATAAGATATATTAAAAGAAGATTTCATATAAAAAAGTAGTAGTTCAAAGTTAAGATTCCGTAGAAAAAGCATGTGAAACTTCTTATAATAGTGCAAATAAAGATTTTAAGAATAATAAAAAAGTTTATTTATTTGTACCTATTCCAAATAACTGTAGGTTCCTTCAAAATTTTTTAATGATTGCTCACAAATTTTATGAGCTTTGCAGTAAAAAAATATGGAATTTAATGTACACGTGCAATTAATAATTTAGTGAAAGCAAATAACAAAACAATAAAATAAACAAAGTTTTTTTAAAACCAAAACACATAACAAGTATTATTTCATTCTGAACAAGAGTGTCTTCAGAAATAAAATGCCTAAATAATGCTTCAAATACAAAATTCTATTAAACTATTACAACAAGATATCAAGAATAAAGTAAAATATAAACAATTTGCATTTAAAACATAAGAACAGATCAAAAAAATAACAGAAAAAAGTTTTCATTAAAAAAAAATTTTATACACATAATTTAAAAAAAATAAATAGTGTGAAATAATAACTTACTTGTTAAAGAATCTTCATCAGGAAAAGATTTAGAACATACTTTACAAACCAAGCTGTCATCGGCATTTTTAAATGCATCACTGATGAGCTTGTTCTCTTCATCTTTATTAAATATTTCCTTAGAAAAAGTAAATGTAAGTAATGAATAAAGCTAACCATGAAATAAATAAAAGTGAATTAAAACTTTCAGTTAAAAATTTTCTTACTGTATGTTAATAATATAAAAACAGTAAAAGTAATTATTATTAAGAATTGCTATTTAATACTAATCTAGAAAATCTTAACAAATATTACAATTATACTAATTCTGAGAAACCATATGCTATAATCAAACGGTTTATTGCACATTATTTGTAAGAAACTGTAGGGTCAACATTTTGATTGCTAAAAGAATATAAACAGAAATGTTTTAACATAATTGCCCAAGGATCTTTACTTTTAGAAATTTTAAATATAAACTTTTCAACAAAACTTCCAATAAACAACAAATTAAATAAATGAACTAGGCTCTATCCCACTAAGAGATTGGCATTTTAGCCAAACAAAATTGGATGGACAATGTCAGTTTTATTCTAAAGAACAATACAAAAGTGTATTGTTTAAAAATCCCTTTAAATTAGTTCAAATAAACATTAAGAGTCTCCTAATTAAAATAATCTAAAAATATATATATTTTTTAATGAAAATATAATGAAAAATATATTCTATGTAAAAAATGTATGTTATGTAAAAAATGAGAAAAATAGAACTTTTTCATAAACTTTTCTAAATTATATAAATAATGAACTTCATTTAAAAAAAATAATAATAAAGTTAAATTACTCCAAAACAAAATAAATTTTTTCTTAAAAAAAAAAAAAAAAGCCAAGATGTTTTTTTTAATCTTCAAACCTAAGAATATATGGTTGCAAAAAAAAGTATAACTTTATTGTGATCAATTTTTCCTTTACATTACAGAAAAATATAAAAAAAACTTAACTCTCTACAACAGGGATGTCAAACTCGCGGCGTGAGATGAACATTTTTGTGGCCCTGTCAATATATCCGAATCAAAAAAAAAATAAAATAGAAATGTGAATTAGAAACGAAGCCAGCATATAAAATTATAATATACTTTATTTATAAACTATACGGATCATTTTAAATCGTACGCGCGAAAATGTAAAATTCTAATTGGCTGAAATGGAGTCCTTTTCACACTAAGTACGTTTCAGGTTTATCCTACTATAGGTTGGTTGGTTGGTTATCTTGCTCCAAGGTTCTCAAACAATTCTGGGATTTGACAGAAGAAATATGTAAGTTTTTACAAACTAAAAATCAAGATATAAGCTTGTTCTCCGATCAAATATGGTTGCAAGATTTATCTTTTATGGCTGATATAACCAAATACTTATCCGATTTTAATTTATTGTTAGAATGCAAGGATCAGTTCATTACGAACATGTTTGACATAATTAAAGCATTCAAATGTAAACTATTTCTTTGGGAAAGGCAACAGAAAAATGAAGATTTAATGCACTTCCCAACGTGCAACAAGAGCAAATCTAGTTTAGATGATACTGCATCGCATCAAAAATTCGCAGAAAAAAAATTCAAATCTTAGAACAGAATTTGAAACAAGTTTTGAAGATTTTAATTCTTTGGAAGACAAATTTCCATGTTTGGAAGTACTTATCAGTGAGAGCAATTATTTTCTGTTATGAATGTAAATAAATCTCCTGTCCGAAACCGTATTAATTACGCTCACGTCGGGTCAATTTTGAAAGTAGTCTCGGCCAGTAAAATTTCTCCCGAAATAGAAAAGATAGTAGCAGAGAAGAAATGTTAAGTATCAGGACGTAAACAATAATTTAACTTTATATATGTTTATTGCAATTCAAAATAAAAATATTTGTTTTCTATGAACATTGATTTCTTTTTTTTTGCGGCCCACCTAAAGTTAAGTATTGTTTATTTGGCCCAAGTTAGCTTTTGAGTTTGACACCCCTGCTCCACAACTTATTAGATATTTAAACAACATAAAACAAAAAGCTCATTTCCAGATATAAAAAAAAATGTGGCTGCAAAAAAATCAGAATTACATTTTTGTTAATGTTTTTTATTCGTAGTTTTTTAGAAAATTATCAGCAAAAAAATAGACGTCAAATAAAACAGAAACATTTCTTAAGAATTTGTCAAGATATGCAAAACTAATGATTTTTTTTTTCATACTATAATTTTTGCATTATAAACATGATGATGCAGAAATGCTCTCTAATGTAGAACTTACTTTAGAATGTGACGTATCCATTTCAGGTATACTTTCCAAACTAGGCTCACTAGTTTCATCTACATTTTGAGTCGTAGGAGCAATTTGTTCTCTTGTTATATCACTAGAGCTAACATTTGAAGTTTTAGAGTCAGAATTTCTGTCGCTATGAGACAATGATTCTTGATGAAATGAATTAGTTTTTTCACTATTCATGGAATTTCTTTCCATTATGACAGAATAAGAATTTACATTAGATTCTATAACTTCTATTTTGTCTTTAAACAAGGAGTGAGAATGAAATAAATTTTTCTTCGGACTTAGAAATTTATCACTGTTTTTATTGCTATCTCTTTTAATTTCAGTAAATGGTACATCATTCAAGGTTTGGTTATCTTTGCTTGAATTATCACAACTATTTATAGAAATGTTTTCAATGACGGTGCTTTGATCAGTTTGTACATTGGAATTAGAAAGATCAGAATTCCCAGTAAGAAGCTGATGACTAGAAGAAAATGTAGTAACTTCACTGAATGAAGATTGTTTATTACTATTTGAAAATAGGAGGGATTCAGTAGTAAATGGTTTCAACTGACTGTTTGAAATGCTTGAATGATATTGAACACTTGTATCTGAAATTATAAGTATCGAAAATCAATAAATATTGAAACATATAATAAATCTCGATGTACATAAAGAGATTGAAATAAATATCTAGAAATACATACCAGAAGATATTTGATAGATTGTTGATAAATTTGTAAATTCAGAATTTGAAACAGAACTCTCTGTGACCAGGGGACCAGTTTCAGTGTTAATGCCTAAATTCATCTTTTTTTTATAAAAGAAAAAAAGAAACATAATAGTTATAATTTATGTAAAATAAAACAACAAATATTGCAATATTAATAAACTAATTTTAATTTGTTTATCTTAAAACCTTTACTTCTTCAAGCCCCGATAGTTGAAGCTGTCCAGCACAGCAGCAAGTGCTAGAAATCATCACACATTCTGCATATTATTTTTAATATCATACTTCTAAAACATAATAATAAACTGCTACCAAGACAATGTTCTTTTTTTTCCTTTTTAAAGTAAATTGCCAAATAAAATAGAGATGAAGTGAAAAAGTAAGGTAGAAGCTGTCCAGCACAGCAGCAAGTGCAACAAATCATTAAACAATATGCAGATTATTTTTTTATCTTAGATTTCAATAACATAATCAGGGGTAATTGTGAGCCCAACTCAAAAATCCTGAACATTTCTTGAGTAAAATCATTAATGACGCATTTCAAAAAATCAATGTCTTTATAAATTTAAATCCTTGATATTTTCACAACATGAAGATTTATATAAATTATACACAGCATAATTTAAATTAATAATTATGTATAAGTTTGCGACTAATCACATTTATCTCTAATCACGCTTATTATTCTACTAGAAAAATATTTACAAATGAAAGAGATGCTAAGTATAAATTTTAGTTCGAATATTTTTAAATAAAATATACACGAATTCTCATACATAAATGTGATCGATGATTTCATGAAACTTCTGGACCTTGGATTTCCGGTTCACGCTTAGCGAAAAATATGGAAATCCGGATTTTTTCCAGAACACAATCATCTCAGCATAATAATAAACTGCTATCAAGAAAATTTTCGTTTTAAAAGTAAACTACCAAATAAAATGGAGATCAAGTGAAAAAGTAAAGATTTTCATTTTGTTATCCTTAATGATGAACAATAAAGAACCATTTCTCACTCCTTTGAAATCATTATGAAATAAGTTTCTAATCTAATTTAACCATGTGTTTCATAGATTCAACTTGTATCTACTATTTCTAAACTAAAATTCTGCTATAAATTTGGGTGAGCCTCATTTTAACAATATTAGTCACCACCTGATTGCATTTGAGTCGCATACAACTTTTTGATTTATGAAGATGGTACGGCAGAGTGGCTTAGTTATTATCAGGCTTCAAACTAACCCAAACTTCTTGGAAGGGAGTCAAATTTGGTGCCATTACATATGCTTTTAAAATTATCAAAGAAGCTCATTTTTATTTTTTTGGATCTGACATTAATTTCTTGAGATAGCTCTGTTTTAATTTTTTTTTTATTTCATCTATTTTCATTTGGCAATAACAATACAAATATAAGAACCAAAATGCAATAACATTTATGTCAAAAAAGGTACTTCTTTTCTGAAAAATCCAAATCTACAATAAAAAATAAAAGTGCCTATTTAAGATTTTAAAAATGTCACTGCTGCAACCTCAGAAGGAGAGATTGGGGGCACAATTTGGTATCATTGTCTGCATTTTTTGGAAAATATTTCATAAGTGTAATTTGACCCAATGTGTATTTCTCTATATATTTGACTATTTCCATACTGTTTGGTCAACCTGTATTATCTAAATGATTGTAAAATTGTAACAACAATCTATTCAGATCAAGAATCATTTTTAAGTATATTACAACTAAATTAATAGAAAATGGCTGGAAATAAAAATTAAAAAAAAAGCTAGAAATTTCATAATTTTAGAAAGAAACTTTTTTATAAATAAAAGTAAATAGTTAGTAAGACAAAATTTTAAACTTAACAAGAATTAAAAATAAAAAGGCTTAGTAAAAAGCAAATTAAAAGCAACAAGAACTTAATAAGATGCCCAAATATCTAGAAATAGAAAAATTTATCCATCTAGATGTAGAAAAATGCATCATTTTTTCATTATGACTAGAGAATTCGGAAGTTCACCATTTTAGAGAATATCACACTAAGAAAAAACCTGTAATTTTAGTTCATCTAAAATGTGGCAACTTGCTAGTTTTATTAATGACACCTAAAAGGAAAGTTAGCATACATAACTCAGAGCTCATTCTAGGCAGGGTAAACAGGGCGCAGCACCCTGCTGCCCTTTTAGTCAAAAGAATCCACCCTGTTGCCCCTGAAGTAAATTAGTGCCCTGATGTAATAGACTCCATACTCTTTTTGCCCTTTTTTTCCTCAGTCCTTCTTTATTCCCCCCCAAACTCTGCAATGGATTTCCTAAACTTTTGTTATTTTCAACTCTTTATTTAGTTTGTCATTGCTGTCAATACATAGATTTATATGGGAAAGGAAAAATAGCCATCACACCCCCTTGTTGCACTTGTCTTTGAAAGTTTGCAGTTCCACCATCATTAAACCATAATTATTATTAATCATTTTAATTATTAAATCATAACTACAGACACTTAAAAACATACATTTATTATTTTATCAATATATGCATGCATTTTAAATAAATTACTAAGCTAATTAGCTCATTAACTTGATATATATGTTAATTTATTGATACAAATTAATAATTTATATGATTTGCTTTTCTACTTTTAGTAAAGTAAAAAAAAAAAAAAATTCTTTTACTAATTGACAATGTTTTTTAATTGAACGTGTAATGCCCACAGAAAGAAATTATTGCCTTTTTAGAATAATAATGCCCTTTTTTTAAACTTTTGCGCCCTGCCCTTTTTTCTGTCTAGAATGAGCTCTGCATAACTGTACACTTAATTAAAATAATAAATTTATTGATTACAAAAACAAATATAAATTGCTATCAATTTATAATAAAATTTAATCAATTCTCTGTCATAAAAATACAAGAATACCTTTGCACTTTCTACCTCTTCCATTGTAAGTGCAACAGCATTAATATCTGCAGCACTACTGTTCACTATGTCTTGAAGTTTTTCAGAAACTATGTTCCAAAAGTGAACTGCTTTTAACTTATCTTCAGCACACATGGCAGGTACAAGATTGAGAGCTTCTTCAACCTAATTAAATAATTGTTAAAATTAAATCTAAGTCAAAGCTTATTCTAAAAAATCTCTTTGAAGAGGATGCTATATCATCGAATAAAACTTTCATAGCAAATTCTCTTTCACTAGCCTAAGTTATTTAAAGTATAGAAAAGTGAATTAAGATTAACCTGCAGAAAACCAGAAAGTTTGAAATGCTGAAATTTTTTTTCACTATACCTAAATGCAAACAAATTATGGCACGATTACTTAGGATAAAACTATAGGAAAGTTTTTCAATTTTATTTTTAATGGCAAGGCAAATATACACACAAATCGCTAACAAAAACTTGTAAAAATACAATTAAAAATACTGAGAAAGTTATCCTGGAATAATTTGTATACATTTTAATATTTTAAAAATATTTTTTCAGTATTCGAAACTTTATGGGTTTATTCTATCTAGATTTACAACTTACATCTCATAAAAATATAAATTTTAACCCCTTGCCTGTGATGTCCGAACTCAGTTCAGGCAACACAAATGCACTAATTTTGAAATGCAGTTCAGGCCAGAAAAAAAATCAGTGCTTCGTTTCGTCGAAGCTCGAACTCAGTTCGTCTAATGTATAATATGTAATTTATCATTTTCCTAATAGATGATGATAAAACTTTTAAATTTTCTTGCAAAAAGTTTGGCAGTTTTGCACCATTTGTCAAATTTTTGCAATTTACACTGCAAAGGAATCTGAGAGACATGCAATTCATGACAGTTGAAATAAATAATAAGATCTATTGTTTTATTGGTTTATTTTACTCATCTTGAAGATCAAGACATTCGATTATTTTTGCTATATTTTGAGTAAAAATTAATGTAATTTATTAACATTTCTCATGTATGTAAAAATATTGAATATAGTGGTTATTTGGTTTAAAAAAATTTTTTTCGAGAAAATAATCTATTTTTCACATTTTAATGATAATAACGAATAAAATTAATGAGAGTTTTTCTCACCATTTATGGCACGTTTTTCTCAATTATGCATGTGCAAGTGGACATGCAATTAATATGCACATGTAACCAATGGAAATGAAACAGAATTCGCTAGGAGAAGTTAGAAGGTATAGCATCCTTTCAAAGTGTTTAGAAAGAATTTATCAAATAATTTTTTATAATTTTTGTGCAATATTTTATAGACAAGAAACAAACACTGCTTTCATTTAATATTTTTAACATAATGTTACCAGAGCAAAATAAAACCTTAAATTAATTATCTTAACTTGCTCTATAATGATGTACTATTGCACAATACAAAAAAACTCTTGATCCCAAGAACATTATTATAATAGTTATAGCTGAACAATATCGTTTATACATCAAAAAATTTTTCAACCTAACTGTTTTAGAATTCTCACCAATTCTTCGTCTTTATTCAAAACTCAAATATCATAGTAGAGTTTATACAAATTTTATTTAATTTGTTACTTTATCATCCACCCTTTTACTTAACTAAGAGGATACCTTTTTTTATACTCTGTATTGTGTCTCAAACAAAATGAATTATATTTAGAATATTTAAAAATAAAACATATGTGAATATAATCATGACACGCTTCCTTGCCACAGGTCCTGGATTCGATCCTCGGGTCGAGCAAGGTTGACTCAGCCTTTCATCCCTTAAGTGGGTCTACAAATGAGTACCAAGCACTGGGGGTTCCGCGTTCGGCTGACCACCTGACCGGAACATCTGCTCCTGCACTCCAGAGCCCAAGGTCAAGAAAACTGAGATGGGCACAGTAGGCCTTGGCCCTCTACGGGCTGTCGCACCACAGAGTTAGAGTTTTAGAACATAATTATATATAAAAAATAAAAAAAACCAGAATGAACAGATATCACATATAGTCTAATTTTTTTTCAAACTACTTAAAATTGTAAAATTATGTTAAAATTGATTATTTAAAAATTGTTTTCTTCTGGTAAACACTTCTTTACTTAACTTCCTTTTTACTTTTGCTATGGCGAAACAATTTAAGGAAGTATCCTGATCTGTTACGCCAACTTCAACCACCAAATGGATTCTAAAATTGCGAATTTTTTTCAAAGAACACTAATATTAAAACAATTGATCGCTTTGTTCAAATCAGAAAGTTTGCATTGATTTCTTTAGGTTTCAATATTTAAAAATAATATATAACATTTAAAATATTTATTAATTTTTCGTATTTGTACATAACTACAATCTAAATATTCTCTAAAACCAAGACTTAGCATTAAGAATGAAGCATATGCATATCTTTTTCGCTTTTGGTTTCTTTTCCGAAAAAGGTCTCTGTCAAAGGTTTGGTCACTTTTATTTAATATCTATATTTTTTATAGCTCGGTTCGTTTTATCCCGTTACAGTTTTGCACTCTAGATCTGTATATGCATGAACAATTAAAATTTATCTAATTATAGATATATTATTGAAAAACCACAAACTTTGGATTGAAATATGTTGAGAGATGAAAGAGGTCTTGAAACAGTCATGATTGTTGTATCAATATTACAACTTTTTACGTTTAAAGAATAAAAATAAATTTTCCACAATAATAATATGATTATTATATAAAAAACAAAATTTTAAATAGAAAGTATTCCCTCATTTCTATGCTTCATTTGCCTGACAGAAAATTAAGACACTTTCAAAACAAAAATATAAACAATAACATCGTTGCCACTTTTGTAAAAATATGTGATTAATTCCTTATCAACATTGCGATTGTAGCGTCATCTAGTGAAGTTAAATCAAGAGAAAAACATAACCAAGCATTTTTCATTAATTACCGCTCAAAAAAAATTTATGTGCTGCAGTTTACGACTTTTTCTGTTCAACTACGAAACAGAAATTAAGAGTCGCATAAGAACTATAACACAATATTAGAAACCTGTCAGTAAGAGCAAGAATATCTGCAATGAATATGATCACAAAACGCCGAAACGAGTTGACTAATCGAGGCGGACTACTGAATTTTTATTATCCATTTTGTTAATTTAAAAAATTATTTCTCAAAAAAAAAATTATGCGAAATTCGCTCCCGATGGAAGATACGTCAGAACAGAAGGAAATGTGCTCATTCTTTTGATCACCCTGTCGTGCAGAATAATAATAATATTAATAATTAAAACGGAAAAAACGGTTACATATATGTAATGGTACACTTTGTGATGCATCTCCGAAATAATTTGAAACATTGTAGTCTCCTTTATTTTAAAGCTATCCCCTTTCGGTAGCCAACTGGTCTTTTTTTCTAGTTGAGACCCTTAGCCACAATAAAGCACGGTTCCCAGAAGAACAGCCAGTAGTAAAGCATCACTGGCTATGGTCAGTAAGTGGGTGGGTAATTACTTTGATCAGCATGCATAGGCCGAGGGCCATTAAACTGTTCTACCGTGAAGTGCTCATTTTCACTCGTAGGTCATCGGGCTATCAAAGTAGGGCAGCCATCCCCTCTACAGAGGATCAAAACTGTGATGGCATGCATTCGGATCATCCTTAGGCATGTTTCCAAGACAGTCGCCAACAGCCCATTGTGCAGCTCTAGTGCGACGAAATTAAAGTACCTACCTACCTACCATTTCAATAATAACTTCAATTATGCTATCTTTGAAAGGCATTTCCCACTGTTTAAGAGTTCTTAAATCAAACCTTTTAAATATTACTTAACTTATTTATTCATCATATTAAAGGCCCACAATTGCTCGTTCTTTGCCAGGGGAGGCGTGGACGTTAAGGTTCCGTAATTTCGAAATCAAAGTATAAAGTTGACATTTCTCACTGCCTGCTTTTGCACCATCAATATGAAGCTACTTGAAATTCAGGTCTTTACTAGAGGCAGACCCCAGTACTCACAGCGCCTGCTCAGCATTAGAAAATTCGAGATGGCTCTTTGGATGTTTAAATCATGACTCATAAGCGATCGTGACTTTCCTAATGATGAGCCTCTTCATTCATTGACATGCTTAATAATTCATACCCATGGACCACAAGCCTCATGCTTATTTCACTAAAGTCTACTGCCCTTAAAAACCAATTTTACTTCCTGCCAGCAAACCAGTTATTCAACTTGAGTTTTAATTATAACTTAATTAATATAATTATAACTTAAGTTGTAAAATATGCTAAGCTATTAAGTTAATGTTGCTCAAAATCATTCATCTGTACCTCAATTTAGGTCTCCCTCTTAATCTTTTTTCTTTGGGCGTCTAGGTAAGTGTTGACGATGGTTTCTTGTTAATCTGGGTTTAAAACATGCCCAAGTACACGCCATCTGCGCTTAAAAATTTTAAAGCGAAATTTTTCGACTCTACCTCAATTTTTAAGAATTTCATCGATTATTTCGATGGGTCAAAAAAATTTTAATATGTATCTCAGACATTTATTTTGAAAAGTCTCTACAATTTGACTGTTGTTTAAACACTGTGCCATGCAAAAGAACTGCATAATATTCTACATAATTGCGTGTGGCTTTTTCTCCCCTCTTCCAGACGCCTTTTAATTTCAAAACAGATCTTTTCTTAACTTTACTTTTCAAAAGGGTTTAATCGTCATAAATCAAAAATGCTCTGCAACTTTTTACCCATCGTTGTCGAACTTTTTTTTTATGGTCACCAACTCGAAATGAGTTTCTAAGAAAATTGATATAAAATTTAATTCCGTCTTTCAAATGAATTTTTTTTTTTTTTTTTAAGAATAAAATAATGGATCCAATAGTCCCATAATCTGATGTCGTCAATTTTCCTAGATCACTTATCACACGTTTCTGAATTAATCTTCCTTGTAAGGACATTATATGCCAACATTTGTTATTGCGCAGTTGTCATGGATCCTATAAATTTATAAAAGTGGCGTTTAAAATTTGCTCTGTACGAATTAAGATTTTTAAAAACTGAATAAGAATTTAAGTTCCGAATACAAAGGGATCACTTGAAAAGTTACATCCGTAATCCAGCCATCTCGATCCCGAAGTCTGGGATTTTGTCCCGTAATCATTTTGCTTGGCGCTTCAAAAAATAAGGAAAAATTAGAGTGAGAAATTCCTCGTTTACTTATTAAATTTAAGTTGAATATTGAAAATGTGTGTTTTGAGATGCGTTTAAACATGCATTTGAGCTTCTTCCATTTTTTCAAACACGCATTTGTTGCTGTGCCCATTTTCTTAAATACGGATTTCAAGCAGTGTCCACCTTTTTAAGCACACATTTTGAGTTGTGTCTAAATTAAAAAGCTCACCGATGACATGCGTTGTACCATTTTCGAAATAGAAACGTAAAACGCAGCAGTTTTTCGTAAGCCAATATCATCTTACACCGTATAGTCACTTAAATTCATCCTAGACACCTATTTCATATCTATAACTAGCTGCAACCATTCGCACTTTAGGAAGGTAGTTACAGACTTAAGTGAGCACCCTTTATACATAAACTTAATGCGTAAAAAAAAACCAAAAAAAACACGTTTTAATGTTAACTATTTGGCAAAACAAATGAAAAAAAAACAGCAAGGAAAATAAAAAATAAAATTTGCACCATAAATATTCAGAATGATGTGATGGTGGGCTGATAATTTGTTTCACACATTATTTGCTTTATTTTCGAAGAGTGGTTTCAGTTTTTTCCAAATTGGATGTACACATAAAGTATCGCCATAATGAAATTGATTGTCTCAAGTTGAAAAAATAATTTTTAATTAAAGATTAAGTTCATAAATATTCTTTTTTAGTCCCATTTCCCATTGGCATTAATTTATCTAAACAATAAATTTTTATTATATAACATAAACTATGTGAAAAAAATTTTGAAAACAAAAGGATATAGGTCTGAAAAGTTCATTATAGGACCAGTTTGTAATATCAAGAATTTTTCGGATATTATTAATTGTATCCATTAAAAGTTTCATTACAGTGCAGTGATACCCAACTCATTTTGATTCATTTCCTTTTTTTTTTCTTCACTATTCTTCGAAGCTTATGCTCACATGATAAAACATATATATTATGGGACAAAATTTGGAAATTTTGATATGGGCCAGTTGTGGCATTTTTGATAGTGGCCACTTCTAAAAACATGTGGTCATTTTTTTCAAAAATTGAAAACTTTAAATGATTAAAAGGCTGTAGATATTAATTTTATAAGACATTTCTATTGAAAATGTTTTAAAATATGGTAAATATTACTCGGTTCATTTTTAAAATGAAACATTAAAAAAAAACGAACCATGAAATAAAATATTCACAATTCCATATTTATTAAAAAATAATAATAAAATGCAGTTGAAGTGCATGAGGTAAGCGAAGATAGCTCCTTTGAGATACTAATATTTTATTAAACATATTTACATTTATATACAAGTTGGTTTGATTTAGAAGAAGCATCATCACGGCAGGTGATGAGAGAAATTACTGACAGGCTGTCATGTGCGTGCTGGTATTTNAAAAACGAACCATGAAATAAAATATTCACAATTCCATATTTATTAAAAAATAATAATAAAATGCAGTTGAAGTGCACATTGATCGGATGGTGATTGTCTGAAAATTTTTAATCCCTATTTGTTATATTTTTCATCCATACATACATCCTCCATTGTGGCAACCAGTAATTTTGCCCTAGAATACAGATACAGTTGAACCTGTTTATCTCGAACTCCCCTACATTTACTATCTAAAATCAATGTATTTTCCATATTTATGTCGAAATTTTTTTTTCAAAACCTCCGTTTCTCGAATTTCTAAAAATAGAACACAAATGTCCAAACACAACTTTCTTTATCAGTAAAACTTGCAAAATGATATGAATTTTGTGAACTCACAGGAAATAGAGATGAAGAGGTTAGTGGCGTTTCTTGGAATTTCGATCACTGTCCCTGCACTTCCTTAACTTGATTGAAAAGAATACAATGATTCTGGCAGTAAGTGAGGAGTTGATGAGTAGGATGGAGTGGCTACCAGGGGTGATCTTTTCAACATAGATAAGAAAGCTAGGAATAGAAATTCATTTTCACCTTCAATTGCAACCAATGGATCAAAGGATAATTAGGAGTTTTAAATTGAACTATAGAAAACAGTTGGTACGCTAACTTTTAAGATGAAATCGATGAAAAAAGTTCTCTTCCAAATTAATAAAGCATGTCATCAAAACAAAAGAGGTTAAAGGAAGCTGATTGATTGAAAGAATTGAAAGAGACATAAAACAATTTATATATCATATTATTTTAACATTGAAGGAAAGCCATATTTTTATCAAGTAGCAAACTAAAGATATCAAAGAAAGAACACACTTCATATTGCAACAGCCAACACATTATTGTTTAATAATAACACAGTATAGGATACACTATTTTTACATTAGTCACCCATAACTTAAAATAATGGACATAAATAAATTTTAACGTTTTTTAAAAATATGTACATGATGCATATACTATAAGCAATTGTTCAGCTATTAGAGTCAGATGAATCATAATCCAGAGCAACCAAAGAAGGTGCATTATCCATGGAATTTTTTGAACTTTGGGAAACATTGGTAGATGATAGTTCATTCTGCGAGATTTTGCTTTTGACAGTGATCCCCAACTCAGTTTTTTTTAAAGGTTTCAGCAGAGATTGTACTTTTGCTTCTCGGATTAAATTTGATAAGCCATACGCTTCTTTAGATTGTGGAAAAATTGGACTTGAAATCATTTCCGTTCTTCTCAATTTCTGTCTTTCTTCAAGAGCTAAAGAAAGAACAAACAAAATATGAAGACTGGAGTTACTATTATTGTTTGGTTTATCATAAACTATTAAAACATAAAAATACATTTTGTCTCTTAATGCTTTTAAATTTACATGACTGAAGGTCAGTTTTACATAGAAGGTTACGCTGAAGGTTACGTGAATAACTCACAGCAATTTTAAGTGGTTTGTAAAGTGAAACCCCAGTCCATTCTACCTGTGTCTTTTGTTTTGGTGTTTGTATTGTCTTGTTTTAATGGTCCTGTCACAAACGCTATTCCTATAATGTTTATAATACCACTCTAGATCATTTTTGAAACTAGCAGATTCCCCCACCAAAAATTCTATCAATATTATTTCACTTAAAAATACTCATAATTCTAATTATGGAGAAGAAAAGGAGGATACATAAGCGTTTGGGATGAATACCTGAAACATCAGGTTTTATTGATGAAAATGTTGAAACCAATGATGTCACTGGTTCAATAAATGGTTTCAAAGTTTGAAGAATTATAAAGTAATACTGATAAAAACAGTGAAACAAAACAACAACCAGTGTCAAGATTTGTGGGAGGCCTCAAAACATCTTAAACATTGAGGAACTTTTAGTATTCACCTGAACTTACAGAAAATTAACAGCTATCTGTTACAATTGTTGGATATTTATTGTTTGTGCTAAAAAGAAAAAGAATGTGTGTTAAAATCAAAAGTTTTAAATATTTTATAATTCACTTTTTTATTCAACTTTCTTTTGTATTCAGAATTTCTCCAAGCGCAGCACAAATATTAAGAAACATCTAATTAATTACGTTAAAACTGTGATGTGTGAACTCCTGAATAATTTGAAAATGTAACTTATCATATTGAAATAAGCTCTTTGTATGAATTTAAGGGTTCCATTCAATGCAGTAAAAACTCAATAGTAATTTATGTTACGGAACCATATGAACAATATTTAAGTTTTATATCCATAAAAATTATAATTAGTAAAAAAGTAAATTGTGCAAACATTCACTATGTGAAGGAAGTGATCACACATTTGCTTGATTCAACAAGAATAATAAAAATAAAGGTAACATTAAACGATGGGGTGCTTCGCACCAAACAATGACACCTAACAGCAAGTAGACACAGGACAGGTTCATGTACTAAAGTTCAATATTTGCCAGAGGAAATTTTAAAATTTTAGCCAGAGGAAAAATATTAATTTTACTATCACTTTAATTCTAGTGCCATTGTTGATGGGAGAAGAAACAATTTATGTACTTATCATATTGATAATTATAGTCAAGGTAGTCAGTATTGATAATGATAGTACAGGGATTAAATTTTAAATAAACTCACTTTGCAAAGGTGTAAATTTCAACAGGCTTGCTAACTTTCTGTCTTCATCTGTCTCAGGCAAAAGTTTGATTTCTAAAGAGGACTTCTGTCTAATAGCATTGTCTTTTGCATCAGTGTTCATTTGCTCCTTTTTACGTTCCTTAAATGTAAGAAATATAAATATTCTTAATTCAAGTTCAAGAATAGGATAAAGAACTTTATAAAATTGTTTGACAAGAAATAAACTCAATTATTATCTATCTGAAATCCATAGACGCATGGTTACACAGAAAACAAATTATAAAGGATAAGAAGAAAAAAAAACATGGTTCTTTACTCTAACTTAAAACTTTATATTGTTAATCTCAGGAACCTAATTGAACTCTGAGAAAATTTTAAAATAGTAAAATTATAGGTGTTTAAGTAAAATGAAATTATGTTACAATGCTAAATGTTGCACTATGAATAATCAAAATAATCTGACAACAAATAATATTTAAATGACAAATATTTTAGATTTCAAAAATCAAAAGGTATAGGAAACTTAACGTTAATGTGATATGAGAAATATAGTTATAGTACAAGAAGTTCAATATTTTTCATAGTAATTGCCTGAGTGTTTTACTTTAAATAGTCCATTCCTGTAAATCTTTTTATTTTAAATATATTTTACAACTTATATTATAAATATTTTTCGTATATAAAAGTAAGATGTTTTTTATTCTTACTGAAAGTAACTAGAAATATTTGTCATTTGAATATTAGCTATTGCTGGGTAGTTTTGGCAAAGAATAAAAAATAATGCTTAAATATTTATCAATTCAAGAATCCATTAAATCAAATTATAGTAAATGTAGCTTGTTTTGAAGCATTGACTTACATAAAATAAGAAGTTACATATAAAAATGTTTTCTAAGAAGTTATGCATTCATTTTAATTATAATCTGAATTCCCCCCTCCAACAATTAAACAAATTATGAGTCTTATGTGCCTAAAAATCAAAATATTTTTTTTTTAAACTTTTCTCAAAACTTAATTCTTCACACATTTAAATAACAAACAAATAACACTGATGAATAAAATTGATCAGTTTATGCAGCAATTTAAAACAAATATAGTAATTAAAATGATATATTTTAATACTTAAGTTAACCAAAAGGTCAACTTATAACATAATTTAACATAGTTGTGAAAAGAAATACCCTAAATTGTTGGCGGAGTGCTTTGTTCAAAAGATAATCATCCTTCCATTTTTCTTTATATTCCTCAAGTTCTGAAATGGTTGGTGCAACACTTTTTTGCTTTTCTTTATCTTTCACGCCATGTTCCAAGGAAAACATGCTATCTGTCATTAACTTTTTACTCACATCCTTATCTAGAAGACAGAATATGATAGTTAATAAGCATTAAAAAAGGTTCAATGATAAAAGAAGAAATATTACATTAAATGTTTACAACCTTCAGGAACAATTTGTTCATTTTGAGTAGGATCCCATCTTCTTTCTTGGCGTCTAGCTCCTTCTAATATCACATAATCCAAGTTCTAAAAAAGATAGAATAATTGTAATATTTTTTAAAATAAATAATTTAATAGAAAGTTTCTTAATCTGTTACTTGAAGTAACCTACTTTAACGCATGGAATAAACTGAATAATGTAGATTCATGACTAAAATTAATTACTAAAAAAGTTAGAGACAAAAACTTTCTAAAAAAAAAATAATAACTTCATTAAATGTGCTATGCTAAATTTGAGCTAGAATCTACAGGGAATTAAGAACAAAGAAGGAGTGCTAAGCAGTTTTTAACATACATTCTCAGAAAATATGAAAAAAAAAAAAAAAAAAAACTACAAATTTTCAGAATAGTTAATTTTTTTAAAAAAAAGAGTGATATAAAATAGTTAAACCTATTTTTAAAGAAACTTACTTGAGGATCTGTTTGAATTTCAAAATGATTAGGGCACAGATGACATTTCATCCTAAACTTATAAATCGGTGTAGAATAGTACATCCCAACTTTAGTTTTTTCAGCATTATACCGTACACCCATTCCAATGTGATTCTCACAGCCATTGCACCAAATATTGTAAGGCATTTCAAACCTGAGAGAAACATTAAAAAAATATTTTTATTTATTCTTAATTTTCAGTTAATTAATTAAAGTAATGAAATTAATTAAAGAATTAGAATAGAAAATTAATTAAAGAAATGAAAATTAAAAAAAGTTGCAAAATTGTAGATTTAATTATCTTTGATAATATTTTTATTTAAGCATAACTTATGGTAGTTTAGAAAATGCATCAAGTTATATCAAAACACCACAAGAATAATTTAAAAACCAAATAATTTAAATATTAATTATCATATGATATTTTTAATATGTTAGGTTTTTTAAAAAAAAATTATTTGTTCCTATGGTATGAACATAAATATGAAATGCTATCTTAAAAATATGAAAGAATAAAAAAAAGGAGAATGAGTTTGAGAAACAATTAAGAAGAGTATTTTATGTACAGTCTTAACTAACGTTATTTTTGTTTAAATGCAGCTTTATGAGTGGAAAAGTATATCAAATACAATAGTACATCATTTATAGAATTTTATTGAAACTTTTAACAAGAGTATTGATACATCACAGTGTATTCATTGCAGAAAAAAAATGGGAGAGAATTTCTCACCCTTTCTCAAAAACAGGGTGAGATTTCAAAAAGTTAAGTGAGATTTCTAAAAATTAAAAAAACACGAATCGACTGGGAAAAAAATGATTTCTTTAATTATAATACATCTTTCACATCTTCTAATTGAATATTTTTGCTGCATCATCATATGGAAAATGTTCTATATCTACTTTTTCATCGGCTATTACATTTATTTGGCTGAAAAATATCCGCATTTGTTTCGGTTTGACCGTTTCTACCGACATTCGTTTCATTTTCATTTGTGCATTACAGAGTAGAAGATGTCGCCTTAACAAGGTATTTGTCCATCTTACATTCATGCACAAAAAATGCAAACGTCTTACATGAAGAAACCTTATCTACGGTGAACACGTGGTTGCAGAGAAATGTGTTCTGAACGGGGTTCCGTGGTTCAGGGGGGGGGGTTCTGCTGTTCGCACCGATTCTGAACAATACTGATAAATAGGGAAGCTAGATAACAAGAACCGATGTTCAAAATAATGAAAGATCAAGAAAGAAAAGTGAAGCGGATTTTATTCAAAATGGCAAAAGACGAATTTTTTTCCAAAATCCGTGCATTTTGAAATTGATTAATAGAGTGTGCGAACTTCTCGCGTTAATCATTTTTTATTGCGAGAAAAGAAAAATATATGCGAGATTCTCGTGTTCTCGCGCTGTAGTGAAAACACTGCATCACTAATAGATCAAGAGGCCAGAAAATATAGCATTTAAAAAGTGTTTCAACTATTTTGGTATAATAGACTATTTGTAACATAAAATTTCAATTAAATAAGATTGATAAAACCATCATAAATAAAAAAAGAATTAGGTAGCAAAACTGACAGAAGAAACCTTAGTTTGATTGACAAATTAGACTAATCCTCTAATAAGCAACATTGAAAATTCAAAATTGCTGGAGCCTGATTTCAATCCTTATTAATCAATATATTTAAAGTTTTATATAATTATTTTTACATATTTTAAAAAGTATGTGATAAAATATTTTGGGCAAAACAGTTATTTTTAAGCATTATCAGAAATGTATTAAAAAAAGAAAGGAAAATTATATACAAAAAAAAAAAGAAGAAAAAAAAGAGGAAAATCATGAATTTGAGGAAATCTTTAATGTCTGAATATTAAAGGTATTGTGTTACTGAACAAATTAACTTGGCATCAAATCTTAAAAATCCTTCTAATAGACTAACAACTTTTGCCAGTTTTAGGAGTAACACTTTAACATGCTCAAAGATTACGAATTTTAAGTTTTGTCACTTAGCATTATTTAAATAAGTATTTTCCAGTACCTTCCCTACTTCGATAAATAAAAGAAATATAATAATAAATAAGCCTGTTTTTAGTTTACAGTCTATGAGTCAAATGATCAGTTACAGAAGAATGCTTAAAGTAAAAATCTTATAATCATGGTAAAACCAAACACATTTATGAAAATGAAACAAAATATTTCTCATTTTTTGATTTCCCTGAGAACATTTGAAAACTAAGCAACTTTTTGGAATCAAGTTGAAAGTATACCTAATGATAAGAATGCCCAGGTGCAATTTTCGAGCTCTTTCACGTAAGGCATGTGTCCCCCGAAATTTGTTGATGGATCCTTTAGAGGGTGTCCAGTCTGGTGGATAATATTTATTAACTGCTTTTCGTTCAGCCTATGAAAAAACTTGAAATTAATAACAGTTCAAAAATTAATTACAGATCAACCTCTATTTAAATAGCTAAAACAACTAACAACTTTATTAACAAAATGTATCAATACAACATATTTCAGTACAATAGAAATTGAAATAGGAAATTTTTATTATATAATATAAATTTGTGATTTCATCAAAATAATTTAAACATTTTACATTCTTCAGCACAAAATGAAGTATTAGAGATGACTGGAGTTCAATCCTCAGTGGAATAGAGGTGGAGCCAGCTTGTCTGGAAAATAAAGGCCGCTTGTGCACAATGCTGATCACATTTCCACAAATAGGCTGTTAAACACAAAATTGTGAATTCTTAACTTCCACAACTACCTAGGCTATGACTTCCAGTTTTGTTGCGAGAACGCCTTGTTTTACTTTAATTTTACTAAGTTTAAAGTTTTTGAAGATTTGATTGTAGAAGTAGAGAAATTTTCTTATAAAAATAGACAATTTATAATTCTTTACATTCTTTTTAGTTTTGCGATTTTTTAAAGCAAAGTTCTGATTCAGAGATATCAGACTAATTTAAACATTTGTATGATTGGTAAGGAAAATTAAGGTACTTTTTCCTATTCCACTACAAAAGTCATTAAATTTTTCTTTAATCGTTTAGTTTTAAAAATAATTAGTAAATGTCTGAACTTTTTCTTGGAATACAAGACTGTAAAAGAGACCAGATATTATTTGACAAGAAATATTTTAAGGGATACAAGTGATTATAATGACAGATTCAAAGATTGTAATAATTAAGGGTATACTTATTCCTTCAATATTTATTGAGAAGAATTTAATAGAATAATTTCGTTTTTTTTAATGCTTCATTAATTTTAGCATACAATTTTGAAATTGCATATTATGATATCAATACAAATGTAGTAAAGAATCGCATAAACCAAAAAAAATTGCATTCAACATGTAAAAGTATCTCTATTTATACACATATCAATTCTTGTTTTAACTATAATCTATTTCTTAAAAGTCGTTATTAAAAATAAATAAGTTAAAATTAATGAAATATTTTTTGTCGATTTTTGTCTCAAATTCAAATATAAAATTATAGAGCAAAGGCATAAATAGAAACTATCTACACTTTTCTTTCAAAGTCAACACATTTTTTCGTTCGTGAAGAACTGTGATAAAAATAAACTAATGGAAGTGTTTATTATTCTAATGTAAGAAACACAAAATAATATAATTCAGTCATACATTTAAGTGTCATTTGGTCAATGATGTTTATAATCATTATTATTTTTTAAAACATTGAGTAACATTAATAAAAAGTAAAATATTTTATGCTCTATGAATATCATATTTATTTGATGCAAGCTGGATTTATCTAGATTCTAAACTTTATGCACTTGTATTTTTATTTATTAATTTACACTGATAAAATAAAACAAACTGCTTGTTATTCTGATTATGAATAATTATAACAAAAATAGCTTTTTATAATTTTTTTTACATTTAATCATTTTTGTTGTTGATATTAATGTACAGTAGAGTCTCGTAAGTTCGAGTCTCAGAAGTCCGAGGTTCCGCTAAATTCGAGGTGCCAAATTTTCCCCCTAGCAACCAAAAGCGTGGCAAAGGTACTCCTATAAGTAGCCCTATCCTTCAGGAAAAAGCTGCGTTTTTCAGAAATCAGTTCAAAGAAGGAGAAGAAGATTTCGCAGCAAGCGTTGGTTGGTTAGACCGTTGGAAAAAACGATATGGTGTACGTCAACTAAATATTTGCAGTGAAATACTCTCGGCAGATACGTCAGCTGTGCAGGCATTTCAAAAACGGATTGAAGACATTATATTGACGGAAAAGCTCACACCTGACCAGTTATATAACTGTGACGAAACAGGTTTGAACTTTAAGATGTTGCCCTCAAAATCCCTTGCTTCAAAAGAGGAAAATTCAGCTCCAGGTCACAAAAAACGGAAGGAACGATTAACCATTTTAGCATGCGCCAATGCATCTGGAAATCATAAAATGAAACTGACTGTGATTGGGAAATCTGCCAAACCTAGAGCCTTAAAAAACATCACTAAAGAAGCCTTACCAGTACATTACCCAAATCAGAAAAGTGCATGGATGAATCGAGAAATTTTCAAACAATGGTTTTCAGAACATTTTGTTCCAGAAACACGGAAGGCATTGAGAAAAAAAAATTTGCCTTGCAAAGCAATTTTGTTTTTAGATAACGCTCCATCTCATCCCTTAAAACATGTAGAACAGCAAACTGAAGCCACCCCTGCAGATGTTTTGCTTTTGAAGCGTTGGCTGACTATCGCATCAACAAAGAGAAGTAATATACTGAAGCAACAAAAAATTGACAATTTTTTTAAATTGTAAAGAATCTTTTACGTCATTATACTAAAGAATAAAGGATTTTAAGGTAATATGATCATTTTATTTAATTTCATTTGTAGTAATTAAAAATTTTCTTTTTCGGAAAATCCGAGTTTTCAGTAATCCGAGGTAGTGTCAGCCCCAATTACCTCGGATTTTCGAGACTCTACTGTATATGTAAATATGAATATGACATTGCTCAAATATTATTTATTCATTTTAAGAGAACGATTTTATTTTAATTCACACTACTTAAAATCTCATGGAAAACATAGCAAATTACATATATTTTATATATTAACTTTTGAAAAAAAAATAATAACATTAACAGTTACTCAGATACAAACAACAAAGCTGTTTGCTTATTATTTTTATAAATAAAATGTCAGTAATAACTGTGAACAAAAATGAAAAAAAAAAAAGATTACCATTTTTGATTATTTAAGGAGAAGCACAACAGCGATGAACCTTATTTCATTTGCTGAAAAATAAATAAACATGGGAATGATTACATGCAATAAGAAAAATTAAATTTTCAAGGACTTAATTTAATTTTGTATCATCTTAATAAATAAACTTTTGTTGATTACATAGATTTAAATTTTATTCATTTCAAAATCAATTATTTCATAGTAAGTACTACCCACTTTATTGCTAAGATGAGAGCTCATTGAACTGATTTTTTAATTTTTAAAACAAATTGTAAAATTAGCTTCATTTAAAAAAAAATATGATTAAAGAGCAATATTGGCTAATTTCTAATTTGCCTAGAATCATAAAAGTTCTAATAAGCTGTAGGCAACAAATGCACAATGGGTGTATGTAAGTGCTCTGACAGGCATCCAGAATATCTGATGGTACATGGTTCCTAACTTTAGGTAACACATTTTTGTATTAAGCTTGGAAAACACTGTAACATGTATTTTTTTAAAATTGATTAAAAACAGAGTTATTTTTAATAAATAACTATAGCAATAAGACTTTGTAACAGGCAATATTTTATTACTCTGAATGCTTTAATAATACTTTAAAACAAACAGCAGCTTTTCAATGAAAAATTGATTTTTTTTTTATCTATTACACATAAAGAAATTAACATCATTGCTTACATCAAAACAAAAAAAAAAGGTTGTATATACAGAAATGATCAGTCATTTGTCAAAAAAAAACCTTCAATAGCAAATTTGAAAAAAAGCTACTGTACTAAAAAAGAGCATTAAAAACCTTATATATTTTAGAAGAAAAAAAAACACTAGTTCTAAGAAAATAAATCAGAAGTGAAAATTATCTGTAGTTTGTTTCGTGTTTGCGTTAATGAAAACGTATGGTCATTTATAACGCATGGTATTATGGTCATCTGCTCAGGAAGTTTGCTTCCATATTTCTGACTTAATTTAAGATTAATATTATAATAAGTTACTTCAATAACTATTGCTAGTTATTGATGCTTTGAAAAATGAAAAAGATGTTGCAATAAAATATTTTATTTTTATTTTTAAAGGAGACAAAAAGTGAAACTTTCTTCCAGGCAAGGAGGTTTTTATTTTGGGGATATTTTAGGAAATGTAAAAAATATTAATGCATCAAAATAAATAAAATGAAAACAAGTAAAAACCTACGATTTCATATTATGGTAAAAATTTAAAGAAATACAACGTAATCTGTAACAAATTGTAAATAAATCAAATAATGATAGTTGCTGATTGAACTGATGGATTGATTGCATCTTTTTCAAAAGAACTTAATTTCATTTTGAAAGCACTAAAGTTTATCGCTTAACCTAACTATATTGTTGCAAATTGGCCAGCCAATAAAAAGGCTCAAAAAGAGCAGAAGGCGTGTTCAGAACGAAAAAGTGGAACATCACGAACGCAAAAATTTCTTTTTGTTAACGTTTGCAACACCGCATGTGTTGTTTAGGAAAATCATAAATATTTATTCGACTGTAGTTTATTTACAATTAAATAAAAATGCCTAAAAAGAAATCGAAGCCAACAAAGAAAGACACCGATCAAAATTCAAAAGCCAGTTCCAAGGATAATGATATTGATGACGACTTCGAACAATTAGATCTAAATAACGATGACACATTAGATGATGGTATATAATCCACTCATTATTAAGCTTTTTTTATTGTTTATTCTTTATAACTTTGTATATCCGTGTACTTTTATTACTAGTAAAACTTGTGTATTTGATAAATCATTAAAAATTCTTTAAAAAAATTACGTAAAAACATATCAACGATGTTAACAAATTTTTTTCATCTGTATGTTACACTAAATAACGACTTATACAAGGTAAAAAATGTATTTTTTAAATAATTGACTGTCCGAAGTTTTAAAAAATTCGTTTTCTTTAATTTTACCTGTAAGTATGTAAAAGATCAATGATTCGTAACCTAAATAGATTGGTGACACCAAATTTCATTGTTTAAATTGTGAATTGCAATCTATTTTATTAAGGTAAAAATAAATAAATAGCTCTCACTGTTAAGTGTAATTTAATGATAAAATTTGGTCTAAGCTATTTAAAGTAATGTTTCAATGGCTTTTAATGTAGTAAAAATGTTCACATTGCTTAGTAGAAAAGTTGTCAGAGTGCCAAACACTCATTTTGCATACAACATTTATTTATTTCGTATAGGAGTTTCCATATTAAATACCTACTTCAAAAGAGTCAGCTAATTTTGACAACAACCAGACAGTGGCAAATAATAAACTAAAAGAAAATATTACAGAAAGAGTGAATTCTAAAAGTATTACTCATTGTCTCCCCTGGCAAATCACTGTGCATTTTATTTAGATTTTATCCAAGTGTAGAAGATTTTTGGCTTTGGTAATTAGCTTTAACAGGTACTGTTGTAGAAATGCCACTATTTTGGGCAATGAAAATTCACTGATTTGGTTAATTATAGCGTTTTTCAGTAAAATTATAATTGTTTTTGAAAGCAATATTTTTTTATTGCTGGTAATATAGCTTATGAATGAGTACTTGAGTGGCACAATTATTTTAAAGTACCCAAAGACATTTTTTAGATTCAGCAGGCTATTTGACACATTTAAAAGTTCTAAATTTCTTTTTAATTAAGTGTTATTAGTAATAGAAACTGACAAAACAATTGTTAAATTTTTTTGTGTGTTGTTGGTAGCCAAAACCCCGCAACAGGGCAGTGGGCCAGATTAATTTTCATTAAGTTTTCTTTTCATGCAAATCATATCATACAAATAGAGATGTTGACTAGTTTAAATCAACTTGTCTTTGTTATCGCCATTTTAACTTTAAGTAAGTGTGGTTTTATAGAATCAAGCTTTATAACAAAACTTCCATCTACCATTGTGGATTGTTATAACTGACCTTTACTATATTTAGGGTAAAGAAACCTGTTATGACGCAGCAGGAGAGGAAAAATTTATCTAAAATTCAACTTTTATAGGAAATTTCAGATTTATTGATTTATCTTATATTTTTATAAATTACAGTATATATATGTCTATATATATATATATTTAATTTAGGTGATGGAGATGTTATTCCTTCTTCAAAAGATAAAAAGAAGTCAAAATCAAAAACTTCGAAGAAAAAAACTCCTGAAGTCGTGAAAAGTCCTGTTTCCAATAATCAAAGTGATGATGAGGAAAATTTAGACAGTGATGTTGAAGAAACTGGCTCTCAATCTAGTCAGGATGCTGATTCTCAAAAAGGTTACTAGTTTTACAGAAATTTCTATATTTTTTTAATAAAAATACTATCTAAATTGATGAAACTGTGCATATAATAACTTGAGTTATAGGATAATTGAGAAAAAATATTTGTTTACAAAACTAGGGTTAACAGTACTAGTTTTTTTTTTTTAAAAAAAATTTAGAAACAAAGTTTTAATACCCTGAACACTACTGGTTTTTTCTAAACTTTAAGCTAGTGCTGATGATTCTCGTCTCGAAAAACTGGTTTCCTCATAGTTGTTTTACTGGAAAATAGTACATAGCAAGAAAATTTCAGTCCAATTTTGCTAAGATCCCTTAAAGAGTTTAATGATAAACAATTTTGAGGATACAGAGAAAAAACCTTCTAGTACATTTTCTTAAGATTAATTTTTTATGTAACTAACTTTTATATTTTGCAAGAACTTGGTACCATTTGATATGCATTAATTCATGCACTTTCAAAAAAACATTTTTATGTGTATCATCCATACCCAAAATAATGTGCATTTTGGTCTTTGACAGATTAAGCATTTTTAAAGTTTCTAAGTTGACTGATAGCACTCAAAGCTAAAATGTTCTTAAACGGTATGCACATTTTCAATACACAGACAAACCCACAACTATCTAACGTTTTAAGTTTTATTTTAAGAAAGGATTGGAAGTCTTCTTTCCATTTAAAAACGTTATAATTTTCTTGGAATATCTTGTTTATAAACTGAAATATTGATTTAAATTTTACAGAGGAAGAGCAGAAGCCTAAAGTTAAACTTTCTCATAAAGAAAAGAAAAAGTTGAAGAAACAAGTAAGAAATATCAATTTGAATTATTATACATTGTTAATTAATGTAACTCAGCATTGCATAAGCTTGCATAAAATATTTATATTTTATGGTATAACATACCTTGATTATCTTTATTTCTTCTGTATTATTCGTTTTCTGCTGGACATTTAAATGCAATGTTAACTATCTCAGATATTTTTAAATTCAGATGCACGTTAGTCTAAAAATCAAACCGAAATCGGCAACTAAGTATATCGGGGAGGGTTGATATGTTTCTAAGGCGGGTGCGTGATATCTGATATCACAAATACCATTATATTAGGAGTGCACGACCTTTTTAAGTGAAGGGTCACTTGCACAGCGGGTAGATTAACGAAGGGTCGCATGCATATTTAGTCATGTTAGCGGCATATATGAGGATTTTTATAGAAACGTTAGTGTTCGAAGCAGTAAGTTTTTTTTATCAGTAAACTTAATAACAAATAAGCAGAAAATTAAATACTTTTAATAAAATAAAATAAATTTCTTTTTTTCACAATAATTGTATATATAAATATATATTTAATTAAATATAAAGGAGGGAGGTATGAATTCTAACCAAGGAAATAATAATGTAGAGCTTACAGAGTGAAAGTGAAAAAAAATATATGTACATATTTTCTAGAGTAATATAAATTTGAATGAAGTATTTTTATGAAAGAAAATTTATAATGTTTAAGCAAAAGTCAAAAATTGAAACAAATCCATTATAGCACAAAATTAAATTCAGTATTTTTCTAAAAAAAAAAATTCCTTGCATTCAGAAGCTTCCGCGGGTAGCATATCAACAGTCAATGGGCTGCATGTGGCCCACGGTTGGCAGGTTGAGCACCCCTACCCTATATGACTTGTGCAAATTTTAGTTAAATGATACCACAACATATTTTATTGACTGTAGAAAATTTTCTAGCTGTCGAAAAGATAAGGAGTGAAGATATTGTAAATAACATGCCCAAGGCAGGAATAGCCTGATTGGTAGGGCACTAGTCCAACAGTTTGTGGGTTCGATCCCCGCTGACCGAAGACTCCTCATGTAGTAAATGCTGACTGTTGCACATTAAATCTGTCGAGTCGCAAAGCCCTCCATGTTCCCGTAACAAATCAATACCTCTGGGGGTACTGATCCAGGAGTTTCCTTGTCTTCTGGATTGGTTCAAAATTACAAGGCTACGGAGTTGAATATTAGTAGTCGTAAACCCCTAAAAAAATTGGGTTGACTTTTCAAGGACATATATATAAAATAAAATAACATGCACGTGCCTTAGAGTTGTATTACTTAACCCCTAAGACAATCCAGTGCCATACCATCACTTCAAGCTTCCATGACACTGGTCGGTAGCCGACGCCGGGAAATTTTGTTTTAAATTATATAAAAATCTTTTATGTTATTTATCAATTAATAATTTTTTTTTAAATTTACTTTTTTCAAAGAAAAATTATGACCTGAGATTACCTATTAGCATTCCTTTAATTATTTTCACAAACTGCAATTTTTTTTCTTATTCTGGTAATGAGAGAGAACCATTTTTTGAAATATACACATAAAATTGTATAAGAATTAATTTAAAAATTGTGGAAGATAAAATTCAGTTATTACATAATATTACAAGGGGTGATCAAATGAAAAGGTACAAAACGACACGGTGGGTACAAATGTAGACTTTATTCAAAATATACACCATAGGCCTGAGCACCAACGATCCCCACTGATGAACAAGCCGCAGGATTCCTTGTTCCCGGTATTCCTGTGGCGGTGACGAGCCCAGTCCTTCACAGCGTCCTTGAGTACGTCGTCTGAGTTGAAGCCCTTCCCTTACAGGTGTTTCTTCAGTCGCCCAAACGCATGGAAATCGCAAGGCGACATGTCTGGACTGTAGGGCGGATGTTCCAACGTCTCCCACTTGAACTTGGCCAGATCCATGCGTGTGGCTCTGGAGACGCGTGAGCACGCGCTATCATGGAGCAGAACCACACGCTCCGTGAGCAGCCTCGGTCTTTTGTTCTTGATGGACCTGCGTAGTGGTCGGCGCTGTTTGAAATTGGATAACACCTCTCTGCTCCTCGAATTTTGCAACGCGAACGCCGTCCTGTCTTTATGCGCACTGCCGCTTTTGATAAGAGATTCCAATCGCATCCCTAGATGTCTCGCTATGTTCTCCCATGGCGAAATATGCAAATATTTAACTGTTACATTTTTACATCGTTTCATACCTTTTCATTTGAACACTCCTTGTACATATTTTGATAAATGTTTGCAGTGTTGAATGAGTGCCTTTTTAAAACTTATGTGTCCTTTTTGAGAGGCAATGCCCTGCCCTTTTTTTATTCCTAGGGAGAACTATATATATAATTAAAACTATTCATTAGGTCTAATTTTCCAAATAAAGGCTTTAAGGGAATACAAATCTCTACCATAAATAATTATGTATTCCATGACTGTATGACCTGTCAGATTCATGAGTAAATTACTGATAATTTTTTTAAAAATTAAATTGTTTATTTCTATTATTTTGTTTTGATGTTTTATATTTTGTAGCTTTATATGATGTTGAAATAAAAATAGTATGATTAAAAAGTATTTTTAAAATTTTTTTTTCTTGCAGACATTTTATACTATAGTTTCTAAAATTTCAGTATTGTATAAGTTATAAGTGCTTATCTATTTTTAATAGAGTGAGTATCAAAGACAGATTGAAGCATTGGGTAGTGGCGGAGTAGATGATCAATTTACAGTTTCCCAGGCTGAAAAATCGGCAGCTCAGCAACTGCAATTAGAAAATGCTATAGATATTAAGGTAATTCCATATGTATAATTTTTTTCTAGTATTTTATCAATGCATTGTTCTAATTATTTAAGAAACCTGGAAGTCTTCTTAGTATAAGTAAGAAATAAAATAAGGCAATGTACTGAAGCTTTACAAAAATTACTTATGTTGAAATATTTTGCAAAGTTATTAAATATGAAGAGGAAACATGTTCTTGAATATCAGGTGTCACATGAATTACTGCCACGGATAATCATGCTGACAGTACTATCATTTATACATTTAAAATAAATAAGAATCTAATGCACTTTATATTTCATACCTTTGTCAGTTTATGCTAAATAATTATTTTATTTATGTCATTATGTTAAAAATATCAAAACAGATTAAACTAGATTAGATTAGAATGTTTTGTTTCAATCTGTTATAATTTTTCTATTTTCCCATGTTATATCAAGTTTTAAATTTTAATATTTATTTGGTAGTTTTTGAATATTATTTGTTATATTCACATTATTCTTCATTCATATTGGTATCTCTGAGGTTTTCAAGAAGTAGAAAGTAAGTAAAGTTTTTCATGAAATCAATTGTGTGAGTCAAGATCTGTTAAACTATATTGTTCTATGATTTTTATGCATTGTGAGTTGCTCTTACTGTGATTAGTTTATAAGTATGTCAGTTAAAAGTTAAAATATAGATGTTATGTTTAAATAAAATATAGATGTTTATAGTCTACTTTGTTTCATTTTACTCTTATTTTATTAAAATAAACCTTTTTCTTTGTTTTTCGTAAAAATCATGGGTGTGCTCTTACTATGTTAGAAAAAAATAGGAAAAAAATTTTCACAACTGATTCAAGAGTTTCATTTTTGTTTTAAAATACTGTATGTCTTGCTTTTAAACTTTTAGTAGTAAAATATAATTATTCCTTTACAATTTAGATTAAAGTGATTAAATTTTTAAATCTTTTCTTATTTTATTTTTATTACTCCTTATTTTTTTCCTTGTTTTGATACATAATTGTATAAGCATTCTTATGTTTCTTTAAATATAACAATTCTTAAACCAGAATGTATGTGGTTTCTCATTAAAAGCTAAAATCAGAATTTTTAAAAAGAGGTTTTCTAAAGTTGATGTCGAAATATTCTAAGTGTTTATATTTTCCCCTCATTTATGATTATTTTAAATGGTTGCTTTTTGCCAATTATTCAATTAGAAATGGATACAAAGCTATTTGTACATTATAATTCAGTATCATTGACATACCTTCCAAGTCTCCTGTTTTTTAATGAAGAATCCTGTATTTTACAACTATCTCCTGTTTACCTGTATATTCTCAAATTTCTCTGTATTTGTAAAAGAAATTTTTAAAAAAAAGTTTTGCCAATAAAATAATTGATGATGGCAAAAATACTTCTCTCATTCCTCAACAGATGGTGCTATTGCCAGGCAGTATGTTGAGTGTTTATATTTTAAGTAATTATAAATAATGCTTAAAAAAATCTTATTTAGAGATTAAAAATTATATACATGTTTTTTTCTTCACTATCTGTAAGTGCTTATAATATTTCCAATTTTTAATTTCTCTTTTTGACTTACTTGATTATGCGTGATGTATCCAAACCTTACTTGTAGCCTAAAATACGTCGCTAGTAAAATCTCCATTATTTTATTTCTCCAATGTTGGCAGGTATGCATTGATTAAATTGTGTATTGTAATGTATGCAATCAATATATGAATATCTTGTTAAGTTGAGTGGTATAAAACAAGTTTCAAATTAACTAAATTTCTTTTCAGAAGTAATGAAATCAGAATTTTTTTAAAATTAATATTATAATGAACTTAAGTAATTAATGTCATAATGCCAGGTAGTTGCCTTCATGCATTTGTTTTTGTAAACGGCAATTCTTTGAAATAGAACATGTAGTAACAGTAGTTCAATTTTCATGGATTTATAAGCAAAACAAAAGAAGAGAAAAATAATGTTAAAAAACTTTTATTTGAAAAAAAAATCTGTAATGTAAACAAACAATTTCAGGCCAGTCAACCGCACTCATTGTTAGTCAGAATTAACTCTTTTTAAGAATTAGGTGATTCCCAAGAGAACTACGATTTCAGTACCACCTAAGAATTAATATACATTATAAACAAAATAATAAATTCTGATATAACAGAAAATTTCCTCAGCGCTAACTTATACCTACCACAAATATTTTGCCTTTCTCATTATTTTAAAGTTAAAATATATAACTTCAATGTTCCTAATCCTTCAGTGTTTCCTAATATCAAAATTTGTTTGTCTAGGTGGATAATTTTTCAATATCTGCTAGAGGAAAAGACCTTTTTATTAATGCTGGTTTACATATCACTAATGGACGAAGATACGGTCTTGTAGGACCTAATGGGTAAGATGTTTATTCTTACATGTTAAATAAATACATTTATTTTTATTATTAGTATTGCTAACTATTTTTTATTTATTTTTAGTCATGGCAAAACAACTTTATTGAAACACATTGCTAACAGATCTTTAAACATTCCACCTACAATTGATGTTCTGTTGTGTGAACAAGGTATGCTTATAACTTGAGATATTGTTCAAATTGGACTTTTTTAATCAGAACATGGTTTATGAAAACTAATTATAATTCCTCTAGAATTTTCGGTTGGTTACAATGTCAAAATTCTGTCATTAATTCATTTTTTATATTTTCTGTGTGCACCTTTTTTTTAAGAAATTTAGTGTAAAATTATCTTATTAATTTCAGTGGGTTACAGAATTTTTTTACTTCTTCCTATCTATGTAACTTCAATACTCATGCCTACTCCATTTTTTTTCTCCAAGCCAATTGAGTGCTTGCATTTTAAATAATCATGAACTTTATGGTAATTATTTATTCCTGAATAGAATAGCTCAAATAACAAAAGAAAAAAAAGTTGCTGAAGAATAAGGGATTTTGTTTAGTTATCATAATTGTAATTTTTTTTATTATAAAGAATTAGAAAATGATGTATTGAAAAAAGTATGATTTGAAATTATGTTATTTAATTTTTTTTTTGAGACATTCATAACTTAAAAGAAAATGGAGTTAATATTAAATAGGGCTTTTGTTGGATGTTTAACTCTTTTCTACATTACAGCATTCATAGCTGTTTTTTTACATAATATTTTTTTGTCAACTCAAAATTACAGATAATTTAATCAATTATACAATTCCAAATCAAGTATGAGTAATAAAGAATGAATTGAACTTCTGAAACTGATCTTTGAGTCTACATTTTTAATTTGTTTCTGAAAAATATTATTTTCAATGCATTTATAGATTAGAATTACACTTTAAAATTTTAAAAATAATGGCAACTAGTTCCTATAGAGACTTTCCGATAGAAAAAGTTTTAAAAAATTTTATGTAAGTAATTTTTACTAGTTTGGGCAATGTGTTGGAATTACATTATTTTATTTATTATTATCTTTTTATGTTTTCATATAAAAAAGTTGAGTATTTATTTATTTTTGTTTTAATTTAATTTTAATTGTTGCAATTGATTGTTATTAAATGATTCCATTAAAGCCTTATACAGAATAGTTTTCAACTTGTTGCCTCATTTGCAAATATTTTATGTGTTCAAAATATATTTTATATGTTGTTCAAATTATATGTTGTTGTACAATATATTTTGTAATATGTTAAATTTTACAATTAAATTAATGAGTCTAAAAGCAGGTAACCTCTATACGAATTCATCTGTTGATGACATGTTGTTAAACTAATTTATTCAATTATAAATATTAAGATATAACAACTGTTTTGTAGCTTTAACATTGCACTCCTAAACTGTGTATGCAGTTATATAAAATAGCTATCATAAAACGGATTGGATTTATAAAAATATTAAAGGGAATATATTAAAATTGAGTTGTTTTTTTTCTAAAATCTGTCAACCAATTGGTGACATTTTGCTTCAAATCTAATAGAATCAAAAATTTTTGTATTGCTGTTTTAAAAAAATGTTGATTAATATGATAATACATCAGAATCATATCTGTAGATGGTTTTTTTCATTCTTTACAGGTATAACATTTTTTCTGTGTAAATGTTCACATATTGTGCGATTTTGCTGTACTGTATTTTTACTGCACTATATTACTTTATATTTTTTTTTAAATACTTTATCAGGACTCCCACTGGTCAGGGAAACCTGGAATTTTATTTTCACACCAAAAATTGGGTAAGAATAGTCAAAAATAGTCAGAGAAAGTTACAATTTTTTGCAAAATAACTTGAAAATTTATTATATCATGTCTGGAAAATAACCAGTTTTGCCAGTAACTGTAATCAGTTATTGAGATTCGAGTTAAATAATTCTTACGTCTATTACAGTTATTTGTTGTAAAAATTTCACAGTTTAGTCTAGTTGAAATGTTTCCATCCTCATTCAAAGNTTTGTCAATTATTAAAACAAAAGATAAGGCCAAAAGGACTACCTAAATATATATATCAATATTTTTTTTTCTTACAAAATATAATACTTGGCATTACAAATAAAAATATAAAAATTTTCTGATAAAAAATTGTATGGTATATATAAAATATGATCTGGATTTTCCGTGATATACCAGGAAATATCTGAGAATTTTTCTTCTTCTTTTTTTTCTGAAATTGAGAGGGAACCCTTTTTATAAAAATTAGCTTGTATTGTACAAATAAAACTAAAAAAAAAAAAAAAACATTATTTAGAGGTTGTGGCTGATGACACCCCTGCTGTTGAAGTTGTTTTAAAGTCAGACACCAAACGAAGTGAACTCTTGGATGAAATGAATGCTCTTGAAGCAGAACTAAATAAAGGATCTTTAAAAAAACAGGAACGACTAAATGAGGTATGTTCTAAACATATATTAAATTTTGATAATTTTAATTGTAGCAATAATTTTTGTCGCTGATTGGGTATATGGAGAGTGTGTGCTCTATTATTATTTTCTTAGGTATATGAAGAGTTACGAATCATTGGTGCTGATTCTGCGGAAGCTAGAGCAAGGCGAATTCTTGCTGGTTTAGGATTTGATCGAGAAATGCAAGATCGAGCTACAAAACATTTCTCTGGGGGTTGGAGAATGAGAGTTTCTTTGGCTAGGTAAGTACCTATATTAATCATTTTATTTATTGGATTAAAGGCAATGTAATTATTTCCCTATTTTATAATATAATTTCTGTTTCTAGAGCATTGTTTATGGAACCAACTTTGCTTCTTCTTGATGAACCTACTAATCATTTAGATTTAAATGCTGTTATTTGGCTTGACAAGTGAGTATTTACTGATGAAATGATTCATTATGTGTATCTGTGTCTTAGTTCTGATTATTTATAGTTTGGTTATATTTCTCTGAAAGCTTGACCGCCATTAGAGTTTTGTAAGTGTTAGTGTTAACTAACTGTTCAATTCTCTTCAGTCATAAGATGTATGTCTTTTTCAGTAAATACTGCATTCTCAATTTTTCTAGTGAGTATTCCCCTTTTTATTTCCTCATGTACAGTGAAATTGTTTTTCCCTCTATCCGTTATGATAGGGGTTTCAGAATCAGATTTTTATTGGTTTGAAGGTGTTTTAAAATTAATATTGATTAGAGACTTACAGTTTTGATTTCCACAAATCAAATTTACCCCAAATTGTATTTAAAACTGACCACAATATTAAGACAGTATTATTTGTCTTATTTAAGATATGGCATGCCTTATATTAGACATAAAATTTAAATAAAAACAGATAACATTTACTTTATATTTCTGAAATCCCAACAGTATACATTTTCTTGGAATGTTTATCCAAAATTCAAAGTCTATATGTATAAGTTGTCTATGTATGGTGAAATAAGACAAGATACCTTTGTAAGTAACTTGCAACTTCTCCTTATAACTATCTGGTGATCTTAGTTAATTTGTTTTCCTTTGTTCAGATGTATGAAGAAAAAAAACCCATAGAAAGTCTGAATTTTGTTCTTGCTTATGTTTCCCCCCTCTATTCTTCTTAAACCTTTCAATTTCCCAAACCAGATAGAGGTTACGAGGAGTTAAACTTGGCAAAAAGCAAAATAAATCAGTCACAGTTAAAGCTGTCTAAATTCCGAAGCTAGTATGTTTGACTTTTTCTGTTAATTTGCTCTTTTATGAAGAAAAATGAACAGTCAAAGAAAATCTTACTAAAAAATTTTTTTTTCTTCCTGTTGTCATTATGCGTTTTCTTTTGTATATATATTTATATATATTTTTTTTGGCATTTTATTTTCAACTGTAATTTTATAGATTTATTTAATTTATTAGTGCCATTTTGCAATCTACCTTCTTATACTTAAACTGAACTATACTTGACTGAAACGTTTTTGTTGTTCATGTTCGTGTGGAATTTAGAAAAATTAATGAATTCGATTATGAATTTTCAAAAGCTCATATTACGTCCCACTTTAGCTTTCATCCTGTACTTGGTTATATATAGTATCAGCGTCTTAAAGAAATTAAAACAACACATGATTGAGTTGAGTCTCTGACTAACCAACTCAAATTTGCCATAAAATTTTTTTTTTTTAATACTTGTATACTCTTAGAGTCACTAGAATTTTATGAGTGTCTAATATTTATCACCTTTTTTTTTAGTTACTTACAAGCTTGGAAAAAGACTTTGCTGGTTGTTTCTCACGACCAAAGTTTCTTAGATAATGTTTGCACTGATATTATTCATTTAGATAATTTGAAATTGTATTACTATCGTGGAAATTATAGTAAGTATAATGCCACAGTTTAAATGTAATTAAGAACAAAGTTTAATTACTTGGATTTTTAAAATTATTTTTTACATGATTTGGGGAATATTGCTGTTAAATGCATTAATAATTGTCATCAATGTATGCTAAACTTTTATGATTCTTTTTACAAACTTGTTTTTTACGACAGATCAGTATTTTTATTGAATTCAATATTTTTTTAGTTGTGTGCAATTGTGCATTAATATCTCAAAATATGCTGGAAAATAGGCATCTTTTTCCTAATTCAGTATTTTTCATTTAGATTCGGTCATGTGTTTAACTCGGTCATAATGAACAAATATTATTGTCCTTTCGCACTTGTTGCTAGCGAGTTCAGCAGGGGAGAGTTTTTGAAAACATCAAAATGAAATTTTTGCCTAGTGATAAATAATAGCCTCTTTTTAAGGGAAAAAAATAATTTTATACAATTAGTTCTTTAAAATTATAATTAAATATATATTATTTTAGAATTTTTGATTAAAAAAAATACAATTACATTATAATATTAATGATATGATTAATTTATTAAGGACTATCTGATTAATTTTAATTTCGTTTTATTTTTTTCATTTACTAAATTATATTCCAAAACTCTATTTTTATTTTATATTAGTTTTGCATTTCAGAATTAACATGATATTAAATAAATTTTTCTTTTGATACTTGGTTAGCATTTTAGGCATGGTTTTATACATTATATACCTCAGGAACAATATATTTTCTGGATGGAATTCACCATTTCATTTCTACTTATTTTCATTCAGGTAAATTCAAAAAAATGTACGTTCAAAAGCGCAAGGAACTTGTTAAAGAATATGAGAAACAAGAAAAACGATTAAAAGAGATGAAAGCATCTGGTAAATCAACTAAAGTTGCTGTAAGTATTTATTTTAAGTTGATTCATTTCTACGATAAGGATTTTCTTTAATGTAAAACATGTTACAATTTATTTACTACACCTTTTTATTATATACAGTAGAGTCTCAATAATTTGAGTCTTGGTTGTTTGAGTTTCCCGTAAATCAGAGCTTTTGAAAAAAAGCCAGTCTTGCTCCCAAAAAATGACACACATATGTATATGTAATTTATTTAGTTTTTCTACAAAATTTCTAACTCGACAATTTTCATCCCCCCCCCTGCAATTAAGTTTTACTTATTTATTTTTAAAAAATAAAAATTTTGAGAACTGAAATCTGTAGAAGTTCACAGTATAAAATAAAATTGTAATGCCCGTAATGCTAAAAATAATCAAATTTTTTCATTCAATGAGCAAAATTTTTTCATTCAATGAGCATTTAAAAAGTAATAATTTTTTTTTTTTTTTTTTTTTTTTTCTTTTTTTNTTTTTTTTTTTTTTTGTATTTGTCACCCATTAAGTTTTTATGAAATTACATTTGTCAATTATTAAAACAAAAGATAAGGCCAAAAGGACTACCTAACTTGTTTGCATAATAACACTCTGTTATGAATTCATTCTTTAATAGTATACAAGGTTGCTATTCCACAGGGAGAAGAGGTAAAAAACCTGGAAAATACAGGAAATTAAAAAATCACCTAAAATAACAAGGAGAATGAAAGGAGTTTTGAGTTTTTCTTTTCAAGCTGGAAAAATACAGGGAATTTTGTTTCTTATTTTAGTCTTTTGAGAAATGATGATTACTCAAAATGCAATCTGTGAGATCAATCTTAAGAAATGGGGATTAATCTTTTTTTTCATATAGTTTTTTCAGTAATTAAAAATATTTTAGTTACCCCAATAAAGCTCACACAAGAGTGCAGTAATTGTGTTATCTCTTATAATTGTGTGCAAGGATTTTTTTTCCTGATTTGAGTTACAAACCTGAGTATAGCTTAACTGCTCGACTTAAAAATTGTCATCAGCATAAGAATGAATAAAATTCACTATCTTCAAAACAAGATATTTTTTTATTATTATATATATGTGTATTTTTTTATTACTATACTTTTCTTGAAAATTATTGTTTTTACAATTGCTTTATAAATGATTCATTTAATTAATTCTCATATTAATGCAGTTTAACATTAAAATAAAATAAAAATTTCAGGAAAAAGCTACTAAAGAGGCCTATACACGTAAACAACAGAAAAATCTACAAAAACGTTCAAATGACTCAGAGTCTGGACCTTCTGAGCTTATTCGGCGTCCTAAGGAGTATTTTGTTAAATTTAATTTTCCAAATCCCCCTCCTTTGAATCCACCTATATTGGGTCTTCATAGTAAGTATATTATAATTATAAAATAGATTAATATAAAAAATTTATCAAGTCTTGATTTTTATGTTTTTGTTATTGTTTGAATAAGTAATTTTAACTTTGCATTTTTCTTAATATTTCTTTTCAATATATATGTAAACAGTGCAAAGTCCCATATCCGAATGTCCATTTACCGGAAGGGTCTTTTTTCCGGAAACTTTTTAACAATCAAAGTAAACAAACTCTTTTTCCCTTATAAAAAAAATATTATTATTATTTTACAATTGCGATTTGTTGAAAAAAAGTATGCAGAGATGAGAATCCTCCGTTTTCTGCTTCCTTTTGATTTTTACTTCTGTATTTTGTTCGATTTTAATCCGATTTCCGCTACTATATGAAGAAAAATTGGATTTCATGGAATCAAAATTTAGCATTTCTATCACAACTAAAAGATGATGTCTATTCAAATTTCATGCCTGGCATATAAGTTTGGGTCTAGTAGCGCCATTGTGCACCCGCAAATCAGAGTTTCTTTTTAAAAACGTGTTCTGCAGTTCGTATGCATTATTTTTCTTTAAATTTTGACATAGTGAATTGCTGCTAGTCAAGAATGCGAAGTAGAAGCCATTATTAAAAACAGCTCACTGACTTTGAACTTGGTGGTGTAATAGGACTGCAAGAAGGTGGATTTACACTCCTCGATATTGTAGAAACAGGAGAAATTTATCTACTGAGCATGATTTTATTTTATTTCATAACCGTCGTTGAACCACTGACCCAAGATGTGGGTTTACGATTACTAATGTTCAACTCTGTAGCCTTGTAATTTTAAACCCAATCCAGAAGACAAGAAAACTCCAAGTATCAAGAGAAATTTGCCTTCATGGAGGAATTTTTGATGAAACTGACTAGCCTTTGCATAACATGGAGAGGACAACCATGAAAACATCCCACGGTTAGCCCGAAGGCAAGGGGACTATAACCCATCTGTATTACACAATGCATGCTTGCATTTAAAATTCTAGTGCAGACCTCGCAGTACTCCTATATTTCCTATTAACCTGGAAAAATTGCTATAGTTCCTATTTTTTTTCTTAATTTTCCCTTATAATTCTTTCTCTACTTTTTTTCCATCAGTGTAGTTTAAAGTTAGATTATTTGTTCTTTTAAAAAATCTAAAAACATTTTAAAGTATACAAAATCTTATTTTACCTATGCTCACATGAATGTAAAATGCACGGATCTTTCACATTTGCATGAGTTTTTCACACATTTGCATGAGAGTCAAGTCTTCTAGTATCTGCATGCTATTGAATTGTATAGAACTGTTAAAACTGATTGTTTGAAAATTTTATAGCTATGCTCATTAAACAAGTTATAGCTTATTTTAGGATTTAAGAAAACTTAAAATGTTTTGAATTTTGATTAACAGTTTTATTTTATATTTAAAGAATACCAGTGATAAAAAGACACTATGCAATTAAGAAAAAAATATTTACGTGAAAAAATATAATTCTGTTTTTCTAAAAGATATTTAGTAAAATATTTCCTTCAAAATATAATGGCCTCTCAAATAAGTGGGTTGATTAACTCGAAGAAACAAAGAATCTTAAAAAACATTGCTTTGTATTCACTTGAACACTATACACCCACATTCTGTGTTGAATTACAATTTAAGTTTATTTTTTCTCCTAGATGTATGTTTTGCTTATCCAAATCAACCTAAACTTTTTAAAAATGTGGATTTTGGAATAGATATGTCTTCTAGAGGTAAATATACTGAAATTTTGCTTTTTTAAAACAAGGCTAGCTTTTGTGCTATTAGAAATTTTATGTATTCAATGATTTTTTTTGTCCTGCCTCCTTAATGCAATATTTTACTTTTAAATAAAAGTTGGATGCACTTTTTTTATGATCTTTTTATCCTACTATTTTTCCCCATTGTTATTTCCTTCTTTTCAAAGATATTCTTAATGTTTCTTTCGTCCTCTCGTAAATTTGCTTGATTCAAATTCTTTCATTCTAATTCAAATTCTTTTTAACTAATTCAATTATAACCAGAGTTAGTGGTGGAATTTAAGTGACCTAATTTGAGAATTTATTGTCAATTTTATTACTTTAAATATATTTATTTTTTATTTGTTAATAAATATTTAAACATGATAATTAAAATTTTTAGAGTAGCAAAATGTAAACAAGCCACATTGGAATAATCTCGCAGGTTCTCCCTCAATCCTAATGGTTTGAAGGGGTGACCTCGAATATGCTAATTAAGTACTGCAGGCGATATTTTAAGTTATGGAATCAGAAACAAAAATATACTTTCTCTGAATACCTTTTTTTTTTGAACGGATTCGCATTTTTACCCCTAAAATATAGGGGGTAGCCGCAGTCTGGCGAATATCGTCACACTAGTTTAGTCAGGAGAAGACTAAAGTTTGGAACCTTTAATGTAAATGTTATTTTTTGTGCATTTCGCCACATCTCGAGAACTTTCTGAGCAAATTGAAAAATATTTTCACGCAATTATCGAAAGATAATTCTATGCCTAAAATAACTTGTAATAAAATTTTTTTTATATTTTATTTAATAATATTTGAAAAAATTGTGAATTGTAAGATGTTAATTTCTTTGCATCATTTTTAAAGAGTGTAATTTAACATAGTAAAATACAAAATTTGAGTGAAATCATTTGAATAGTTCCTGAGAAATCGAATTTTATGTATACGACTTTTTAGAATTAGATTTCTCAGGAACTTTTTGGCTAATTTTGTATTTTCCCACAAAAATTAGATACTATAAAATAATATCAAAAATTGTAAACCTACCAATTCAAAATATTTTTGACTATTATTAAATAAAATAATAATCAATATTTACTAAAATTTAATTTTTTACTTGAAATCTTTAGATAAATGAATGTTATAATCTTGTTTGAAAATTTTTCACTTAGAAAGTTCTCGGTGGCAGATTACGCAAAAAGTAAAATTAAGGGGCCCTAACTTTAGACCGCTCTCCTGACCAAATAACTGTGACCATATTCCCTGTATTGCGACTACCCTCTATATTGTGGGGGTCAAAAATCTGAATCCGTTGAAAAAAGGTGTGTCTGTTTAGAGAAAGTACGTTTTTGTGTTTGATTTTGAAACTTAAAATATCGTTTACACTAATTATTTAACATATTTGAAGTCTCCCACTCAAACTATTAAGATTGAGTTCTAGAACGTGAAAGGTCTGATCATTAGATCAAAAGTTATTCAGGAAGAGGTCTATCTTTTTTTTTATGCACTGTACTTTTTTTTTATTCATTGCATTAAAGAAATTCTGAACCAAGTAACAAATTTTCATACAAATTTATTAGGGCCATTTACGAATTTACATTCGTAATATAAATTTATTGAAGTTTTCTTAGTTTGCTTAATTCTTTACATATCTTTATAAATAATTTTTATTTAAATCTAAAATATGCACTCGATAATCTTTTAAAATAATAGGTTAATTAATTCTAATTTTGAATTTAATTTTTTTTCTGTAGAACTAATGAAAGGATTCAAAAACTTGTTTTTCCAAACACACGATTATAAAACTTGTTTATCCAAAGATAATTCCATGTAAAAAATTTTTTTATTATTATTTATAATTTAATTTATTGATGATTAAAAAAAGTTTTGAATTGTAAAATCAAATTGGTGCATCTATTTGTGGAATTTTAATTGATGAAATCCAAAATTTAAAAGGAATTGGTTAAATAGCTCTTTAGAAATAAAAAATACAATTTCTTTTGAGATGGGAAAGAATGCAAAAAGAAAGTGAAATTACCAATAAGGGGTAAAAAAATCTTTTGAGTGTTCTTCTGCCTAAATTATTGGGCCCATATTTTTTAGAGTGCAATGGCAAATATTAAAGAAAGGAAAATAATTAAAATAAAATATTTATGTAGTATAAAATTGTATGCATGACAAATATTTATTTTTATTCCTAGTGGCTATAGTAGGTCCTAATGGTGTTGGAAAAACTACTTTTTTGAGACTACTTACTGCAGAGTTATCCCCGGTAACTATCCTTTTATTTTTACTTTTCCTGTCAATTTTTTTGGATTTTCCAATTTTCTCCTAATCTCTTGGTTTAATTGTAATTTTTATTTGAAGTGTGCTAAGATTGAAAAAAGCTTTTTTTTTTAAAAAAAAAAAGAAAAAAGAGAGAAAAGTTTATTGTTTGATTGAGTATATAAATGAGTGTTACTACCAAATATTACAAAATAAGCTTCATTTATATTAAGCTTTTTGTGAAGCTTTTTTGTTTGTTTGTAAGCATTAAGTTTTAATTTAGAACTCTTGATTTTAAATTTATTAAGTAATATAATGCACATTATCTTATTATAAATATCTATTTTTTTTATTAAAGCATGAGTTTAAAAATATTATAAATGTTCATTTGAATGTTGATAATAAATGGAAAATATTGCAGTCAAAAAGTTTTTATAGCTATTAATGCAATATAGTTTTTGTAATTTTTTTTGGCTATAAAAATCTCTGTGTATAAAATATCACATATTTAGCATGAAATTTATATTATTTTGTTTAACTTACTGAATCTATTTCCTTTTATGTTGGCAGCTGTATATGTAAATAATCTTTGCTCTTTACTACATTCATGTTGTTTCCATCTTAATCCCCATTTTTAATTATCATAATTTTTATTTTATTTGCCCTTTATGACAAGTGGGAAGATTTTTTTCTAAGTATGATTTTATTAGAAAATTTGCCTTTAAGTAAACAACAACCCTGTAACCCCCGAGTCATTCATTTTCTCCTTTTTTTTTTCCATTTTAAATTAAATTTAGTTTACAACATTGTTTGATTAGCCTATACATAACATTGTTTAAGTTTGGCACTGTTGGGTCAATAAATTCTGCGTTCAATTTACAATATCCAAGTCATCATAACAGAATTCACACCATTCTATGTAAAATTAGTATTAATTATAACTAAATGCTTTATAGAATTAAAACAACTGTTCATTAATGCTGTTTTATTCTGTATTTTAGACAGTTGGTGAACAAAGACAAAATCATCGTCTTGTAAGTAGTGTTGCCTTTTTTTAAGTCATTATTTTTGTCATTGTTATGTAAGTTCATGAAAATCCATCTTCAAAAGGATTCTTTTTAATATGATTACTACTCATTCATAATATAATGTTTTATCATCAAGAATTATTAATGCTGCAAGTACTGTAAGACAAGGAGTGAATGAGTATGTTCATTTGCATTTGTCACAAAATAGTTCAAAATTATTTGAACTATCTAAACTTAATACCATTGCAGTGTATAAAATCAAATATAAATGTCAAAAATGTGTATATATATATATATATATATTTGTAACATTTCAATTTAAAATTTTTGTGCATTAAAATTTTTTCATATGAAATTATCTATAATGTATTTTTTCTTCTAAATTTAAGTATTTGTAGCACTTCAATTTAACATTTTTGTGCATTAAAAGTTTTTCTCATTAAATTATCTATAATATTTTTCTTCTTCTAAATATAAGTATAAAAAACATAATTGTTAAGTGTATATACAGGGTGTCCCAAAAGGTCGTTTACAAACTTAACATGCTGGTCTGTCATATCATGATGAACAAGATTTACATAGGAACTTGTGTCCGAAAATTAAAATTATATATATGTTTTTTTGCTTCTTCCTTTTTTTTGAGCTATGCTAAATATTGTTTTTTTATCATCATGTACTTAGTAGCTATTAATTTAGTGGTTAATATTTTGTAAAAAAAATATTTCTTAATCTAATAAGAAAATTTTCAATTTTGAATGAGCGATTATTAAAATTTTTGACAATTTCATGCGGATTTGAAATATCCACAAAAAATTATTAATTTAGTTTTTTAATGAAGAAATGCTGATTTCTTTCCTTATTTTAGCTCCGCATACTTTATAATTGCATATTTTAATCACATTGATTGTTCAATATTTAAACAATACAAAATTATCTTTAAATAATATTATATTCAAAAAAACATTATTATACTTTTTTTCTATTGTAGAGAATTGGAAAATTTGATCAACATTCTGGAGAACAATTGAACTTAGAAGAGTCACCTGTTGAGTATTTACAAGTAATTTTAAATTCTTCTGCTTTGTCCTTTTAGAAATAATAATTTCACTTAAGATAAAACAGTGAAACTTCGTAAAAATACAAAAATATTTCCTTTTTAAGTACAATAATAAATTTATGTTTTTCTCTCTCTTTTTTAAGTCATTGGTAATACTATCTGTTTTTGTGAAAGTGTGGAAACCAGCACAATAAAAATGTCAAATATTAGTATGTTTTAAAAACTTATGTCATAAGTACAAACCAATTATTCCTCAGGGAAAGAATTAGAAAAAAAACTGTATTTTTCTTTTTAACTCTTATGAGAGTGTTAAAAAATAAAGATAGGAAATAAGGTGTAAAATTAATTTTAAGTAAAAGTAAAATTTAAGTTAAAGTAATATTAGTTTAAATTAAAGTAAGTCTTACATTTAATAGGTGGAATAGTTACAGTTTAAATTTTGAATTTAAAAAAAGAATGTCTGTGAAATGTGATCATTAAATAAAAAGGAATAGATTAGTACAAGGCAAAACAATAACCAGTAAAGGTTCTTGAAGGCCAAAAAATAATTAGTGAAAAAGGAACAAAAAGAGATATAACGAAAATCAAATAAGGATCGATAAATATGTCTAATGTTATATATTAATATCAGAAGGTAAGGTAACAAAACAGATTATTTTTGTCGACTTGATACCGTTTCTTTTAAATTACCTGTAAATAAAACTACTACCCTTGATAAAGTAAAAGATAACTATATATATATCTATCAAAATACCAAAAAAAGAAAAAAAAATGAAGAGGGAAAAGAAGGAAAAAAACATTTTATACTCTCAGAAATTTTATAACTAAATCAGTAAGTAACATAAAATTCGTAACATTAAAATCATTAAGTAACATAAAATTCGTTAACAGCCTGAAAAACAAAAGAAATTATCAAAAAAAAAAAAAAATGTAGAATCCTAACATCAGAGGAGAAACATTAAATAAAGCCAAAATTAAAAATTATACTCAAAATTAAATTGAGAAAACAATTACTAACAAGTAGAAACAGTCTCAGATCACTAAGACAAATCTTTTTCTTGGTTTAGTTCTAGAAAAACGAAACAAAATTAAACTTCATTCATTTTATATCCAGTAAACATCAAGAAAAATAAATTAAAACGAAACAATTGATTTCTGTTAACAATTAATCTCACTTAAGTATTAAATTATTACTCAACATTACTTTGTTTTTTCATATTTCATTAGTATTGGTAAGACACAAAAAGTTATTTTTAATGAATTTTAAATTTTTCCAGGACTTACTTTAAATTTTCTATTTATACCATTGCCTCTCTAAAAGCAACGTTCAAGTTTAATAGTTTTCTTATTAGTTGAAGTGATACTTTCGTTTATTTAATTGTTTTATAAACATTTAAATAAATATTATTTCACTTCCCCTCAATTACAAGCTGTTAAAAAGCTAAATTCGTGGCCTAATTATAACTTTTAATTTTATTTCTATTGATACCATGTGTAATGTAAAAAGGTTTAATTAAATTTAATTTAATCTATAAGAACTATTATTTCTTGGTATGAAATTAGTTGAAAGAAATATTGAGAAATTGTTTACTGATAATTAATAAAAGTATTTGATTGTAATCGGTTATATTTATTATTTTAAAAGTAGGTTTTTAATTATATATATATATTTTTAATTCTTTAGCGGCTATTTAATTTAAACTACCAAGATGCTCGAAAACAATTGGGAAGTTATGGATTAGTCAGTCATGCCCACACGATAAAGAATCATGATCTTTCTGGCGGACAAAAAGCCAGGGTTGCTTTAGCTGAACTCGCTCTTCGTGCACCTGATGTTTTAATATTGGTATGTATTTAACCTATATTTTACACGTTTTATTTATTAGAAATTACTATTAATAGAAAAGTTTACTTTTAACTACAGATTATTTTATATATTATACTTTAATTTAAATTATTTTAAAAGATTTTTTTAAATATTTTAGTTTTCCATTTTTTGCTTTATTTATAAATAATAACTAAAATACATAATTGTGATATATCTTCACTATTTCATTGCAAAAAATAGAAATAAGAAATATTTAATATTAGAAATTTTTTTACCCTTGCTGATAGAGGAATAAAAATTTGTTTTTAAGCAAGTAAACTCTGTCTAGTTAAAAGTATCTATAAAGTCATCAGCAATTTAATATTAGCATAATTTTTTAAAGCAGTGCAATATGACATGTATAAAATTATTTATATTGTGCTTTTGAAAAATTATTATTATTTTTTTAAACATCAACTGGATTTGAGTTAAGAGTTTTGCCTATTTCAATTTTGTAACTTATTTTATTGTTATTAAAAAAAAAGTTTTTTTGAAGATTTTGAACATGTTTACATCAATGTTGTTTTTCTTTTAAAGAGTTTTATATTTTGTTAGCTCAAAATTTAGAATAATTTTGAGAAAAATTATTTGAAAGTAAAAAACTAAAACTAATATTTTTTCTATAAAACCTTTTTATAATTTGTTATAACTTATTAGAATCTATATTTTCAGCTAAAATATTTCAGGTACATTTATTATTATTGATACTTGAATATTATTTACTATTTATTATAAATATATCTAATCTAGGATGAACCTACAAATAACCTGGATATTGAATCAATTGATGCTTTAGCAGAAGCAATTACTGAGTTTGAAGGAGGTATGTGCCTATTTTATGTACTTGATTTTCAATTTACAACTCAGTATGCTCAATAATATTATCTTTGTTTCTTATTAAAATAAGTTAATACATTGTTTCTTGATCATGGTTTATATATCTGTAAGACAAAAAAAAAAAAAGATTTTTTTTTATTTTAAAAGAATTTTTTTGTATTTCCTGGTTTGAGTTCATCTGGTTACTTGGCAGGGGTGTGAGAGGTCTTTTTTAAGTTAACATAGTGGTAAAGTGGAATGTTGGGTCTTAAACGCTTTTTAATATAGGGTTCATATGTCCCAGGAGAAAACCTGGAAAACTTGAGGGATTTAATATAAGCTTTAAAATATTTAGGGAAAATGTAAAAATTTGCTAAAAACCTTTAAAAAAATTTTTCTAGAGAAATTTTTTCAAGAAAAAAAGTCATACATATTTATCTAAAACCCCTCACTAAATCGTGAAATTGAATATTTCAGAAATGAATTTGTCTTTAAGTCCCTTTCTTTGAAATACCAAATTGTTAAACACCTTGATCAAACTGCAATGATTTTGAATTGATATCGATAAAGTTGGATTAATAGACATTCATCTTCATATCATCCTATTCCTGGGACAGATATCGAAGTATACTTACTTACGTGGAGTAATTAAAATTTAAGAAAAATAACATGGTATCAAATCAATTCAGGGGAAAGGCAACTAAAAATTTCAAAGCCTATTTGATTGCCTGAGAAATCAGAGAGTTGGAAGGCTATCTTTAAGATTCTCTCTTTTTATTTGAGAATTTAATACAGTATGTCCCATGTAGGGACATCTGTTTACAGGAAACAAAATTAACTTATCTTTTCCTTATTCAAATTTCTTCTTCTTCTTAAAGTTGAACATGTTGAAAAAGATATTAAAAACACTTTTTTTTCCTTCTTTCTTGCTGTTCTTTTGATACTTAATAAATATTTATTCTGCTTCATTAAGCAGTTAAAGAATTGTTGAAAAGATAGAGCAGTGAAAGAAAAACAAACTTGGGATAAGTTTAAACTATGAATATTAATAGTGTTCTAAAAGAATACAAACAGATATGCTTTGTTTCTCTTTGTTAACAAAATTACTATTCCTTGTTTTATATATATATTTTTTTTTAATAAATTGGATTGATTTACTTCCTGAATATAAGGCTTTTATTTAATGTTATTTTTATCTGATTATCTGTCCAGCCAATTCTTCACATCAAAAAAAAAAAAAAATAATAATAATTTTTTTTATTCATAAAAGAGAAACTTAAAATTATTCTCTGCTCACTATTATAGATTTGTTTTAAACCTAATAGAGGAACTAAACTCAGTGGCACCACAGATAGAGGGCCAAGGCCTACTGTGCCCATCTCAGTTTTCTTGACCTTGGGCTCTTGCAGTAGCAGATGTTCCGGTCAGGTGGCCAGTGAACGCGGAACCCCCAGTGTTTAGTTCCCAAGCATGCTTGGTACTCATTTATCGACTCACTGAAGGGATGAAAGGCTGAGTCAACCTTTCCCGGCCCGAGGATCAAACCCAGCTGTGGCACAGGAGCGTGAAGCGCAACCACTCACCACTGGGCGTCTACCAATTATCTGGAAAATTCTATTTTCTAGCCTTGCAGTCATGGCTGCAAAAATANCATGTCCCCCCCCCCATAAATTTAAACCTCTAAATGTATATATTTTACTTCATTTTTGACAAGGATTCTAAAAATATATATGAAAGGTTATCATTACAGTTTCTGTTGTAACTTTAAATTTATCAAATGAGTATAAAAAATAAAAGTTTCTGCATTTGTTTTAAACTGAAATAATATTTTTCTTTTTTAGCCAAAACAGACTGAGAACATAAAGTGCATTTAATCTGACAGTGTGATTTATTTTCGTTTTAGGTGTCATAATTGTTTCTCACGATGAACGTCTAATTAGGGAAACAAACTGCCAATTGTGGATTATTGAAAATCAAAATATTGATGAAATTGATGGTGACTTTGATGATTACAGAAAAGAGTTGTTAGAATCACTTGGAGAGACTGTTAATAATCCTAGTATAGCTGCACAACAGGCTATGAAGCAAAATGAGTGACAGTTGTAAAATAATAATGAGTATTAATTTAATAAAGTTTATTTCTTTAACTGGTTGTTTATTTTATTGACACATTCTTTTTATGGCTTAAATGGTAATTATTTAACCAAGCCTATTCATTGATTACTCATATAATATCATTATTTTACTTTTTTTAACTTCCTGATAGAAAATTTCATTAACTTGACTTGTACTTAAAGCTAAGCACTTTGTTCTTGCTTAAGTTAGTATCTTAATTTTTTTCTTTTAGTTAGGCCAATTAAATTTCTTTAATTCAAACTAAAAAAAAATCAGTTATGCTTCTAAACTGAAGCTTAAACCAGAGTTATTTAAATTAATCATTCAATGAACAGTGTTTATTTTACAGACGTGATTGTAAGAAATTATCTATAAAAAAAAAAAAAATTTCTAGTGGTTTTATTTTTTTGTTTGTACATAGAAGACATTTAAAAGACTTATTTCTTTGCACAAAAATAACATATATTTTACAAAGTATAAAGGGAGAACAAAAAAAAATAAAATTGATCTACTTATTTTTTTTCTTGTGAACACATAAAAGAATATACATATATATATACTGGAAAAATTACATATTCTTCCTTTTTTGCACTTGGTAGCCGTCGTTGCTTAAAAAAAACAAAAACAATTAAAACAGGGTGCATAGCCAAAATTTTCAACAAATAATAAGCACTCAAAAAATTTTTTTTGCTTCATAAGTTTTAGAATTACAAAATGTATCATTTGCCGCTGAAATTAATACTGAGACAAATAAATACTTATGATTATAATAACTTTTATTTGCATTTTCCGGTCACTCCTTAAATTGTGTTTCAAAATGACCACATAATTTTTTAGAATTATTTGATAACACAAGTGAGGCTTCTCTACATTCCACCTCTTATGTAATAAAAGAAATCAATTCTTCAATATCAAATATAAGACTTTCTCATTCTATTATACTGCTAATTCAAATCTTTTGCAAATGAACAGGGCAGAGCAAATTACCATAACTCCTTGCAGTAACATTTAATGATTTCAAACTATGAATGAATTTCACATTCATCATAAAAGCTACATAAAGCTTTAATATTAAAGGAATTTCTCGCATCTAATTAAGACAATTATTTATTTATACGACTACTTATAACCAAATCTTGTCTACTGAATCTTTCAAAAAGCAACTCAATCGAAGAATCTTAATTATACTCAGTCAATGAGAAACCAGAAATTGCACTTAATGCAATCTCCATTCCCACTAAATACATCTTAAGATAATTAAATGGATGCATTTTATTCAGATTTATATGATTATGTATTGCTTAGTTTATAACTATTCCAATAATCTGTTCTACTCACAAGCATCACTAATAAAAATATAGGATTTTTAGTTTCAGTAATTTAACACTAGTAGTATGCTAGATATTTACTCAAATTATGTTCTCTTCTAAGCTAAAGTTTCTACTATTAAATATAACTTCCTGTCTTGGAGTAGCAATTGGACATTTCTTAAAAAATCTTTCAATTTTTCTCTTAAAACTAATTACTTCATCCTGATATTCTTGATTTAGCATGATTTCACTTTTGAATTCATTGCTCTAGTCAAAATAAGCTTCGATATTCAAATCAAGAACCTTTAAAGTTTCATTTTTATCAACTAACTGACTTAGTGATTCATGCAAAGCATCATTTTAAATAATATTTTCTAGTAGAAATTTGTCAATTTTATTAATTAATTTCATTATTAACTGTCTAATAACAGCTCATATTGGTTTTAATATTCTTTTTTGTTTTTTTAATCATCTATATTAAATGGATATCTCACACATAACTACATTAATCAATGTATATACACATAACTTTCCATTTACTAAAATATCAAAATTACCTGACTTACCATTTTATGACAAATTTAATCATTTGTTAAAGGTGATGTTTCTTTAAAATAAGGATTCTTAATTTAGAAATAATAATTATCAGAAACTTGAAAACACTTAACAATTTTATATCTGACCTTCAGAGTGTTACCTGTAAGCACTTCCTCCCAGTTAAGGGACTGAAAGACAATGTAATTAAAGTTAAGTGCACTTTGCACGATCAGGTGACGATTTAGAAAATCATTCACAATTATAGAACCCACAAGAATGTTTTGAACGACCGAATATTATCCGTGGTGTGGAATTATCATGGAATCTTCCCACACCAAACCCCTATTAAAAATATCGCAATTTGGAAAATCATGCAAAATGGGTTAGTATTCAATAGTTATAAGAAATGAAACATAATTCCTAAACATTAAGATGAGCTTGTTTAAATTAAATTTATACCCGACGTTCCAACAGTGTAGCAATAGATAATTTGCCAAATTCTTGTTGATGCATAGCTGCTAACATGGATAGGAAAAAATTCAGGAGATTTTATGAAATATAAATTTCATGATAATTCTTGCATAATGAATGAAATATTTTACACATAGGGAATTTTTATAGTAAATATCGAAAAACTGAAGTTATGATGAACATTAAATGAACTTGAAATGTTATGTATTAAGTTTACTTATAATTTTGAATAGTTAATAAGCCTTAAATTCATCAAAGATAGTTAACTGAATTTTATAAATGAGGCTTGCTTCATTATGTATTAGTGACACTTGTTTAAATATTCAAGCAAGCAATAATCTGCATAAAAACTTTATTTCAATTGGGATTTTTAAGGAAATTTATTCAATTTCAGGGAATTTTCTAAAATGTACAAAAACCAAGAGAATGTTTATTAAACCAGTAGAGTTGGCAGCTATATAGATGGATAAATTAATTTTTAAAGCATGTTTGGATTGTCTGATATGTAGGGTTGCAAAAAACCTGGGGTTTTTCACGTTTTATTCAAAAGTGAGAGCAGGGATAGGTACCTTATTTTAAAGAAGTTTATTTTAATATTAATAATTAAGTTTAATTTTATGAATTAACTTAACATATAAGTAATTAATAAAAATAAATTGGTGCAAAAGTCTGAAAAAAGTTTCTTCTGACATCATGATACAAAATGTTATATGTACTCACATACATCACACATTTGAAACTTATTTTAACACAGGATTACTTTTTATTTATATTTTAATCTTAAAAAATATTTAAGGAAATAATTTTTTTTGCATAGAAATCAAATCAAAGGCACTGTCTAATCAATGGCCATACAGTCAAATCTAGCCAGCAAGGAGACTGTCCAGTCTCCTAACACATTTTTTTAGGCTAGATAACATACATATTTCAATAGAATAGCTCTTTAATATAACAGAGGATAAAAAAGAAATAAATTTTAGAAAAACCTATTTTAGGGTGGGTTTTACCTCCCATGTTTTACTGGGTAGGTGGGTTTTTTGCAACCCTGCTGATAAGGTTAAGGTTGCATCGGTAAGGTATGCTATAAATACTCCAACCTTTTTCTTTGTTGCTAGAATTTTTTGAACATTCCTGAAAATGACTTAAAAATTCAAAAAAGAACAGAATATTAGCAATTATGTAACAAAGGGAGGAGAAAATTAGCATAATAACAAGCTGAATGAAGAAGAGGAGCATTTAAGTCTAGTAAGAACTGAATTGAATATAGAAGGGTAAAATCAACTTTTAACAGCAAGTAGGAGTAAAAAGTTTTGTAATTTCAAAAAGAGCAAAAATTAAGAGCACGTATGATGAAAGCATGAAATTTAGTTTATTTTATACTGCAAAACATTATATTTAATTAATTGTTTTCAGAAATTCCTGTGACATTCTTACAGGATCTGATTTGACCTGACTGTCAAAATCACACCAATCAGACTCTCCAATGTTTTCATCATAGAAAAAAATGGGTGAGAATTTCTCAAAAACAGGGTGAGATTTCAGAAAGTTAAGTGAGATTTCTAAAAACTAAAAAAACACAAATAGACTTGGAAAAAAAAAATCATTTTTTTTTTTGTTATAATACATTTTTAACGTCTTTTATTTATTAAAGCATTGAATATTTTTGGTGCATCATCATAGAAGATTTTGCCTTTACTAGGTATTTATCCATATTACATTGCATAAAAAATTTGAACGTCTTATATGAAAAAACCTTACCTACGGTAAACACGTGGTCGCAGAGAAATGTGTTCCGAAAGGGATTCGGAGGGGTGGTGTTCTGTTGTTCGAAAAGGTTCTGAACAATACTGATAAATAGGAAAGCTAGATAACAGGACAAATGTTGAAAATAATGAAAGATTCAGGAAGAAATGTGAAACGGATTTTATTTTAAATGGCGTAAATCGAAGCTTTTTCCAAAATGCGAGAAATTCGCAAATTTTGAAATTGATTTATAGAATGCGCGAATTTCTCGCGGTAATCAGTTTTTAATGCGAGAAAAGAAAAAAATATGCGAGATTCTCGCGCTGTAGTGAAAACACTGCTCTCAAATTTCCAATTCTTAAATTCAAATTACATAAATTTTCAACCAGATGAAATTTACTGCAAAAAACATTCCCAATTGAAAATACAAGTTTAATACTAAATTATTTTTAGACAGAAAAAGCTATGAGAATATCATTACTCCCTTCTCTTAAGTCAAATCTGATTAATGCAAGATTTTCATATCGGTACCTGGGCCAAAATAATAGCCAAGTTTTGCTAACTTTTAGGTAGTGACCAGCAATTAACTGAAAGAACATCTAGGAAGGGTACAAATTCTATGAAATTCATAACAATCTCATAAAGCAAATCTCTTTACATTTTGTTTAAAATTCCTTTAACACATTAGCTATTGTAGCTGGTGTGAGAAGGTACTAAGAATATCCAATTTAATTTTTCCATCTCTAATACTAGTTAAGATTTCACCAAATTAGAGCTAGCCTCTGAGCTTTATAGTCAGGAAACTTGCCCGTTCATAAGGTCTAGATTGTTTTGTAATAAAAAACTAATATAACATGCAATTCAGATATGTAATTTATTTCATATAAAGCAATACATTATATAAAGCAATACAAAATAGTTATTTTAAAGATTTTAATAAGCTCACAAATATTACAAATTATGTAACGCCTCAATGTAATTCTCTCTTTCAATTGGATATCCTCTGATTTCCGCAAAAGTTGAAATCGCATGATCAGGATTGTAACCGCATTTCTCAATGAGATATCGACAGACAATATAACCAGTTCGGTTAATTCCATGGGTACAGTGCACTCCAACTACACGATTATTTTGACTTTCATGTTGCAAAAACTGTTCCATAACTTCACAGAACTTTTGAAAATATTCGTCTTTGGGAACATCATGACCAACACATGCTATTTTTACAAAACTTACCCCATTTCGAATAAACTCTTCAGGATCATAATATGCTGGAAATTTATTTGTGAAATCAACAATAAGGCCCAAGTTCCAACCTTGGTCGCGCAAGCAGTCCATTAAATCGTATGGAGTCCAACGATGATCTCTTAAGAGTTCAGGGTAAAATATTTGAGAGGGTAACGGTGTTTTAAAAGGAACTATTTTGAGAACGGGCAATACATTTTTGATAGGGTGGTAATCTAACCAACGATCAGGTAACTTTCTCCTGCCGCGTGCCATAACTCATGGGAAAAAAAGCTTTTTAAAAATTAAATAATATATAACAGAAGCTCTTGATTAATATGCTAAAATAATTAATGGTCTTATGAACTGCATCAACTATAGTGTCAAGGGGATTCCCATAAATGTAATAACACGTACTACAAGTCGCCGTAAATAGTAGGCTGTGACAATTTCACCGATGGTCGGCAAAATATCCCACACAGCTATCCTTCCGATCAAAATAGACTATAGGTGGCGTAGCGCAGAATTCTCTACCTATGGCAGCACTTTGCTGGCTTTCACCCTTGACCACCAGAATTAAGGTATATTTGTTATATTGGTATATTTTATTTGCCAAGCTTTCACCTTTGCGGCCATGGATGAAGATACTCTAGTCTCCATTCCCAAGAAGAAGAGTCTGTCCTAAATTCAGCTCTTAACATGTAAAGTTTATGCCGAACTTGTCATACTTTGAATCAATTTTTCTTGTTTAAGAATCTGAGAGATCAATTAAAAGAAATATTATAAATTTTTTCAATGATTCCAATCAACGAAACAGCGGGTAAATTTTTTTTTCATCTTTATTACTTTCATTATTTACTCAAGTCACTTTCAACTTCTTTCTGCAGTTGTCCCGCAGTGGACTGATCGCTAAGACACGGTTCCCATCAGCACCGAAGTCAAGCATCACTGGCTGCGGTCACTGTGAGGGTGGGTGACCACTTGGATCAGGACTGATGACGTAAGGACTGAGGATGTGCTGTATTGGTCAAACTGTGGTACCGTAAAGTACTCGACTTCGCGTGCAGGTCATCGGGCTACCGAAGCGAGGGGGCCATCCCCTCTGCAGAGGATCAAAATTGNCTTTCTGCAGTTCGGGAGGAGGAGGGGGGGGCGGATCCCACAGCACAAGTGTGAATATCGGAATGCGACCGTTGTTAGATCCTCCCTGTGATTGGTCGAAATTTTCTTCGCAAGATGGCAAAATAAATTTATTTAGCCGATAGTCGGTCTAATAAATACTCCGAAAATTGCATGAAGCTGATTGTCACTAATCATCCACAGTGCTTTTTAAAACTAAGAAACTTTTTTATGTATAGTTAAAATATCTGTAAAGAAAACCCCGATTTTCCTAATAATTTGTGAACTTGCTTAGAAAACTTTTATCTCAAAAAAATAATAATTTACTAGGTTAATTGTTATCTTCACTGTTGCCCGTCAAGACGGTTGCTTGCTTTTTAATTCTTGTTTATCTTTTGGTGAATTTAATTTATCCGAATATTTATTTCTATTTATTTGTTCTTTATCCAATGTTGAAACTGGAAATCAATATTCAAAAGAATGGCTGATACTTTATGGCATGAATGTGCCGATTGGTTAATAAAACAGCAAGTTATATTACCAGATCACAGAGTAACTTGGCCAGAGGCTCAAGTTATTGACTTGGTTTACACTCTACGAGATGGTGTTCTACTGTGTCAGCTTTTAAACAAACTTGTCCCAGAATGCATAGATTTAAAGGAAATCAGTTTACGTCCTCAGTTATCACAAGTATAGAATACATTTTTATTTCATAAAATTATTGTCCATTTTGTAATAGATTTCATTCTATGAAAATTTACAAAAAAGCTTTCTACTTTAATTTATTTGAAATTATTGCGATGTTCAAATTGAGCAGTCATCAAATCATTATAATATTTATGAAAAATATTATCTATTGAATTTCGTATGCTTAAAAATAGTCTTGCTATTGAATTTTATTTATAAGGCTTTAGTTTCAATTGTGATCATTCTTGTTCGAAAAACAAGATTAAATTTTTATGTGAAATATTAAAGTCAGAGTAACCAATTTTAGCGTTGAGTAAGCATATAAATCTCCTAGGACCAACTCAGATGGTATAGCGCGTAGCCACCTCCGTGCAAACTTCTATATAGTTTTTTATTAAAAAATTTGACATTTTAAAATTTATTTGGCGTCTTTGGAATTTTAGTTTTCGCAACAGATCACTATACAAAAATATCCACATATATTGTGATGTCCTTGTAATAAAATATTCAAATAAATAGTTATGCACTTGTAGTTTAAATAATTGTAATTAATAGGTGATTTACCAAAGATTAATCCTTGAAATTGAGTACTTCCTGCTCGCTTCCTTACTTCTTGGGTATAATTGGTCATTCACTTATTCACTATATATAGATATTTTTTTTGATATCATTAGTACAATCATTTTATAAGTCTTATTTTCATCATGCATAGTTATTAAGCATAATGAAAATAAGACAGTTATTAAGCATAGTAAATGTTTTGTAGCTTGTAAATTTATTAATCATGAATTATGTACTACATTCAACAAAGCTTATGTTTTTTTTTTTGTACATTTTATCTGCATTATCTGTTATTTCCATATTTACTGTGCATGACTCGCACACTCTTTAAATTAATTGACCCATAAAAAATATAACAACTGTTAATGTTATATCACATTTTGTTCAGCTTAGGTTTTCCCTTATTCTTTGCACACATTTTGCTTCGTGTCATACTGATGATTTTTCCTATATAATAGACTTTATTATAATATAGAGCATAATATCTAAGCCCTTATAAGCAAAAAAGAAAGAAGAGTATTTTCATTTTGTATGTTTGCCATAATGATTTTGGCATTTTGCAATCAATCAGTTCTTTTGTTTAACTGCTCAGTTACAGCTGCCATATCCATGTTTTTAGAGCATCAACTTATTTGGCTATAATAATATGGCAATTCGTTGTGTGACTTATGTCTCTTCTCTTGTGTCCTCTTTTATGATATTGTTTCTTTACTAGTTTTATAAATGTAAGTAATCTCTTTTAATACTTGATCCAGGAGTTCCCTTGTCTTCTGGATTGGGTTCAAAATTACCAAGGCTACAGAGTTGAGCATTAGTAATCATAAACCCGAAAATTGGGTCAGCTGTTCAACGACGGTTATGAAATAAAATATCTTAAAGGAGATCTGTGGTGTTTCAAGTGGTAGAGGGCTCTCCTCTGAATGAAGTTATCCGAGTTCAAATCCTAGCAATGGTTGGTCAGTACGAATTTCAAACCCAGCTCGTCCTGACTAAAAATATTCTTAGTTGTAGACTAATAATCGGTTAGAGTCCCCTTGCAGTTAGGAAAACCAAAGAAGGTTTTTCCCTCCATGTAATACAGATGTGGCCTAGTTGTATGTGAAGATTAAAAGCAATAACTACCAAAGAAATTGATGGGGAAAAAAATGAATCATTGCGTCAAAAAGTAAATACTCAAATGAACATTTCGAATTTTCGATACTGTCTGAAATATATCGGGATAATTAAAAACCATGTGAAAATCAACATCAATAACTGCCGAAAATACATTCAAAACACCACTTGGATTAATGATACCATGGGTGTAAATTGAGCATGTGGAAAAGTGATTATTTAAGTGCGCGATTTGAATTTCATGTGTCGAAATAATGTAAACTGACAAACACTGGAATTTTTAAAACAATGTGAAAATCAGTAACACTAGCAAAAGCTGACAAAAAGCCAAGAAAAATAATTAAATCCTTACATTAAAAGCATGTAATAAAAGGGTAATATTTTGTAAGTGTAATGTTTCGCGTGTAATAAAACTGTAAAAAATATCGATATTTTATTAAAATGTGAAAATTTGAAGAAATACCTGCATTGATAGGATTATTTTAATAAAACAATTCAAAAAAAAATTCGTAGCAATAATTGCCGATAAAATTATCAAAACACTGTATACATTTACAATGGAATCGTCGTGATTTGTCAGCGATAGGTAAATAAAGTTTTATAGAATAGGATTAAATTGAAAAAAGAAGTTTATTACCTTTAAGTGCAGCTACTATATATTCTTTAATTTGTTCCAAATTAAACAACTGTATAATTTTATTTGGCATCTTGATAATTTCAGTTTATATAAACAGTGTACTGATTTGGAAATATTCCCATAACTTATTATTTAAAAAAAAATATTTTTTATCTGTATTATGTAATGTTACAAGAGTCCTAAGTTTTGATTTTTTTTCTTATTAAGGATTTCCACTAATTTGTGCTTCATGATATATTTTTATAAAATAGTATTGTTTATTTAAAAAATGTAAATAAAAATTAGTTTATATGTTATAAAAGAAAGAATATTTTTGAAAAAATATCAATTTTGAGCTAATGATAAGAAAAATGCTATTGTCTATCTATATATTTAAATGTGTTTTCTATTTTTCTTTTTAGTTTCTCTGCCTAAAAAACATCAGGACATTTTTGCAGACGGCACAGAATTGTTTTAACCTTTCACCCAATGATTTATTTGAACCTGCTATGCTCTTTGATTGCACTGATTTTGGAAAGGTAAACTTTTCTATTATTACGTTTTTTTTAAATTAATTTTTTGCAGACTTCATTAAATCTGCAGAAAATTAATGTTCCATATTATTAATGTTCATTTAAAAATTGTTGTTCCAAAATTAAATGTTCCATTGAACATATTAATGTTCACCCTAATTTGTAAATTTCAGACAGTTTTATTTTTTATGTATATACCGTATATTCTGGCGCATAACGCGCCCCGGCGTATAACGCGCATCCATAATTTCTAATAACTTTCTTTACATTTTAAGATATACTCTTCGTATAACGCGCACGAAAATTTGGATTGTACATGTGCAATATCTCTTCTAGTATTAATAGATAACCAGAAAGCCTTTTAGTGTGGGACATGTTTAGGTCCCACCTTACAGATAATACAAAAAAATTGTTGAAAGAATGTAATACCGATATGGCAGTTATTTCGGGCGGAATGACACTATTAGTTCAGCCAATGGACGTATGCTTAAACAGATGATGAATAACTGCCATATCGGTATTACATTCTTTCAACAATTTTTTTGTATTATCTGTAAGGTGGGACCTAAACATGTCCCACCTTACAGATAATACAAAAAAGTTGTTGAAAGAATGTAATATCGATATGGCAGTTATTTTGGGCGGAATGACACTATTAGTTCAGCCAATGGACGTATGCTTAAACAAACCATTTAAAGCCAATTTAAAAAAACAGTGGAACACTTGGATGTTGGAGGGGGAGAAAACCTTTACGAAAGGAGGACATATGCGTCATGCAAGTTTGAAAACAGTGTGCGAATAGATATTAAAAGCATGGGATGAAATTAAGCCTAAGATGGTTAGAAAATCATTCAAAAAATGCAGTATTTCAAATAATCTGGTCGGATCAGAAGATGGCTGTTTATTTATGGATAAGGGTAACACAGATGATGAAGAGTAAACAGATTGTGATGACGTGCCTGAAGAAATAACGGAAGACGAATATAATGAACTATTTATGTAATAACAAAAATCAATAAAGTATATAGGTAAAGGTATGTTATTTCTTTAAAATAAAAGTATTTTTCTATAGTATTTAAATTTTTTTAATCTATAATTTTTTATATTCGGCGTATACCGCGCACCCGTAAATTCCAATGTTATTTTTTGTATTAAAAGTGCGCGTTATACGCCGGAATATACGGTAGTTATTTATTTTGTGTTTTTTGGCTATTTTATTTTATATTTTATAATAAATGAGAATAATAGTGATTGAAAAATTATGCAGTTTGCTATTATTCTTATTTGAAAACAAAAGAAGATAAAATAAGTTTAAATGAATTTTAAATAAGCAGCTCAGCTTCAGCTTTAAAAGTAGTTCAAAAGTCAATATCATGATCTTCAATTTATTTTATGGATTCGTTATTTTGTATAAGTTATTCGTTATTTTGTAAATTTAATTAATATTTTACTTAAAATGGAGAATTAAAAATTTTAGTTTAAAAAAAATAATTGGTAAGATTGCTTCTCATTTATTACTCATATTTTGAATTTCTAATTAATGTAAAATAAAAAAAAATCAATAAATAAAAGCTGTTATCCATTCTAATATAAAAGAACTCTATTAAAAAACTTTCTTCAAACACAATTAACTGTTAAATATTGTAATATTAATTAACTTTTGAAACTGGTTTAAACCTTTTTGTTATCATCTATTTTGGAGAAATTAATTTGAAAATTGCTAATTTTTTAAAATATGTTTTAATTTTTATAAAACTCTATATTGATTAATATATACCTCTGCATGCCTGAAAGTCAAATGCGATGAAGTAATTGAGGAAAAGTGTTGCTTTTGCGAAGCAGAGGGTGAAATTCTCGTATAAATATTTGCTAGATTGATTGCGGGTTAAAATTGTGAAATTCTAACCATTTCTTTTTTCCCAATGAGTAATGCTAAACAATTTTCCGCAATGTTGAAAATTATTGATTACGGGATAGAATATGGATTTTCGACTTTTATATGTTTTTAACGAGTACTACTAAAAAAATTTTGTGATATTGAAAAATATTGACTGCAGGATAAAATAGAGGAATTTGACTGTTTTTTTATTTCTAATATGTGATACTAAAAATTTTCCACTACCGTCGCCTGCATGTTTGTGTATATTATACATATCTACTTATGGCATACATAAATAGCCTCTTTTTGCTGTTATTTTCTTTTATAACAATGCTTTTGTAGTGTTTGTAATTTTCATTGTTTTTCTTCAAGTATGTTAAATCAATGTTCTATTCTATTTCAGGTATTGCATACACTATCTGTTTTATCTAAAACAGACAAGGCCCAGTCAAAAGGAATTAAGTAAGTTAACAAATTTATTATTTAACAAGCTTTTTTTTTCTGCCTGATTTTTTACATTTTTAAGATCGAAGGGAAGATAAAATTATTTTTAAAAATTTTTTTTAATTGAGTGTTTGTGCTTACTGTTAATGTAATTTAACTTTTAGTGAATAGCAATTTGGTGGAAATGAAATTATATTTTGAAAGTTGTTTTGAAAAAAGTTGAATTAGTTTTACTAAATAATGATTAGAAAATAAAGTTCATTTCTTTAAATAATTGGAAATTTTGTTAAAGGTTTGGGTGTGAAAAGTCATGATAAAAAAAGAAATAGAATTTCCTTTAATGTCATTTAAAATTTTTAATTTTTTAAGGGATATTAATTATTGATTGTTTTGAAGTTAATGAATCTCCATTAAATCATTTTAGTAAACATAATTCAAATTCATACTTATTTTATTAAAATTACATAATTGTATTTATGTTAATTTTCTAATCAAAAGGACAAAGTTGATTTGTTACTTCTGTATAAAGACTATATAAATAGCACTCAAAGATTTGATATTTAAGATATTAATTTGTAACAATACCGATATTAATTTGTATTTATCTTAATTTGTATATAATTAACTTCATCATTAATAACATGTCATTAATAGCTTTTTAGTTATAAGATATGACTATTTGATTTATAATGCTCTGAAAAATAAACTCTCTTTGTGCACATCTGTGACAGTGAATACAAATTAAAGATGATGAGGAAGGCGATAGATAGGGGATAATATCTATCACCTGTATGCTTTTATCATTTATAATACATCGCTTTAAAAAAAGTTTGAAGGTTATTTTTATTTGTTTGTAAGCAATTAATGTATGCGGAAATGCTTAATTCTTTGTTGAAGCTTGTATAAAATATTTAAAAAAAAAATTCCTCTCCTTAAAAAGATTTTGTTTTCACCTTAAAACTCTCTTAAAAACACAATCATCATACTCATTATATTTTTACTCTAATGATTTAAAAAAATGATTAATAGAAAATGAATGATTAAAATTTATTATTTAAATCATTGTTCCTCAACCATCGGTTCACAAACTTTATTCATAGGTTTACAAACATTATTACCTGAAATTTGTTATTTATTTAATATATCCTCCTGAAAAGAAGGATGTTCGTTCAGGGAATTTGTGGATAATAAATCATTTATTAAAAACCAAAATAATAACAATCTTACTACACCAGAAGGAGACCTTATTCAATTATCTTCAGATCAAGTTTTAAAGTCATAATTCAATTCAATGAACATATATTAGTTCTGGATAAAAACTGGAAAAGAAATGCAAATAAAAATCTTTTGCAAAAGTAATAAGATTTTATTGCCTACTTTTTAAAATTAATTCTGTGAAACTATATTTTCGGGTATAAGTATTATTAAAACGAAACATTGAATTCAACTTAATATTACGCCTGCTATACGTGTTGCTGTAACCTAATTGGACACCTAGAATCAGGGATGTGATTTTTTTCAGATTTTTCAATTTTTCCCGCTAATTTCTGTGGAATTTTTTTTTTGCACAAGTTAAAATATTTTATGAGGAATTTAATTTTCCACGGAGCGAAAATATTGAAGTCCTCATTCCTCCCTCTGAAGTCTCTCTAAAAATCATTTCCTTGGGATAATAATGATTGACCTTTATACAGGGATGAGATTTTTTCGCTTTTGTCTCTCGAATTTCAGCCTTTTTATCAAAAACTCCGATTCTCTAAAAGTTTCGTTTTTCTTGAAACGAAAATTCCGATTTTTTTTAAAAATTCAGTCGTTGGAATAAAATAATTATACTTATTTACGATTTTCAAAGATAAACAGAAAATAAAAACTGCGTCCTAGCTGCTAACTCTTCCGCATTTTTACTTATTTTAGCTAATTTCTCCGCAAGGAAATAAGATTTTCCATATTTTTATCCGTCCTCCGGATAGCTCGTGTTTTCGTAATTCGTCATATTTCGTTTCGTCGCTGCTTCCTGTTTTATGGCATGAAGGCAAACGAAAGAAGAAAAAAATAGAGGTGGATTTGCGGTGAAAATATTTATTTGCTCATTCAATTGATCTTGTTAATTTTTATTTATTATGTCTAAACAAAAACAATACGAACAAGCCCTTTAGAAATCCCAAGTTCAGACTCTGAAAATATCTAGATTCTTATGTGAATCATCGATTTTTGTATTTACCTTATTTAAAAGTTGCGCTTTGTGATTCTTATTCACGCTATTTAAATANTTGAAACGAAAATTCCGATTTTTTTTAAAAATTCAGTCGTTGGAATAAAATAATTATATTTATTTACGATTTTCAAAGATAAACAGAAAATACAAACTGCGTCCTAGTTGCTAACTCTTCCGCATTTTTACTTATTTTAGCTAATTTCTCCGCTTTTGCGCACAGGAAATAAGATTTTCCATATTTTTATCCGTCCTCCGGATAGCTCGTGTTTTCGTAATTCGTCATATTTCGTTTCGTCGCTGCTTCCTGTTTTCTGGCATGAAAGCAAACGAAAGAAAAAAAAAATAGAGGTGGATTTGCGGTGAAAATATTTATTTGCTCATTCAATTAATCTTGTTAATTTTTATTTATTATGTCTAAACAAAAACAATACGAACAAGCCCTTTAGAAATCCCAAGTCCTGACTCTGAAAATATCTCGATTCTTATGTCAATCATCGATTTTTGTATTTACCTGATTTAAAAGTTGCGCGTTGTGATTCTTATTCACGCTATTTAAATATCGTGCATTATGATTCTTCTTTACCAGGCTTAAAAATCCAATATCGCGTTTAGTATTTACTTGCTTTTAAAACCCTATGTAGCGATTCGTATTCACGCGAGCTTAAAATCCAAAGTCGCGATTCGTTTTTGCGGTTGTAATATCCAACATCGATTTTCGTATTTATACGTGCTTTTTAAAAAATTAGAGTTGGGATTCGTATTCGCACGATTTAAAAATTATGCATTGTGATTCACATTTATGTGATCTAAAAATTACGCATCATGATTTGTATTTTCGCATTTTTTAAAATTCGATAGAGTTTCATATTCACATGATTTAAAAGCCTCATATCGGGATTCATTTTCTTTCAATTTAAAATCATGCATGTGATTCGTATTCATACAATTTTATAATTAACCATCGGAATTTATAATCACATAGTTTACAAGTTTAAAGATCAAATTTTTTTTTTTGTCAAATTTTTGGATATATATATATTCATTCATAGATTTCCTCTTTTTTACTTTCTGACCACTCTCATCCCTGCTAGAATTGACATGTTAGTCAGCAACAAACAACTTCAGCAAACAAATATTTATTTTTTGAATGTTTCCTATTTCCCTTTTTTAAAAAAATTTCTTATTAACTGGTGTTCTTTTGCTACCAATGTATGGTTACATAATTTTGTTTTGCTATTTTGTTATTTGAATAGCAAAAATAAGTATTACTAGAATGAATACAAATTATTTACTACTAATTAATATATATTATATTACAGTAGCTAGAATTAATAGGGTCAGGTGGGATAAAGTGGGTGTAAAATCAAGCTTTTTTTTTAAAAAAAAGAAGGCTCTAAAACCAAGCTATTATGTTTATTTTACAAACAATTTTGATGAATTTTATATACATTGGTTTCACATAGATTAAATACAAAGCATAACTTATCTATTTTGTTTGATTCTTTTCTTGCTGTAAATAGTAATACATTCAAAAGAACATGTTTTGATACTCCCATTTTACCCCAGAGTTAAGAAAAGTGGGTATAGTTCTAAAATTAGTATATATTTCATTAAAAAATATATGCAAATATTGTTTTAGAATAAAAATGCTCTTAAATAAATGTATCATGATTTTATTAAAAAAATAAAGCAAGTGGTTAAAAATAATTTTGTTCTTTGTATTATTAAATTAAAGAGTTAATGTTCATGGCTATAGAAATTAGGTTTCGCTTCAGATGCAGTATTTTTTGCTGAATTCTGAACTATTTCTTAAAAAGCAAGAAAAGTGTAGTAGTTTTTGGCTTACTTGAAATATAAATGAGAGTGAAAAAATTAATATTTGTTGTGGTAATTTAAAGTGTTTTTACAATTTATTACAGACATGTATTTATATTGAATTTAGTTACTTTAAGGAGATTATTTTGTTTTCCAAGAAAAAACTGCCATATGAAGGGTAGAAACTTGCTCGAAAACTCATCAATATCTTTAAATATGCTCATTAAGTTGTACCATTATGCTATTTTGATATAAATGTATGCTATGTCTGTTATATTGTTATTTCCCCCTATCATTCTTCTCTTTAAAAATTAAAATTTGAAAGAAATTTTGTTTTCAGTGTTAAAATTACTATGTAAGGCTATAATCAAGCAAGCAAGTTACTTTTTGGCTAACTCATTATTAAATATAGATCATTAGATGCTTACAAGAACTAACACAGAAGTAAAAAAAAAAAAAACCCCAATCATACAACACTTAACTAAGCCTAACCATACACCCACTTTATCCCACCCCAGAAAACCATTGATAAATGGAATTTTGAAATTTATTCTTAAATTTCTATGTAGATCTGTTCTTTAGATGTCTCTCTACCAGTTTAAACTAAAATTAATAGTTCTTGACTAGTGATACTAGAAGAAAGTTCATCAGCAACCTAAACTAAAATATTTTATAAGTTGATCATAAACAGATAGTTTGTAAAAATAATTTTTTTTTTTTATCAGTTTCTAAAATTGAAATAAAAATGTTTGCTGCAATCCCTATAAATGTCTTTAAAAATATTAACTAAATTATCTCAACTTAAAAGGAGAAAATAAATGTTTCATTAACATATGCCCACTTTACCTCATGTACCCACTTTTCTCCACCTGACCCTATAAATTATGTTAGTATTTGCTAAAATTAATGTAAATTATATTGATAATTAAATAGCTTTAAGCTCATTGTAGAGATTGTTGCTCATTGTATTTTTCATTGTAGAGAACAT